ATTATTTATTAATTATTGTATTATTTTCCATATGAACTGAAAACCTGTTTTTGCTCACCCCTATATTTGTGCTTAAGAAATCTTTGGGTATTTGGTATTTTAAGTAAATTTATGTTTAAGAGAATTTGGCATAGGTTACCTTTGTAACTCGAACTTAAAATGTAAAATTGAGCCCTGGCTGGTATGGCTCAGTTGGTTGGGCGTCATCTTGCAAAGTGAAAGGTTAGGGGTTGAGTTCCTTGTCAGGGCATATGCCTGGATTGTGGGTTCACTCACCGGTCAGAGCTCATGCGAGAGGCAGACCATGGATGTTTCCCTCTCACATCACTATTTCTCTCCCACTCTTTCTCCCTCCCTTCCCCCTCGTTAAAAATAAGTAAAATAAAATCTTTTTTTAAATGCAAAATTGAAAAATAAGATAAAAAGTGAAGTGTGAAAGAGTGATCTAAATTTGTGATTACAAGTTCAAATCTCACTATATAAAGGATTTAAAACGTAAGAGCATTAAAGGTTTGCATAGGTATACATGTAATTTATTAGATTTTTAAGAATTATTTAAGTACTCTGAAAAGATTTAGGTGAGACAACTGCAGTGCCTGGAAAAGAAATGTGTAACTGCAGTTTAAAACATCTAAGGTATTTAATTAACCAAAATGGGATTAAGTATTATTCAAAGCCCTTCAAAAGTAGTGATTAAATGTTGGACTTATAATGGAATAAGCTTTATAAGATAAGTTTAAAAGCTGAAGTACAAACTAGCGTTCTGAATTTAATAAATGGAATACTTACTTTGATTTCAACCAACATAAAATCTTCCTGCCACTTAAAAATTACTTCAAGGACAAAATAAATTTATATTTAATACCTAGAAGAACCCATGGAAAATTCACAAGAGAAATGTGACTCAGCTCTTAATAAATTTATAGTCTGTTCCTTGGGGAACTGAAAAAGCTTATGGTCTTGGAAAAGCGTCTGAAGTCGGAGCCCTCGGGCCCCTTGCTTCCCTCCAGGGGACAGGGCAACCTCCCCTCCTTGGAACCCCTCACTTGCCCCATGTCAGCCTCCTGGCCTCAGTCAGAGGCGATTCTTGGCTCCTAACGAGCATGAACAGAGGAGCAGGACGGGGCAGAATGGGGAGGGAGGGGAGAGAAAGAGAGCACAAAGCAGCTTCCTGAGGAGGCCAGCCCAGATCCTAACAAGATTCTTCATATACATGGGAGACTACAGCAGAGCTGACCGGGCAATGACAGACAGGCGAGGAGGAGGTGCACGGCTGTGCGGGATTCCCCGAGGAGGAAAGAAAGACGACAGCGGGGGAAGGAGGAATCAGGAAGGGCATTTAGACCTGCACTGTCCAACATGACAGTCATTAGCCACATGTGGCTAACCTGAATTGAAATGTGCTGTCAATGTAAAATACAGACCAGATTTCAGAGTTAGTGTGGGGACAAAAAAATAGAAAGCACAATGTCATTAATAATTTTTTATTAAGTATTATATATTGGAATGATTCTGTGTTGGGAACATTGGGTTAAATAAAATATGCAGTTAAAATTCATTTCAGGAGTTGAGGGGGGGAGGCAGAAGAGGGTACAGAGGGAGATAAATGGTGATGGTAGGCAACCTGACTTGGGGTGGTGAACACACAATACAACATACAGATGACAGATTACAGAATTGTACACCTGAAACCTATAGATATAACTTTATGAACCACTGTCACAACAAATTCAATAAAAAAATTCATTTCACCTGTTATTTTTTTATTTTTTTAAAAATATGACTGCCGGAAATTGGAAATTACAGGTGTGGCTCACATTCGTGGCTCGAATTTCTCTTGGACAGTGCTGGGTTAAAGAGTTCGCACATGGCAATTCGATGGTGCATCAACCCAGGACAGAGGCACTGCATTTTAAAATGGGCCCAGGGTAGGTGAGTTGTGTGGGCGGGGACAGTGGAGGAGGAAAAGAGGTCAGGTGGCAGTGAAGACAAGGAGACAGTCAGTGCTCAGCAGTCAGCTCAAGTTTTAGTGGTGTGACGGGGGACAGACAGCGGGTACACCCACAATGTAACAGGAAAGGCGCTGTCCCATTCCTTGGTTCAGATCATCAGTTGGTCTACATCAAGATCAAATCCTTGAATCTAGATTTGAAAATATAACTGAGAAACTCAGTCTACCCTCCTCCTTCACACCCCTTTTTACAGATGAGGAAACTGAGGCCTAGAGAGAAAAAATACCTCACAAAGGGTCACAAAGCTTCCCTCAAAAACCTCAGTTGCAAATACCTAAAAGCCTGACTTTCCGCATAGTTGCCAAGCTTGACCATGGTGTGCACAATACTTCTAAAGACTGAGAAGTATGGTCATGAGGAAAGAACAGAGCCCTCCAGATCAGTGGTTCTCACCCCAGTGCTTTCTGTCTCCTAGGGGACATTTGGCAATATGAAACTATTTCGGGGTGTCACAATTGGGGAGGAGGATTCTACTGGCATGTGATGGGTTAGAGGCCAGGGATGCTGCTAAACGTTTTACAAGGCACAGGACAGCTCCCTACCACAAAGAATCATCCAGCTCAAAAAAACCAACAGTGCCAAGGTTGAGAAATCCTGCTGTAGATGAAATCGTAGGAATGCTGTTTGTCCCAGAGCACAGCACATATGGGGTCTGCAAGGGGGGCAGGTACTGGCCTCCCCAACCCCCATTAGACAGGTCTGGCGCAGAGCCTATAAGCACAGATGGTCCTGCTGAACGCTGGGGCAAGCGGGGAAAGCAGTCTTCAAGAAGTGGCCCTGCTTACGCCCATTGCCTGTAATCCTGGCTCTGCTGCCCATGCCCACAGGCCCAGAGCTGACTTTGCCTCCATCTCACAGTTCACGAAGTGAAATACTCATTCTGAAATGCCCTGATGCCCCAACCAAACTAATTTTGAAAGCCTCTATGAAAATGCAAAGTGTTCCTGAAATCTTAATCTTCTGAAATGCTTCTGAGCAAGATGGACTCTGAACCCTAAATAACCGAGTCCAGGTATGTGGCAAGAGCTTGGGAAAAGCAAAGCTCCCGGGAGCGGTGTTTGGCTCAGAAAATGGAGGTCTGTGGCTAGAAGGGGCTACAGAGGCCACCTATCTCAACCCGGAGAAGAACAAGCTGAGATCCAGAAAAAAAGGTTACTCAAAGTTCCTTGATATTAATTTCTATTGTCAATTAACTAAACATAGAGCTACTTTTTTCAGGGAATCAATGGACTCCAGCTCTGAGTATTGACAGCCTTTCTAAACCCACATCTCGCATCTGAGCCCATTGTGGTAAAATTCTCCATTTCTATCTTGCAGGTTTCACAAGACACTAAGCCGCCACGGAGTGTATCAATCTGATCTTTTTCTAATGACTTGTCTCTCAATGTCTTTCTATCTCCTGTCTGTCTTTCCTCCAAGGTCTTTCTACGGGTCCTTCTCTCTGTTTTTCCTCCAAAGTGTCTCAGCCTTTGGACACTTGGGGAGGGGCTTGACTTTTGCTGACTAAGTGTTGGAGTTCCTCAGTCCACATTCTGCTCCCGTTAGGTCTAATTCTGCATCTGATTTCCAGGGGAAAACCGAAAATCTGCCCTGGGGAACAAACTGAACCCTGAACTGGAGGACGCAGGCAGGTGTGAGGAGAATTACACAAGGTGAAGAATTCCCCAAGGGTCAGGGTACAGAAAGTGGAGGGTAGAGAGCACGGGGATGGGCACCATGAGCAAGGCCCCTCGAGGAGGCCAGAGAGTGGGGAGATCGGAGCCAACAGGTAGGAAAGCTCCTGCGGCCAGGCCTTCAGGGCTCGAGGGACCTGCAGCAGGCAGGTGGAGGTCAGGCAGACTGCAGCAGTCAGGGAGACCTCTCTGAGGACGGGAGGTGTCAGGGAGGCCTCCCGGAGGAGGAAGAGAGTTGTCAGGAGGCTCCTGGAGGCGGCGTGGAGCCAGGGCACTGCCTCACCTGGGGCCCGGCCGCCGCGTTCTGGGCCGCCACATCGGCCCGCGCTGCCCGGACACAGCTGGCCAGTACCACGAACCCCGTCGGGTCGTCGGGCGCGGCCTCCAGCACGGCCGCCTTCACAGACGTGGTGCCCAGGTCGATGCCGAGAGTGACTGACGGTGCAGCCATAGCCGTGGGGACCAGCGTTGGTCTCGTCGACTGCAGAGAAACCCCCCGATGCACTGCTGCACACTTGAACCGCGATCCAGGAGCCGCGGTGCCGTAGCGGCGCCTCGCCTGCCAAACCTTCAGTCACACTCAAAGTGAAGGCTGGTCGTCTTCCCGTAGGTCGAGGGAGGCGGAATCCCGCGCACCCCTCGCGGCAGGCCCGCCTATAGGCGGAGAGGAGGCGGAAGGCGGGACCTAGAGGGCACCGCCCCATAGGGCTGGAGTTCCGGGTCGATGGGGGCGAGTACCTCACCAGGACAGCCCCTGCCTCCCTCTCACTAGTAGTGCAGGGTTCGCTGACAGGCCCTTGGGATGCGTCCCTAAGGCGCGAGCCTACTCCCTTACACCGAGCCGCCATCGTCGGCAAGGTGCCTGCGCCCCTCCGCTTCGCCCCACCCCCACCCAATTGTCCCGCGAAGATACGTCAAAACTACAGCTCCCAGGGTGCATCGCGCGGTGGTATAGACTCCCCAAATCAGTTGACTCAGCTCACGTGACTTCGGGCCCGCCCTCACAGAAGGTCTAGCCGGCCGGGAAGTGGGTCCAGTTAGAAGCATCACGTACGCCTTGTGTGGTCGGTCTGTGGCGCCTCAGAGAATCTCAGGTGAGAGCCCGTGCGGCCCGAGAAAGCCTTCCACCCATTTCCCAGGTGGGCCCCCTGAAGCCCAGAGACTGGTGCAACAAGCCCGTTGGGCAGCCTGCCTCAAATCCAGCCCGCCTCAAATCCAGCCCTTCTCAGCCGCGCCCGGGTTCTATCCCCTGCCACCAGCCCCGGCCGCGCGACACCGGACAGTCTTCAGGTTCGAGGGCCCGGGTGGTGGTGAGCGGAGGTAGGGTTCACAGGGTGGCCGAGGTGGCGTGGGTGACTACCTCAGGGCATGTCCGAGCCCCTCCCGCTCCTTCTGCCCAGATGCCGCCTGAATCTGAGCCGCGGAGTTTGCAGACTGCTTTGGAGGTGGGAGACGCTGGCGGGGGGGTGGGGACCCCTCCGAATCCCCTGCTGGCTGGCTGGGCTCCGAGCTGCGCTCCGGAAAGTGGGCAGGACGAGAACCCACCGTGCCCTCCGGGGCTTCCATGCTGAAGAAAGGAAGGACAGCTGGGCTTTGTCTTCTCCAACAGTGTTAAGGAAAATAACAACCCTTAAGCTCTTACCCCAAGATAGGGAATGAAATTAACTTCCTTAAGGTTTATAGATTCACACAAATATCTGACCACAGTTTTTTTTAATAACTTTGAGGGGAGAAAAAGAACCTTTGGCCAATTAAACTGCATTCTCTCTTTCTGTTAGCCAGCTAACAAGAGGCAGTTGAGAGAATTCAGTATTTGCCCACTTCCTCACAGTGGGACCTTACACAACCCACTTAGTTTTTTGAGCCCATTTCCCCACATATCAAAGAAAAATTAAGCCCTCCCTGGAGTCACCTTCTTCAGGCTGGTGATGCAAAGCCCATGAGGTCACAGGTGTGAAGTGAAAGTCCCTTATGAACTGTTCGTGCCATGGTTCCAGGGAGTATACCGTCCACCTGTTGCTGAGCTGATCCAACTTTAACCTGAACTTCTCTTGCTATTTGTTTTTCTTCCTAGTTCTTTGAAATCGAGGAACATGATAAGAAGTTGGCTGATTATTTTTATCCTTTTCCCCCTGAAGCTCATAGAGAAGTGTGGTAAGTTTAGAAGTAGGTCAGCAACTTCGTAAAGAGGGAAGAGGTGCTACCGAGTAAGTAGCGTGACTTGTTTCTAGCCAAGGATTCAGGACTGGCCAGACTGCCTATTCTTGCCTGGCCCTTGGTCAAGCAGCCACTGGGTGGTGGAGCAGACCCAAGTCCAGGGTCCAGGAGTTTTACAAGGAACCAGATGATTCCATAAATAATTGGTCTTCTGCCCCAGGGTCCCTATTACCTTGTCTGTGTCACCAAAATCAAACTGTGGAGCTCCCAACAATCTGGGATAAAATCTTTAAAGTACAGCTTGTGTTCCTGCCCCGTGAACCGCACAGAGGGAATTTGGGTTCTGTGAGATGCTGCGGAAGCAGGTGATGTAGCCACCTTATTGGGCCTGGTTCTCCCAGGCCACAAACACCTAAAGAGTCTGCCCAGCATCCCCTTGTAAGATGAGAAAACCTTTCCCTTAAAGAGGGACTGGGGAGCAGGGTTAGGGGCCTCACAGAGCACTAGTTGGTTTTCAAAAAAAAAAAAAACCAAGAAACCAAAATACGGTTTGTATATCTTTGTAGAGCAGAGTTTCTAGGGGTCTGTGTCGTTCTATTAATTCTCCCAAAATGTTGCTGAAATTTCTTCCACAGGAGGAATCTGTGTTGAGCTCTTCTAGGACCCCAGGCCATTGTCAAGGTCAGATCTTAAAAACCCTGAGTGAAGATTTCAAATGAATCGTACAAATGTACAACCTCTATGGAAGCTTCCCAAGATCCAGGCACAGTGGCTGCACCATTACAGTTATCTGGCCTCTTAAATGTCTGAGAACACAAGCATCTGACCAACTCCTCCAGATTCGTTAAAAAATCGGTCATGTTACTTTACAGTCCCACCTTGTGGATAAGCAGTTTCCAGGAAAGGAAAGGTCAGACTAGGAAGCCTGGTATTTCTTGGTACAGATGCCAGAGCCCCACTCCAGACCTGCTGGGTCATACTCTCTGGGACTAAGGTCCCAGTGTGCATATGCTCACATGCATTGGCAGGCTTTAAATAAAGCTCCGTTAGTAATGCTAATGCATTGCTGTAGAAAAAAAGAGCAACTCCACCTAATTTATACAGGATAGAAGTCCTCCCCAAAGTCACAGAACTAGAAAGTAACTGCGTAGGGGCCCTACTCCATTTTACCACTTTGTCATCTTTCCTGGACGTCATTATAAACAACAGTGGAAACCACCATAGAAGCAAATAATTGGAATTACCTTTCTGATCTCATTCTGCCGGGCCTGTCTTCCTTTTACTTTGGGGGATGATCATCGGGGACCTTAAGTGAGATGACTGGCTTCAGAGGATTTTGTCTCTGACTTGTTTGAGTGGAACCTTGGGAGGCCCTTCAACCTAGTAGCAAAAACCTGGGCTTTAGACCAGACAGGCTTAGGTTTGAATCCTGCCATCACCATTTCTGAGCTGTGTGGGCAAGACACTTTCCATCTTGGGAATCTCAGTTTCTTATATCCGAAACTTAGGCTCACCTTTCACTGTTGTAATAATAAGAGAATGGGAGTTAACGGTAGCAGAGTGGCTGGTGTGAGGTCAGGAGCACCATAGGAGATGCCAATAAGCATTAGTTCCCCACCCCTTCAAAAAAGATTCCTTAGAGGAAACTTGGGATGGTCTTATTAAGACTCACTTGTGATCAGAAACTCCTGCCCCAGGGAAAACTTTAAAATGTGTTTTCCCAGGATATGATGCCAGCTTTCTAACTGCCTCCCATCTTGAGTTTAAAAAACGCCCTGCCTTGTTTCCATGATGTTAAGAATAGTCAACAGCAATAATTTAGCACTCAGGCCGTGTGGAAAGTCACAAACATCATTATCTTTTCAATGCTCTGGGAGATAGGTAGTACTATGCTCCCCATTTTACAGGTGAAGAAACAGGCTCAGAGAGGTTAAGTACCTTGTCCATGGTTACACAGCTAGAAGGGACAGAGCCAGGATGGATCTGTTTGACTTCAGAGCCCAGTCTCTCAGCTGCTGAGCACTGCTGTCTTCGGTGGCAATAAGAGGGAAGGAAACATTCCTTGATCTGGTTCTTAGCGAGTTCACAGCCTCCTCTTTTAAAATGTAAAGATAGTGGAAGAGCAAAGGCCATGGGGCTCTCCCTCTCAGCCTGACCACAGTCCTGGCGGAGCCCTGGGCCCCAGAGGTGTTGGCAGCTGCCTGGCATTACTTTCAGCATCTCTCTCCTGGGTTCTGTCTTGTCACAGTATTGCTTATCTGGTGTGATCCTCAGCGCTAGGCAGAAAGTAACAGAAGGGACCTACCCCAGCTGTGCAAGCCCACAACAAAGGCAAGGATTGTTTCTGAGAGAAGAGTGTGTAAGAGAAGAGGCAGAATTGTTGAGCCTCCCTCCAAGCCCTGAGGTGACATGTAAGGGAGGGACCATCCTACTCTGCTCCGAGCAGCTTGGCCTCTGCAAGGGTCAGCAAGGGGGCATGCCATTCAGAGGGACCCTGGTGGGAGTCAGCATGGGGACTTGCAGGCAGGGGACAGAGTCTGCGTCTGCATTCAGCATGCAGGGTTAGTGTGGAGGAGGTGGCTCGGCCAGGTCTGAGGTCCCAGGTAGCACAGCCAGGCCCAGAGTACAGGCTGCAGACTGGGCCTTTCCTTTGGAGGAGATGGAGTCACTGTCCTTTGTGGTATCCAGGCAGAGGAGGAGAAACTGGCAGGTTGGAGTATGGAGAGAGAGGATCAAACAGTGGAGAACTTCTAAGTGCCCTTCTGACCTGAGGCCTAAATTTTGTTCATCATCTGCCTTTCATGGGTCTGGGGAGGAGACCTGGGCCCTGCCTGCAGCTGCTAAGCCAACAAGGACCATTTTCATCAAGTTTTGAGTGTTTGCTTTCTCCTTATGGGCCCCTTCCAGTTCCAGTCTAGATTCATAATCACCCTTTGTGTTGTTCATAGTCCTGAAGGCTTTGAGGTAAGGGAGGTGAGGGACAGGTGCCTGCCATGTTGAGTGTACCTGGGAGCAGGGGTGGGGTCGGGGGTGTGGGCTGCGGGTAAGAACACAGGAAGAGGTCAGAGAGAGACAGACTCTCATGTTCTGTGGCCAAGTTGCTCTGGGGTATTTGGCTTCCCAGACCTGCTTCTTCCCTTCCCCCGGAGGCCTATTTGTGTACCTTCTCCTGAGTTAATGCCAAGAAGAAATCCCTGAGAGGGAAACTGTCTTGTTTGTCAGTCTTCCTTTCCCCAGCCCCTAGCAGAGTCAGCCTCAGGAAGGGGATCAGTGAATGAGGGGCTCAGGTTCCTACGGGAGCTCCTACGGGAGCCCCAAAGGGTTTCTTGAGAAACAGGTTAGTTGGACCCATGTGTCCGAGTACAGGAAGGGACTGGACCATTCTGCAGGGCCATTTAAGCTCCACAAAAAGGAGAGGCGCCTCTGATTTCCATCTGAAGAGGTGATTCAAGTCTGTGTTTCCAGTCCCAGGTCATGGTTTGAATTCCTTTGTGACAGTTTTTGGGCTCCGTGGTTCTAACACTTTCTCTGGATCACTCAGCCACATACCCTCAGAGCCTGTCATGTTGGGGAAAAGGAAGCGACAGCGTCTCCTGCTCAGGCCTGTGGCTCCCTCTGTCTCTGGCAGCAGGAGATGAAAGAGTGTAATGAGGGCTTCAGTTCCCAGTCCCATCACTTAGTCTCTCAGAACCTCCATGTCTTCACCTAGAAGATAGGGCTTATCGTGAGTCATAGTTCATGAGTTCAGGTGTCAGGGGCCCTTGCCCCAGTGTCTCCTTTTGAGCCTAAGTTCTCTAACCTAATGACTAATGCTATCGATTTGGGTCCTTCCAGAGTCGACGATCAACCTCATTGTTCCTCCCACTGTGAAGCTGGAAGATGGGAGCTCAGCCAGTGTCAGCATCACCCTTCAGTAAGTTCCCAGGCCCAGTGCTGTCCTCAGCCCAGCTCACCCCACGGCCAGCTCAGTTTGTTCATATTTCACATGTGATGCTCTTGCCTCTTCACTTTATGAGAAGCCAGAGAAAGAGAAGTGATAGCCCTGGGCTTCAGACCAAGGTCCCAAAGTCTCTTTCCCCATCCGTTGAATCCATTTCCCGTGGAAGGAGCTGGAAGGAGGCTTCTCCCCAGTCATGAGCCTTGTCCCCAGCTGAGAAGAGTCCTTGAGTGATGAGCAGTTGATGCCAGACTTCAAAGTGGTCCTTTCCAAGGCTCTAAATATTTGAGGAGAGCCCTGAATGTCAGGAGGTAAGGAGCTGAGCACTTCTCAGGTCACTTCCCAAAGCAGAAGTGACTCAATCTGGTGGGTCCCATTTGTGCGGCGCTCACGCTTAGCCTTGTCTGAGAGTCTTTCCTGCCGCCCTCCACTGGTTCAGGCTTGAGGGTGCCAGCTGAGTCCCGACTGTGCCAGAGGGCCTCCCTCCTCTGTATCCTGCCCTGCTTTGCCCTGCTCCTGCCTCCCAATCACAAGGATTCCTGATGATGAAGGTCAGGAGTCCTGTCCTCTTCTTTCTCCCCTTCTCCCTTTCCCTCACCTCTCCTGGGAAGTCTGTTCTCAAACCAAAGCTTCAGTACCCAGGCTTCCCAACAGACCTGCGTTCCATTTCTAGCCCCTGCCACCTCTGCACATTGACACCTCATAAATCTGACACCTCATCCTACCACCACAACTCTCCCGTCTCCAGAATCCTTACTGCCTTCCAAATTAAATTAACTCCATGCTTGGGAGTCCCAACTGGAGACCCCCTCACGGGCTGCTCCCAGTCAGACATATCTCACGGCTTTCTGGGGACACGCTGTTGCTGGCTCAGAAATGAGTCCTCTTAGAAGCCTTTCCTACCAGAGCAAATGTCATGGTCCTGTCAGCCTATGGACACCCCTGTTTGGCATCCACAGCCACTTTCACACCTTCTAATGCTCTCACCCAGACCCAGTGGACATCTTATCTCCTGATAAAGGTAGAAAACTCCTACCCTGGCTGGTGTGGCTCTCAGTGGATTGAGTGCTAGTCTGCGAATTGAAAGGTTGCCAGTTCGATTCCTGGTCAGGGCACATGCCTGGGTTGTGGGCCAGGTCCCCCACTGCGGGTGTGAGAGAGGCAAACTATCGCTGTATCTTTTACACATGGGTGTTTCTCCCTTCCTCCCTCCTTTCCCCTCTCTCTAAAAATAAATAAAAATAATAAATCTTAAAAAAGAGAAAGAAAAGAAGAAAACTCCTAAGGAGCAGGGAGCCCACCTCTGTAGTCCCCAGGTTGAGAACATAGCACTTCCTCACCCTGAATTCTTGAAAAATGACAGGCCTCATGTGAAATCCAGAAGCTTCTCATTTGTCCTCCACAGGCATCCGTTAAATGCAACCTTGGTGATCACTTTTGAAGTCACATTTCGTTCAAAGAATGTTACTATCCTTGAGCTCCCTGATGAAGTAAGTGATGAACCGTAACTGATGGGTAGAGAACATTTTAATTAAGTGCTTCTGGAAATAGTCCACCTTGTTTTTATACCATGGGCTGCCCCTGTCCCATCATTCTAGAAATCTCTGGGTTTGCTTTTGTTGGTCTCTTTGAGGATGTCTGTTCTGTGCCATGTGGACAGATTTTGGAAGGTGATGGCAAGAAATCCGAGGCAAAAAAATGATTCTGAGAGTATAGAAGTTTTCTACGACCTTGTTCTATAGAAGGTGTTGGTGGACCAGCAGCATTGTCCCTGCTTGAAAACCTTTTAGAAATGCAGTCTCAGACTCCCTTGCAGATCTACTGATTCAGAATCTGCATATGAACAAAATCCCTGGAGGATTTGGGTCCACAGTAAAGTTTGCAAAGCACTATTCTGAGATTCCATTGGTTGAGTGTTATTTCCAAAAACAGTGCCAGAGATTGTCTGGTATCACAGTAAAAACTATTCATAGCCCTTATGCATTTGTCTCTAAATATATAGCCTGTTTTTGCCTTACCAAGGATTTGAGCCAATTACTGTTGAATTAGATTTTTAAAAATCAATAGGGGAGGCAGTATAGAATAAATGAGGGGTTTTTTTTTAAAGCAGACAAGATGAATACAGGGATGAAACTGATAACCAGGAGGCACATCTTGAGGCCCTGTGTGATTCTAGAAATGAGCTGCAAATCGGCTCCGAGCCCCCTGGCATGCAAACCATATGGAAGCATGTCAAATGAAGAGTGTTTACCAAAGGGGACCTTGTGTGAAAAGGGAGTCTCATCTCATCCCATGGCGAGCATCACACATTATTAGACACAACTTCTGCCCCAGGTATAAAGCCTGTTACAGGCTAAGAAAAGCCATTGATTCTAACAGTAGGTTCTGGCACTCAGCTCTCTGAGGTGTAACTTGATCCACAAAGGAAGAAGCCATCCCACCTTCCCTCAGAGATAAGACCAGAGTGGGCCTGAGGGCAGAACTGAGTTCTGTTCAGAAAGCCTAACACAGGTGTATGGAGGGGTTCCAGCTGGCTAGCTGGCCTAGTGTTTCTGCCTTTTGTTGGTAAGCTCCTGGAAGACAAGGACCCTGTGTGATCTTAGTCTGGAGTTAGGCACTCAGTGAAGTTCCAATAAATACATGGCACTGTATCAAATTCAGTTTTCCTAATAGGTTGTGGTGCCTCCCAGAGTGACAGAATCCTCTTTTCAAGTGACATCTAAAAATGTGGGGCAAATGACTGTTTTTCTGCATAGAAATCATTCCAACGAAACCGGGTAAGCTGGGGCTTAAACAATGAGAAGGGAGGCATAGCTGGGCATGTGGGGCTTTCCTTCAGGAACCCATCCTGGTTCCTTCAGCTCACCCTGGTCCCCAAATTCTTTCTAGCCCAAGAGTACACTTCTTGGTGATCCACAGCAACGTCATTAACATCATAAACCAGGTGATTGGCTGGATCTACTTCACAGCCTGGTCGGTCTCCTTCTACCCTCAGGTGATCATGAACTGGAAGCGGAAAAGGTACTCTGCTGAGCTCTGTGTGCAGGTTCATTTGGTGCTGGTACAACAGGCATTCTAGTAAGGCCGTAGGTAGCACGGGTTCGGACTTTACTCCTATGCTCTTCTCTCTCTGACCACTTTCTAGAAAGTTATCAATCTGAAAGCTCTAAGGGCCTATGGTAGCACTTGTACCGCTGGGCATTTGGTCTCTTGCCTAATTCTGCTACTCCCTGTGAAAGCAACAAAATGGGGCTTCTCAGTGAAGTGGAGAATGGGTTCGGTGGGGGTGAAGTCCAACCGAATAATGTTTTCATCTTGGTCGGTCCAGCCCTGGAGGAATTAGTGTCAGGTCATGCTACAGTGCTGGAGTTGGATCCTTCAGCCTTTGCGATTAAGCCATCTGCCTTGATTTTAAAAACAAAGTGGGATAAAAAATAAATTTAAAAAAAAATTGGGAGGCGAGGCCAAGATATGGGTATAGGAAGACCCTGAACTCTCCTCCCACAGACATACCAAATATACACCTACATATAGAGCAGTTCCTGCCAAAGAAGAACTGATGGCCTGTTGGACAGCTTCTGCACAACAAAGGATATAGGGACCACCTAGAGAAGGATAGGAGAGATGGAGACATGATAATGAAGGGAATCCCATTGCTCACATGGAGAGCTGCAGCAGGCAGGCCTATTACTGAGGGGTCTCTTCAAGGACTTGCCCACTCTGGGCACAGAAAAGAAACAGTGATTTAAAAGGCACCTAGACTACACATGAAGGAGACCCATTTATGTTGTGTTTTGATACACTAATAATGTTCCAGAAAGAGAAAAGGAGAAAATCCCATTTAGAGTTACATCAAAAAGTTAAAAATATCACCCTGGCTGTTGTGGCTCAGTAGACTGAGCACGGGCCTGCAAACCAAAGGGTTTCCAGTTCGATTCCCTGACTGGCTGGATTGCAGGCCAGGTCCCATGGAGGGAGGCACATGAAAGGCAACTACACATTGATGTTTCTCTCCCTCTCCCTCCCTGCTCCTCTGTCTAAAAATAAATAAAATCTTTAAAAAAATTTTTTTAAATACCTAGGAATAAATTTTACCAAGGAAGTGAAAGACCTGTATTCTGAAAACTGTAAGACATTGATGAAAGAAGTTGAAGATACAAATAATCGAAAGATATACCATGCTCACGGATTGGAAGAATTAGTATTGGTTAAAATGTCCATACTTAAGCAAAGCAATCTGCAGATTCAGTGCAATCCCTATCAAATTACCAATGGCATTGTTCACAGAACTAGAACAAAGAATCCTGAAATTAGCATGGAATCATAAAGACCCCAAATATGTAAAGCAATCTTGAGAAAGAAGAGGTATCACATTCCCTTATATCAAACTATACTGCAAGCCTATAATAATCAAAACAGTGTGGTGCTGCCACAAAAATAGACACATAGATCAGTGGAATAGAACAGAGAAACCAGAAATAAACCCACACATATACATATGACGCATATGACAAAGGAGTCAAGAATATATAATGGGGTAAAAACCGTCTCTTCAATAAATGGTTTTGGGGAAACTGGGGAGAGACATGCAAAATAATGAAACCTGACCACTGTCTTACACCATTTTTATTAAAACTTGAATGTAAGACCTAAAACCATAAAACTCTTAAAACATGGGCAGTAAACTCTTTGACGTCAGTCAGTCTTAGCAATATTTTTTGGATATGGCTTCTCAGACAAGGGCAACAAAAGCAAAAATAAACAGATGGAATTACATCAGACAAGCTTTTTGCACAGTGAAGAAACCAACAAAACGAAGAGGCAGCAAGTATTGTCAAAGATGTGGAGGAAAGGGAACCTTCATACACTGGTGGCAATTTAAAGTAATGCAGCCACTATGAAAAAAAGTATGGAGGGTCCTCAAAAAAATTAAAAATAGAACTACCGTGTGATCCAGCAATTCCACTTGTGGGCATCTATCCAAAGATGATGAAAACTAATTTGAAAAGATAATGTGCACCCGTAGGTTCACTGCAACATTATTTGCAATAGCCAAAGTATGGAAACAACCTATGTATTCCTCAATAGACAAATGGATAAAGAAGATGGACATATATAAAATGGAATATATTACTCAGCCATAATAAAGAATGAAACCTTGCCATTTTCAACAGCATAGATGGACCTAGAAGGTATACTAAGTGAAGTGAGTCAGACATAAAAAAAATAGTGGATAATTTTACTTATAATGTGGAACCTAAAGGCAGAAACAGACTCATAGTTACAGGAAACAAACTGGTGGACACTGCAGGTGGGGGAGGGGTTGGGGAGCAGGTGAAATAAATGAAAGGGATTAAGAGGTAGAAACTTCTAGTAAAATGAATAAGCCATGAGGATGTCATGTACAGCACACAGGTATAGTTAATAACTGTAATGACAGGTGGTAACTAAACATGGGGACCATTTCATAATGTATGTAAATACCAAAGCACTCTGATAGACCCCTGAAATGAATAGGATATTGTATGTCAATTATACGTCAGTGGAAGGAAGGAACGACAAAGTGGGCCTGGGGTTGTGTCTTCATGCAACAGGGACGCTGGCTTTCCTGCAGTCACCCTAGCTATGTGGGCCTCTTTGGGGGCTGCTGAGCTGGGAGCCAAGGAGAGAGAGGCCTCCTGTCTGCAGAAGGCCTTCAGATTTTCCTCTGGGGCCAGGAGTTGAGGCAGGAGGAAACTGGTTCCCAAGAGGGTGGGATTGGGTGGCATCGATTGGGGCATGAAGGAGGACCTGAGGACATGATCTCTTTTGGGGAACCAGGCCCCCCTTCCCCTGTACTGGGAGCCCTGTCCCTTCCCATGCCTTCATTGGTCAAGTCTCACCTACAGCCTTGCCTTGTCTCTCTCTCTCCCTGCCTGACAGTGTGGTTGGTCTCAGCTTTGACTTTATTACCCTGAATCTGACGGGCTTTGTGGCCTACAGCGTGTTCAACATTGGCCTTTTCTGGTTGCCACACATCAAGGTATGGCTCTGCCTGCCCACCACAGCCCGACCCACGCCATTCCGTGGCCTGGCTGCCCCTCCCTCCTCAGCTTCTCCCCATCCCCTTAACAGGAGCAGTTTTTCCTCAAATACCCAAATGGAGTGAACCCTGTGGAAATTAATGATGTCTTCTTCAGCCTGCACGCCTTCGTCCTCACCCTGGTTGTCCTGGTGCAGTGCTTTCTGTATGAGGTGAGAGATGAAATTGGCACCTATGGCTGCCAGGCCAGCACCCACCACAACCACCTGCCATCCATACCTGCTGTTTTACTACAGAAGACACGGATCTCTCAGAAAGGACATGTCTGTTCACGCAGCATCTACTTAATGGGCCAGGATAATAGGCCAGGCCCTGTGCTGGGCAGAGACCACCCTGTGAGCCCAAGCTCTTGCCTCTCCACCTGCAGGTCTGGAGTGAGGGGCACAGAGAAACGATGATTAGAGCTGAGGGGGAGGGGAGAGCATGGGCAGCTCTTGGGAGGCCTGGCCCAACCAGTAAGGAGGGGGAAAGAAGGCCTCAAGGAAGTGGTGTTAGTTGTCCACAGGATGAGTTAGATTCCCTTGGCCATGGGAAGAGGGCCAGAGCGGGGGACGGAATTGTCAAGGCCAGGTGGCAATGAGAGGAACTGTGAATGGATGTGGGAAGCTGGGGTGCCACTGTGGGGAGTAGGCTAATGAGGGCCCTGAGAGATCCCAAGGGGTCCGGAGCCCAACCCAAAGGGCCTGAAGCCCGGGCTGAGGGGCCTGGACTTGGCCATGTTGCCAGAGGGTGGTTTGGTGTTTCGCCTGGAAAGGGTGGAGTTGGGCCATGTTTAAAAGGGTCACTAACATGCAATTTTCTTTCACTTGCCTATGGGTGCTCCCCTTCCCTCAGGGAGTTCCCTTCACACATGCAAGGCCAGCCAGGGGCTGCTTGGGCACCACCTTCATGAATCTTCTAGGTTTTCTTAGTCTTTTCTGTGAAGTTTGGATGGAGGCCTTCTCTGGGGACAGTTCAGGGAAGAGGACAGATTCTAGAGATGATCAGGCTCCCTCTGGATTGTGGGACAAGCCTAGGCTGGGATGAGGTGTTGGGTACCCCCCACCCCCCGCCCAGCACCTGTCGCTCCTGGTGGGCTCTGAGAGGCACCCAGTTCTGCGTTGTGGAAACAAGAAGAAATAGACTCCATAAAGTCCAAGAAGAACCAAACTAGAGACCCTAGGCATGACAAGGGCACTGCTGGTGTTGGGCTCTCTGTGCCCTCCCAGACACCCCACTTACCTCCCCTCTTTCCGCCCCACTTCATCCTCAGCGAGGCGACCAGCGTGTGTCCTGGCCTGCTATTGGCTTCCTGGTGCTCGCATGGCTCTTTGCGCTCATCATCTTGATTTTGGCTGTACTCGGGGTAACCACGTGGCTGCAGTTTCTCTTCTTCTTCTCCTACATCAAGCTCGCAGTGACACTGGTCAAGTATTTTCCACAGGTGCCTCCGGGGCCTGCATGCCTTTCCACAGGCCATTAGGGTGCGGGGTGCGGGGAGGTGGGGCAGTGAGATACAGACCCCGGGTCCTACTGCTGGCTGGGGCAAGGAAACGAATGGAAAGCTGCAGTGGAAGCCATGAGCCCCAGCAGGAGCAGGCCGCTTGGGGTGGGGTGGGTGAGCGGGGTCGGGGGGAGCTGGTGGGAGAAGCTGGCCATAACTGCTGCCTGCTCTTCCCTGCAGCCAGAAATCACACAGACTTCAGTGGAGACTCTTCTGAGCTCACACCTCAGCTCGGAGAGTCAGATTATACAGGTTTCTCCCATCTCTTTGTCCCCGTTTTCCTAATGACTTCAGTTCTGCGCCCAGTTACCACAGCTGATGTCCCTGAGCAACAGCAGCAGGACACTTGGGAAAGATGAGGTGGGAGGAGAGAGCCCACCACTACCACCTCCACCTCCCGTCCGGAGATGTTTTTCTCAGAGGGCTTATCCAGAGTCTTCCTTGTGAGCCCTCAGCAACCTCCCTCAAGTACCCAGACAGTCCTAGTTAGGGCAGAGTCAAACATGCCTTCCCAATAGCCGGAATGGTCTGGGCCAGGGTCAGAAATGAAGTAAGTACCAACTGCACACTCCACTTACGAGTGGGGGCATTTAATTCAGCTTGTTCTCAATGGAGAGTCCCCCTTTTCAGCTTCTCCAGCACAAGGAACCTTGTGTTCCGTGGGCTCAGGAAGGAGTACGTTTTGGCCAGTCAGGACCAGTCTCTTAAGAGGGCCTGCAAACAGGGCCAGACCCTTAAGGATAAACAAGAATTCTGCGACACCAGAGAAGGGGGCGTTCCAGGTTCGGGTCAGCCTACACAAAGGCACAGGCAGAAAAGCGTGGGAGGCAGCAAAGAGACCTGCTGGTTGAGCACTGTTGGGATAAAGGAAGCTGGGGGCTTGGGAAGAAGGCTTCAAAGTCGGGGGAAGGTCTTGAGGGAAGTGGGGCCTCAGTCCCTGAATGTGGGAAAGCTTGGGGCTGGGAAACCTGGGAGGCAGGAGTCCCACGTGGAGACATTTGAAACTGTCCATGACGGGAGAGGTGGCCGCAAGTATGGAGAGGGTGGAAGAGGACAAAAAAGGGGACCTGGCTGATGGCTGACAGAGAGAAGACCACTAAAGGAGCCAAGTCAGAGAAGCCCAGAGGGTGCTGGCATTGGAGAGAGGAGTGGGGTGCTGGCAGTAGGGAGGGGTATGTCCAAGTGGACCCGCCCACGAGACCTGGGAAGCCTGAGACAGAGACCCTGGAGTCTAGGCAGGGCGGAGGTGGCAGGTAAGTCCAGTCTGCAGAGGGAGAGACCAAGGAGAACTCCAGTAATTCTCCCAAGGAAACCAAGCTCCAGTGGTGGAGGCAGTGTTCCAAACCAGGCAGTCAGACCTCAGCTGCATTCCCAAGCATAACATGAAGTCCAGGCTCTGTTTGTGGAATCTCCACTGGAGATGAGAAAAATCCGAGTGGCTGAAAAACTCCGATAAGGTTTTGTCCCAGAACAGGGACGGATGAAGATGGAAAAGCAGTCTGCCATCCTCCCTCTGTTGGAGCCATGTGGTGCAGGGGTGGGAGGAGGGGGTTGTTTGCTGTGCATGCCGCTGAGACCCTAGGACCCACCCAAACTTCTGTCAAGGCTTGTCAGAGCCCAAAGGTCACTGTGTTCCTTGGAGCAGAGGCCAGAGCACATGAGTGGGAGGAATTAGAGCCGCTCTTGTTTGGAGTGGCAGTCACAAGGTGCGTGAGGCAGCCACGCAGCCCCCTCACCGCCCTCCATTGCTTTGCACAGGCTTATATGAACTTTGTCTACAAAAGTACCGAGGGCTGGAGCATTGGCAATGTGCTTCTGGACTTCACTGGGGGCTCCTTCAGCCTCCTCCAGATGTTCCTCCAGTCCTACAACAATGGTGAGTCAATCAACAGTGGGCTGGAGGCACAAGGTGGGGCCGGGGGGGGTGGCTAGCCCCAGCCCCACAGCCTGGTATCTCGGTGATCCGAACAGTCCCAGTCCCTAGGTCACGGAGGGGCATTTGCAGCTGGAGGGTTTGTGGTTTCCTGAATAGGGGAGGACCCTCGCCCCCACCCTCCACAGCCCCACAAGCCGCCAACCTAAAACCAGATTCTGTCCCCTCTTGCTGTTAACAGACCAGTGGACACTGATCTTTGGAGACCCAACCAAGTTTGGACTCGGCATCTTCTCCATCTTCTTCGATATTGTCTTCTTCGTCCAGCACTTCTGCTTGTACAGAAAGAAACCAGGGTATGAGCAGGTGAACTAGCACCCCGGGCCCCAGTTAAACAGCCTAGGCCCTGTGCCCAGGAGGAAGGTCGGAGAGGTGGTCTAGAGTGCAGGGCTGGCTCCACATGCTGACAGCGGAGAAGCACTCTCTTCCTCAGGGTCAAATGCCTTAAACAGGAACCAGCCTGCCTTCGTCCACGACTCTTCAGGGCCTGGGACAGGAAGAAAACTTCCTTCTGGGACAGACACCTGACTCTGCTCTGAGATTAACAGGCAGGCTGCTGGTGGCCCTTCTCGGGTCTTGGCCAGTCATCTGCCCTCTGCCCTCCTGCAACTTGCTGTTGCCGTCTCTGTTTCTTTTAAGGCTTCAGGCAGCACCCACAGGTTCTGACAGCCATCCCAAGCAGATTGGATGTTGAGCTAGGAGCTGAAAGTCGTCTTGCCCAAGCACCCAGTGTTTCAGGGAGCAGCCAAAGGACTGACCTTACAGCTGGGAGCGCCAAGGGCACTTTGGTGCTGCTGCTGTGTTTCTAAAGACGAAGCAGCCAGGTGCTGGTGCCAGAGGAGCTGGGACTTTGGGGTTAGGCCCTGGGGTCCCATCTTTGAAGGCCACGTTATCTATAACTCAACTTTCACAACTGCAGTCACAGGTGGCCCCAGCCAGTGCCTAGTAGAGAAACAGTATTTCTGGGTCTGGAGGTGCTCAATAGATTGGTTCTGAACTGGGCTCACACCCAAGGAGACCTCTGGATCTTTATCACATTAACACCCCTTTTGGGTATTCTGGAGGGATGTTTTGGGAGTGGCTGGCTGCCTACCTCCACTTCTCCTGAGTCGGGGCCCCCTGTGAGCCCATCCTCTGCCCGTGCCTTTGAGGCTTATCCAACCTGCCAGACGGTGAGGCAGCTCCCCTGGGGGCAGGGCAGGCCTGCCTTGCCTTCGCTTCCCCAGGCCTCTAAGTCTCACCACTTTTTTGGATGTTCAGGAGCCTTAGAAAAGAACTTAAAACCAACACACAATTCTCATGGGCCAACCCTGATCCTAAATCCCCTTCCCTCTCAACCCAACCAGTTGTCCTTCCTGGGTCAGGGCAGGGGGTGGGAGGTCGGTGCCAGGCGTGCCTTGTATGTGCCTTGAGTTTGTCAGTCTACTCTCCTACTTTTTACTGTGAGATCAGTGTGAGAGTGTATATCCTGAATTAAAACCAGATTGTTTCCTTTTGTGCACTGAGCATTTGTTAGATGCAGGATGTAGGTGTGTTGGCATTGACACCGAGTCCTTGGGACATAGGGAGACAGCCTTGGAGACAGCCTTACTCCCTGCATGTAAGGAAAGTCATGGAATTGTGAAGCTCACCGGTCCCACAGAGACTGCGTGCAGATCTGGCACTTCATCAGGGGAACCCTCTTGTGTAGCTCAAGACACCTGCCTGCTCAGGGCCAAGTAGGTCCCACAGGTACTACATCTCTGCATTACCAAGGGCTCCCTGCTCAAGGTGTGGTTGCAAGCAGGGTTTGGATAAGGCCTTTAGGAGCTGGCCACCCCTAGGAGTGAAGGGATGACTGATTTTTCCAGATTCTTCCTCTACCCAGGTGTAAAAATATCAAAGAATTTAGGATCTTATTTCCCCAAATCAGAGATTGTAGCCTGACCAAGTATGCACACCTGTTTTATTTGGGCCACCCAGTGTTACAAGGTGTCACACTTTAAAAACGAGGGGACTTCGAAAATCTGACTTGGCAGTGGGTCCATGAGTGGCAGCAATTCCCAGAGCTGGTAGGGCAGGCAACCTGTGGCAAGCCAGCCAGAGACCCTGGAGCTCTCCAGTTCCCCGTCTTGTCAGATGGCAGCCCTGGAAACTTGGGGTTGCGTCCCTGCCTGTGATCAACTGAGCGCTCTTAAGAGTTTTAGGGGCTGGGTAATTCTCCCATGAACCCCTCGGTGTCCATGAGGCCCCTCCTGGGTGGGAACTGAGACCAAGTTCATAAGGGAAGTTGGGGACTCCCTGCGCACTTGCAGTGAAGGTGCCTGCACATATTCCATAGATGTGGCCAGGCAGAGCACCGTGTCAGGTAGACCTGGGAGAAGTGGGGCTTCATAGAGGAGCTGGGGCCAGGTCAGCCAGCCTTACAACCAAAGCTCTCTCCATAATCCACCCCCCGGGGACCCCACCCCTGTGCCTCAGCGAAGACCCACTGTGGATTCCAGCACTGTTCACTGGGCACAAGATGTCAGGTGTCAGGCAGCTGGCTTCATACTGCCCCATTTCCACAGTGACCAAAGTGAGGCATGTTCACTTGTTAAGAGTCATCATTCCCAGATTGAATTAGTAATCTACATTCAAAAGTAGAATTGGCATCTCCAAATAATAATGCTTTGTATCAAAATTGTGATTAAAAAAATACAAAAGTTAAACCCACAGGCACAAGGGAAAATGGCAGTCCTGAGAACTGCCCTAAAATGTCAGCCTCAATCCTGTCTAAATCTTGTGAGCTGGCAAGCCCTGGGGAGGCCAGCACCCCGCAGGGGAGTGGGGGTGCGATGGGTGCACTGTGAGCCTGCCTGGCTTCCGTCCTGGCCAGCTTCGTCGTGCCTATGGCAGTGCTGAATTCCCCCTGCGCAACAGGGGAAAGCGTGGGACACAGGCACTTTGGAGCTGAGACAGGGCAGGGCCGAGCCCCGCAGCCAGGGCAGTGTGGGAAAGGCTGGCCCCGCCTGGCACTGTTTTGTAGCTGCTCTCAGAAGTGGGGCCTCCTGCTCACCTGGGCATTTCCAAGACCAGGCGGCAGGGTCTGGGGGCCAAGCCTGTGGTCACTACAGACTGACTACAGCTCAGCTCCAGGCCGCTGTTTCCAGTTTTCCGTGTCCGAGGGAGAGCTGGTCTCAGAGCCTCAGACCACTGGTAGGAGGGGAAGGAAGGCCAGGTCAGACCTGTGGGACCAGCTTTTCCCTTCTGAGCGGGGGCCCAGGACTCAGCAGAAGGATTAGGAGCAGACTGTGGAAGTAGTGTCACTGTACAAGAGGAGGCAGGCACGTGTTGGGATCTGGGCAGGCTGCTAGGACAGCATGGACTGCTGCACCGCCTTCTGCAGTGACTGCCGTGTCACCAGCAGGCGCACCACCTCTTCCGAGCGCTTGGTGAGCCGCTTCCGGGCCTGGTCGTGTGTGACCATGGTCATGTCCCAGCCATTCACCTGACCCAGGGAGAGAAAAATACAGCCACCTCAGTACCCTGCTCTCTGGGATCTGGAAGTAGGATGGGCTTTCGGGAGCCTGGGTTACCCCAGCAGGCCCCTAGCTGATGTGCCCAGGGTGGTGGATGCCAAGCATTGCAGCTGAACACAGAAGAGATCCAGCTTCCCCAGGGGCAAGACCAGCGTGGGCTCCAAAATAGCTTCGGTGAGTCTCCCAAGTGTCCTGGGAGGCAGGGGCAGCCCCCGCCCCACTCCCAAATGCTTCAGCCGCTCTGACCCAAGCCTTGTTTTTCTCTTCTGGGACTTCACGTACCTGCATGATCTTGTCTCCGATCTGCAGCCCAGCAATTTCAGCAGGGCCTCCTTCGGATACCCGTGTGACATAAATACCCTGGAAAGAGACAGCCCAGGTGAAGCCCTGGGTTCACTGGACTGGCCCTTTATCCACAGAGCCAAGCACAGCATACTCTCAGCTGTCCATCTGTCCATTCCTGCACCAAGCCAACCACCCACCCTTGGGCACAGGCTATGCCAAGACAGCCAAGGGGACAGCGGGCTGCCTCATAGATGCTCCATCCTCTGCTGCTCTTGGGTTGCCTGAACAGTCCTTCCTAGGGCTGGGAGGCCCACTCCTCAGCCCCGCCCCTTTACTTATTCCCACTACATCACTTTTTAAGCTTTCTTAAAGAGGACTATCTGAGAGATGTCTGCTCCTTCCACAAAGGCTCAGGAAACAAAGATGTCACACAAACCCCCACCCCGGCCTCTTTGCTGCACAGAGAGGCCCCAGGATCCTGGTCCTCCTCACCTTATCCGTCTTATCTTCAGAAAAAGGATTCTGGGAGGGATCCTGGTCAATTCCACCTCCAATGCTGAAGCCCAGGATTAAGTTCTCACCTTGACGCAGCTTGTGAATTTCAACTCTTTGCTGGTAAAGAGAAAAATGAATTAGGGTTTGGTGGGTGTGTGGAGAACAAATCTGGTCTGTCTCCTGAAGCAGCCTCAGGCTGTTGGGACAGCTCAGCCATGCCAGGAGGATGGGGCACAAATCCAGCTGCACAAATCCAGCTGGTCACCAGCCTGGGAGGCTAGGGGGTTGAGACAACGCAGCCACATCAACCGACCCACACAACCCTCTGTCCCAACTTCTCTCCCCCCTTCCTCTGTCTTGCGCATCAATCAGTCCTAGTCACACATGGGCTAAGCCCTGCCTAGCCCAAGAGCTAGGACGCTATGCTTGCTATTGATGGGGCCTGTGTCCCAGGGGAGGGACCACACAGGGCAGGAAAGGTCAGGCCCTGGGAAAAAAGTGCAGGCAGCTTGCTGAAGCAGCTCAGATTGCTGAGCCAGCCCAATCAAGGGCAAGACAGAAGCAGCTCAGGAAAAGTAGAGATCGCACTTGCATGGGACGCGGGGGGGGGGGGGGGGGCGCTGTCCTGACTAAGGAACAGGCAGAGGCTTGAAGGTGCTGTAGATACATAGGTCCATGAGACCAGGGTATACAGCACAGGACCGGAACTGGGAGGTGAGATGAGGCTGGGGTCAGACAGGAAGGCCATGAAATGCAGGCCTAGGAGAATGGCCCACAGGAAGCCCCAAATCTTGTGCAGTGTAAGAGGTGAAGGTGTCTTAAGAATTCTACCACCATATCTGGGGTGCGGTCCCCAGCAGTGCCAAGCTCCTTTCAAAGCCTTCAGCAGGCATGCTTCAGTCACCAGATGCTGGGAATCGGACCAGATCATCCTACCCCAAAAGTTGAGAGTTTTAACACACGAAAAAAAAGCAAAAGGTGACTTTATCTGGACATAAGGGAGTGGCCAAGAGTTCGGCCACCCGGCATTCATTGCAAGCCCACTGGAGTTCTCAGGAGTTGGCAGGTAGAGCTGGTCGTGATCAGGTTTGATGCTAGAAGGACCACTCAGGTAGTAGGAGAATGGACGTCTCTTAGAAGTGGGATGTAGAAGCCAGGAGACATGAACTACTAGCAAAACAACATCAACAGACTTAGAGTTTGTTCATGGCAGAGAAGTCAAGGGGAACATCTGGTCACCTGGCCTGGCTAAACAACCTCAGATGGAGACCCTAAAGGAGTAACATGCTGAGTGTGAGTGCCAAGGGCCATTCAGGCAGGTGTCCCGAAGGCAGCCGGCCTGTGAAGCTAGAGTCCAAGAGGACAAAATGGTTTTAACTTTCTCAAGATGTTAACTACATGGGAGATGGCAGGGGCCAGGGAGGAAGCTTCCCCCTCCCCTATTCCCAGTTGAACGGGGGCAGGGGTGGGGGGGCCAAATCCCACCTACCACATCAAATATGTTAGAATTGTGAGGTCATGGTCCTACAGCTTTGAGGAGGGGCCACGGACCAGCCGTAACATGAGGTGGGGAGCAGGGAGCATAACCTCAGAGGCCCACTGGACCTAGGGCTTCATGCCCTGAAGAGAGCTGCAGGCCTGCTCCACCTCCTCCAACCCATACTTTTGACCCACCTTCAAGATCAGAAAAGAATATAGGCTCTTGGGCTGGGAGACAAGGCTCTGTCACTGACTTGTTGGGTGAAGTCAGGAATCAAATCACCTCTCTGGCTCTTCACTTGTAACCATATCTTTTTCCAGCTAAAGAACAAGCCTGATCCTTTCCCTCTGGGGCAGCTAGGGATCTGGAAGTCAGGCGGGTACAGCCAGGGTGAAGGTTAGGACAGTTCTCAGCAAGTCCAAGAATGTTTTGTCCTAGCCCTGGCCTGAGCTGCTGCTCTAAGCTCACCATCACATGCAGCCTTTATCAGTGACTTCACACCACTCCACCTGACTCCCAGCACGCCCATCTGAGATCATTTTGCCACTACCCCAGAGCTGGGACTTCCACCAGATCCAGTGCATGCCTAACAGGCATTCTCAGAGATCAGGGTCCTTCCTAAGGGTTTCTTTATAAGGCTGGCCATGAATAGACCTCTCTGGGACTCACTCCCCGACCTCCTGGCCTCCAGGTGCCACCCAGCTGTTGCACTGGCGTCTGGGTCTAAGGTCCCAGCCTGCCTTTAATTATTCTAATAGCACCTGACATCCAAGACATGCTGAAGGGTGGGATGGGCGTGTGGGCCAGGGGCCTGAGCTGACTCCAAAGGGTCTCTCCTCAGGCCCCAAGTGCCAGGCAGGGGACCTGGACTTAGCCCCACGGTCTGGGGATCCAGGAAGAGTTCCGAGCAGAACCAAGCCCGTTATATGAGCCTTTACTCTGAACCGAGTGGTGGTGAATCCCAGGAAGGAAGGAGGGGTAAGGGGCTGTTACGTAAGCCCCGGCCCCCTCCACGCCTCAAATCCTCCTCCGGGCGGCGGCTCCCACTGGAGTGGAGGAAGCACTTCCTCATTCCAGAGGCTAAGACTCACGGATGTCCGGGCCGGCGCCTGCCCCCCGCGGCTACCCAGCTGGGATTGCAGGCCCAGGAAGGCCCCGAGCGCTTTCCCAGATTCCCACAAGCCTGGCCTTTCTCCTCGATTCTCCCCGCCCTGGACGGCTGAAAGGAGTCCAGCGCGGCGACGGCGACGGCAGCGCGCGGGGTCTGGCTAGGTCCAGGGTATGAGGAGGCTCTTGGGTCCCAGCCTTCTCGTTACAAGGCTGGAGAGACCGCGGTTGGAGTGGAGACTGAAGCTCTGGCCGCGATTTGCAGGAGCCATGGGTTTGAAACTTTGTCAACCTGTTTGGGGAGTCAGTTTACCACTCTGCAAAGTGGGAGCAACACAGGACAAGGAAGAACCCGCGCGAGCGCACTCACCACCACGGCAGTGACCGGTTGGCCCGGGATGTAGGACATCTCGACCCCAATCTGGCAACCAAGCACCGTTCAGCGAAACCCGCAGCGAAAATCCTAAGGACCGCGCCCTCTGGTTAACAAAGGCCGTCTGGCTGGGCCCGCCCCCTTATGAATAGTTAACAAATTCCCAACCAATCACCCACCGGATCGCTGTTCGGCTTTCGGAAGTCCCTGCGTGTGCGTAGTAAAACGGAGTGTAGGCGGAACGTGCTTGGGGCACCCGCAGCGCAGGCGCCAGAGGGCGGGAGTGAGGGGTTGACGCATGCGCAGCCGGGCCTTCCCAGCAGTCTCTAGAGCAACATGGCGCCGCGGGGTTCTGTACCTGTGACTGTCTGAGGGAAGGCCAAGTAACTGTCTGCGGCCGTGTTCCAGGTAACCGGGCGAGCCTGGGCGGGGAATGCAGACGTGCTGCCGCTCCCCCTAACCCCGAGCTCGCTGGAGCTCGCCCGAGCTTTCAGCCTCTCTGCGTCTTTTGAAGGTTCGAGTAGAGCGAGGTTTTGAAAGCCCTAAGGAGAGGGCCGGCATGAACCCGCTTGCTAAGCTCCGGGCGCCGCTTGTAACTTGGTTTTTCTCCGCAGCTCCGCGGGAAAGCAGAGACTGAGCCCCGGAGGGTGCGATGGCCGCTGTGGTGGCCAAGCGGGAAGGGCCGCCGTTCATCAGCGAGGCAGCTGTGCGAGGCAACGCCGCAGTCCTGGATTACTGCCGCACCTCAGTGTCAGCGCTGTCGGGGGCCACGGCCGGCATTCTCGGCCTCACCGGCCTCTACGGCTTCATCTTCTACCTGCTAGCCTCCATCCTGCTCTCCCTGCTCTTAATTCTCAAGGCGGGAAGGAGGTGGAACAAATATTTTAAGTCACGAAGACCTCTGTTTACAGGAGGTCTCATCGGAGGCCTCTTCACCTACGTCCTGTTCTGGACATTCCTCTATGGCATGGTGCACGTCTACTGAAATGGGGGCAGGGATGACTTTCTAAAAAAACCAGATTGGGAAGACTATTGCCAGAAATTAACAACGTGTAGAGTTACTTAGTTTTTAAATTGTTGAATTCGCTGCTTGTTCTGTAACGTTATAAGTAACTTATATCAAGACGAAGAGCTTGTAATATTCTTCAGATTAAATGAAGCGTGAGACACTGGGTGGAGTTTTTTCCTACCGTAACGCATACCCCCTGTCTGCCGTGGCTGCAGAATCGCCGAGTTTTGACGCTTGGAGAGCTGGGACTGAGGCTTAGTCTTCTGTAATTTCCTTGCATTTACACTAGGGCCTAAATACGCAGAGAACTTAACATCCAAAGAACTAATAACAATATTTATTGTGTGTTCTATAGGCCAGGCATTGTGCCTTGTACGTTTTATGCCCATTATCTCATTTAATTCTAGCAATATCCTCATGGAGTAGATATGATTATTGTCCCCCGTTGATGAACGTAAGGCGGCAGAGGAGGCACAGTTTCAAAAAGGCAGAGGCAGGACTCAGATGCAGGTCTCTTCATTGCTCTTGCCGTATTGGCTGAGTGAACTTGTTCAGAGCCCAGCCTTCCCTTCCACTAACCCCTGCTTTCAGGTATGAATGATGTCCTGTCAGTTCCATTTCACCTAGTTACAGCTAAATGTCATTTTCATTTAAAAAAAATTCAAGCTCTTTTTTAAAATACGAAGATTATACAAACTGGACATTTTTAAACTAAACATTGGGCTTGTCTAGAGTGAACATGTTGCTCATAGAATTTATAGTCTAACTGGCAAGACCAGCATCACCTAATTCCACAGATATTTAAGTGATGGTAAGAGCTAGGAAAAGAGTACACAGGAACCCCAAGCTGAACCCAAGTTGGGAGGTGAGGTCGAGAAAGGCTTCTTTGAGGAAATAACAGAGAAGCGAAGGTTAAATGACAGCCAAGTAAAGTGTGGAGAAGGAGGTACTTACTTGCAAGAAAGCACACATGTGAGGGCCATTGGTCAGGAAAGAACCTGGCCTGTACTTGAAGCGTTAGAGCAGCTATGGGGTAGACCTGGACTGGGTCACCGAGGGCCACGGTGGGGTGTGTGGCTTTGATTCTAAGAGTAACAGAGAGTCTGGAAGTACTGGGGGAGGCCTTTGGGAGTTTTAGTTCGGTGTTAATGTGATCAGATTTGGATGATTTTTTTTTTTTTTATTTAAATCAGTTTTAGATCAGAAGGGATCTGAGAGCTTGAATTCAAGTTGCCTAGGCAGGTGGTATTGGCCCATGGCCAGTGATGGAAATGGATCTGGGACCCAGGCTTCCTGAATTCCATTTTGGGTTCCGGTCCATGTGCTCACACGTTGAAGCCAAGAAGCAGCTGAGGCCACAGCTCTGCCCCCCTGTCCCCCAGTGACTTCATCGGAGCCCTTACCCTGACCGCCGGCACTGACGGTGCTTGCAGTCATGGTTTGCACCCCCTCTCCAGAACTCCGCAGTCCTGCTCAGCGCCTTCTCTGAGTGGGAAGAGAGGATTCGTTCCTGATGCGCGCTAAGGAAGAAGGGGCCGGGGCAGGGGGGAGGGTGGGGGCGGCACAGTGAGGGAGGACGAGGTAAATGAGCTGATTTACTTAACTCTTCCTCTGTTAAGCAGTAAGTTTGAAATGTTCACTATTATAAAAAATATTGCAATGAATGTTTTCATATCTATATTTTTAAGGAAATTTAATAAGCTAGAGCACAAGATTAAAACTTAATTCCAAATGCTTTCCAGAGTTTTATCAAATCATTGAATGAAAAGTGCCATTTTATCAGTGCCTTCCTAGTCCTAACGTTTGCTAATTTAAAGGGTTTCCTTACTTTCACTTGAACTTCTTTGCAAGATAGGAACATAATATATTGCTCACTAATCATTTCTGTGTCTGCTTCTTTTGGTCTCACTTTCTCCTTCTATTTTCCTCTAAAACAGGTGACCACGAAGTCATGAAGGGAGAAAAATCATGACACATTTAAAATTAATCCTTTTATTGTTTTATAACCACATAACAATGTCAGAGAATACATTTTCTGGGCAGGTCCCAGAAAATTTGCCAACTTCCCCCCTTTAATTCAGTGTACTGGCCTAAGGGAAACAAACACCTGGATGAAAGGAGTGCCTTTGGAGAGAACACTCTTACGTCCACTGAGAGTCTGCTCTGGGGAAAGTTGCATCACTTGGGTAGAGGCGGTGGGTTGGAACCAGGTGAGCCCTTTTCCAGATGTACAGGATGCCATGCCAAGTGGCATGATTTAGGGACTCTGCAGGGCACTGTAGTCTTTAGCTGGGGCGCTTAGAGGCACCGGGAGGACGTCTCGTTCCCCCTTCACAAGCGGTCCCCCAGTGGGCTGTCAGCCACTGAGAAGAAAGAACTGATGGGGTGGCAGGAAGAAAAGGCAGCCATGACTGGTCGGTCCTCACGACCCCTGCCTCAGGGGTAGAGGGCCTGGGCTCCTCACGGTGGGGCCCCACAATGTCATGGATAGCACCCAATTTACAAATTTATTTTTGACCAAGGCACGGAATAACACAGTCGTTAGGCAAAGCCAGTTGGATGGCTTTAGGCCAGGGCCTGAACATGCACGGACAATTCACGGGCTCCTGCTCTGTCAGCCCTGGGAGGCTGCTGTGCCCGTCTTCCTGCCGAGGCCACGGCTGCCCTGAGAAAGAGGGGCTTCCCCGGGTTCAGAAGGAGCTCAAGTCCCTGCTTCACTTCTCATCTCAAAGCCAGTTTCCGTAAGATTAATGAGCCCTTCCCCGCCCCACACCAACATTATGAAAAAGACCAAAAGAAAAAAGAAGACAGGGAAGGGACTGGGGGACGGGCTAAAGCGAGGGAACTTCAGCAACGTGCACATGTGCAGCACGATCCAGAAGCTGTAGTGGGGTCACTGGCTTTTCTGAGCATGGCCCCCCGACATGTAGTAGGAAGGCCCCCTGGAAAGCTTTGCTGCACTTGAAGAAACAATTTAGGCTGAGCAAGCCCTCCGTGGCAGTGAAGTTTAGTGGGGCAGCCCTTAGAGTTGATGGAAAGGGCCCTGGCCGGTAGCTTGGTTGGTTAGACTAACCAACTAGCCGTTAGAGCATTGTCCCAGCATGGTAGTGTTCCCAGTTCCATTCCCCCGGTCTGCGTTTCAGTGCTTCTCTCCCACCCCTGACCTCTGCCCCTTCCACTCTGAAATCAACAAGGGAAAAAAGTAAAGCTGATGACAGCCTCACAGCTACGGCTGCGCTGCCGTCCCCCAGTTCCTCAGCTGCCCCTTCTTGTCAAGGGGCTTTTACATGTGGTTCCCTTACCTGGAAGACTTCCTCCATCACCTGGTTAGACTGCTACTAGCCTTTCAGATTTCAATTTCTATGTCACTTCCTTGGGGAAACGCTCTCTGCCGCCTCCGTTCAAACCTCGGTTGGCCTGTGGCGGGGTGTGAGCCTACTGGTTAGGGTCCGCTCCCCCCGCCCCGGGCTGGAAGCTCTCCAGCAGGGGCTGTTTCTGTGTTGCTTGCCACTGTGTCACCAGCATTTAATCCAACACCTGACACGATAGGTATTCAGTAAATATTTACTGACTGGATAGTGCAGGAAAACATTTGCATTCCAGTATAAAGTAGCACAACTGTTTTTAGGTTTTATGGCTGCTGCCAAGCAATTCCAAAAACAGATTAAGAGAAACCAGATCAATTCCTGAGCAGCCTGCCCTTTTTCCCTTCCAAACATAAAAGTGAGATGCTGGATCATCCAGTCCAAGGGTTTGCCTTAGCGATGAAGCAAAGCACCGTACTGGATCGCCCAGAGTGCTCACTTCCTACTCAGAGGGCAGGTGGCCTTGCTGACTGGTTACCAGGCAGCTCACGGTCAGGGAGCTGCTTGCTCGAGGGACGTCTCAGACGCCTTCTGACCCTCTCCAAAGACCCCGAGGAAAGGAAGCTCACCTCCTCCTCTGTGTGCAGAGAAGAGCCAGGCTCCCCTGACCCAAGGGTGGCCCAGAGCACACTTCCAAGGAGGACACTCCCCAGGGGGGCCAGCAGCTGTGCAAACCCAGCCCTGGCGACCTTCGCTGCTGCGGAGTCCTAGGTCTCCCTTGGGCGTATTACACAGGGACTCCTCAGACACCGGAGGGGGGCCGGGGGAGAGCAAGCGAGCCAGCTGCCTCCCGGCGCAGTCTGCCAGCCCATTCCATCGAGTTCCTTCCTGACAAGGGGAGACTTGGTCTGATGTTACACGCATCAGGAAAAGTTCATTTCCTGAGGGAGGACACGAGTAACCAAGTGGATTCTCAGCTTGAAAACAAGGGAGCCGCTTGGAACTGGAAACACAGGTTGCCTCAAGAACAAGGGTGGGAGGGAAGCGTCCAGTGTATTCTTTGTACCTTTTAAATTGTGGATCATATATTATCTAGTTAAAATATTTTAATTTAAATGAACTGAGTGTAATGCTCCTTTCCCTGGGGCAGGGAGGGAGGTCCTGTCAGTCTCAAGGTAGAATGTGTGCAAGTCTGACATAGAAGTTAGCACCACCCACCAAAGCTGGCTCTTTTCCTCCTTCAGAGCCAGGCTTTGCAGATCTGCTCAACCAGGGCCCCTCAAAATGTACTGGGTGCACGAATCACTTGGGAGTGTTATTGAAACATAGGTTCTGATTTAGGAGAAAGGGAGGGACCAGAGACTGCACGGCGAGGCGATGCTGCTGGTCCAGGGACCACACTTTGAATAGCAAAGCTCTACAGCCACCAGGGGAGGGAAGCAGCAGAGTTCTGCAGGGTGGGGCTGCGATGGAGGGGGTGGAGAAGGAGGGGCAGGGGTGAGGTGCGAGGACCCCCCCCAATAAGGGTTCCACCTGCTGAGTGAGCACCTTGCAGACCCAGCCAGCCTTTGAGGAGGGAGGGAGGGAGGGAGGGAAGCTGGGCAGAGACATCCAACCCCAGAAGAGCAAGAGCCAAATCACAGACAACACTCATCCAAGTGGGTGAGCACTGTGCCCAGAGGTTCCCCAGGCTGGGCGGGTCAGGCTGGAGCAGAGGCCCTGCCTCCCCTTCCTCGCCTTACCCAGAAGCCCTCAGAGACTGCCTGTCCCCCAAGGGCCAACTGCCTCCTGAAGGGTCCAGTCCTCTCCTGGTTGCCTCCTTGGCCACCTTTAAATTGAATCCCTGGGGGCAAAGGTCTTTCTCTGAGGGGTTATCGTGTTCTATGGGAATCTGTGCAAGTCTCAGCTAGAGGCTGATGGCCAGAGTGGCTGAGCCTGGCTATCATGTCTGCTGCCTCTGAAGGGAATGACACATGTGCGCCCCTCCCCGAGGGCCCAGTCAGCATCTCATTTGAGCATCTCTTGGACAAGGCCCAGCCCACAGAAAAAAATGTTTACTGCATATATGAATAAATGAGTGAATCAATGTCCAGCTAGGCTCTCAGAAAAAAGGAAAACACTCGTGTATCAGTGACACCCTGCCCTGCCCCGCTTCCCTCTCCAGGGTCTCCTCTTCTGGATCTGAGCCACTCTGGCCACCCGGAGACTCTCCTCCCCACACATACAACAAAAAGCGTGTAGCAAGATCCCAGGATGAGACGGTGGTGCTGGAAGCCCCTGTCCCCCGCAGGCGCAGACAAGAGGCCGCCCCACTTTAGTGCTGCAGACGGTTCTGTCCTGCTGTCTTCCCCTACGCCTCCACTGTCTGCAGGCTCTGCAGCTGCTCCACGTTCACCTTTCCATTTGCTGAGTGGCCAGACCTTTGGGGGTGAGGGTAGGGGAAGGGGGCACACAGAGGGCAGAGAGCATGGTTGGGAACGCTGTGGACAGGGACAGCCCACCTAAAGGCAAACTTCGCCCGTAGCAGCCTCTCGCTGGCAGCTCTGCAGGCACTGAGAGCATCCGCAGAGGCAGGCAGCGTGTCGGGGTCCCTGGCTGCAGCCCAGGCACGCGTGGGTGCTCAGGCCCAGGCCTCTGGAGCTGCCCCAGCAATGAGCAGCAGCGCTGGCGGTGGCGCCTCGTGCCTCCCACAATAGGTGGGGCTGCTCCGAGACCAGCAGGGTGGCCGTTCATCCCTGTCACAGGCTAAGGACCTCAGGCGAGCACCCAAGAAGTGACAGCTCAAGGAGCAGGTGGGGGCCCCTGGGTGCCCAGCCTTCCCCAGCAGACCCCCAGCCTCCTCTGCCTCCTTGCCCCAGCAGCTGCAGCCCCTACAGGCTCTCCTCCTTCACCCCTCTCCATGCTTCGCCCTTCCTCTCTGTCCCAGTCCTTTTCTTACCCCTACTCTGCCCAGGCCCAGCTCCTGGCTGGAGGCTGCCAACCCCTGAGTCAGCAAGGAATGAAAGCTGGGGCAGGAGCGAAGTTCACCCCAGGCCAGCCAACTCCTCCTGGGATGCGGTTTACAAGAGGAGAATTGCAGAGCCTGAGCCTAGCTGGGTGGCAGGGGCCCCTGTGCAGCCCCCGCTGGGAAAATAAGCAGGAGTCAGGGGAAACAGGCCCAGAAAGGGTCAGGCCCCTGCTCTCGAGCACACGGGGAGGCAGAGGCCAGGCCCCTCCTGTCTCAGCCCGGGGCTCCCTCCTGCACCAGGCTGCAGCCACACCTGCGGAAACAAACAGGCTGCCCCGGACATTGCCCCAGGGCAGGGCAGCCCTCGGGCAACCTGTCAGCACAGCCACCACCCTCGGAGGCTCAGGCACCTCCAGAAATTCCACTTCGAGAGGCACTTAGGGAAAGCATCTGCCCAGGGTAAAGGTCCTGAGACAGGGCGGGGGCTGACGGAGGCGCCTCCACGAGGCTCCCGGTGGGCCGCTGGGGAAGAGGCATAGCTGACCTTACTTCCTCATATTTCTTGTTGCGGTAAAAGTTGCTCTTTTTGATGAAGTAGATGAGTACCAGGTCGCAGAGGAAAGACCCCTGCAAAAGAGTTGGGGATCCCTGACTCAGAACCCTAAACCTCTGGACAGCCCACAGACACTTGACCATACTCACCCCATTCAATCCTGTCACAGTCCCAGAAGGGGGCATCGCTGTCCCCATTTCATAGATGGTAAAACTGAGCTCAAAAAGAGGCACCTTTGTTTAAGGCCACCAAGCTGCTCCGTGGTAGAGCCCAGGTTAGCCTGGCATCCATCTGATCCCTCGGGCTGAGCACCTCCCACACTAGCCTGACTCCGTCAAACTAGATCTCTAGCAAATGTCTGCGGAGCATTCACCAGGTGCCCGGTATGGCGCGCGGCGGTGGGGGGGGGGGGGGCGGGGGGGGCGGGCGCGGGGCAGGGAGAAATAGGACAATGAGGCCCTCTGGGGACTCGCCCTCTGGTGCAGAAGACAAGCGTGTAACTTATGGCACAGAGCGACAAGTCCTATGATGGGGAGAGGAGCAGGGGAGCAGAGAGAAGGTGGGAACTGACTCAGCTTGGGCTGAGTCTTGCGGGCCAAATAGGAATTTATACAAAGGGAGACTCAAAGCTCGAGATGGGCATTGGAGACATCGGAACAAGCTTGTCCTGCCTGGGAAATTCCGCAGGCATTTGGGGAAGAGCTGGAGACACTTCTGGGGAGGTAGATGGGGACCAGCCTGCAAAGCTCCTTAAACTACCTTTAAGACATTGGTTCTAATCCTCTAGGGGGCAGCACTGAGGGCTTTGAATGGGGGCAGGACACAATCAGAATTGTGGCATTTTGAAAAGATCCTTCTGGTAGTCGCTGTGAGAGATACATTGGCGAGGGTCTGAATGACAAGAACACCACAGCGGTGGCCAAGGAACGAGAAGGCGGCCCGAGCTAACCCAGCTGGGACCTTCTGACACCCGAGCACATTCATTTCGGGCCAGAGTGCCTTGCGCAAATGCCTGTCTCCTCCACCAGAGGGCGTATCCACCGGCAACACAGAGGGGGCTTCCTGAAGGACTGAGAGAGGGTAGGGACGGGAGGAGGTGGGTGGCTGGACCCACAGGGAACCAGGTCCTCTGACCCTGGGCTCTGCACACTCTTTTCTGCCCCCACCCCCGGATGCCAAAAATATTTTTATCAATTCTTTGTTTCACAGGGCCACGGTTGAGAAAGCCTGTATAAACCCGGACCCTTCCTCTTTTTACAAGTGGAGATGAGGCTTAAGAAGTTCGGGGCTAGTCCAGTATCCCCAAGAACCCCCAGCTCCAGAGCAATGTGCAGTTGCCCCTCTGGCTCTGGAAAGAGAAACCTAGGCAGTCCCTGCCCCCCGGGGGCCGCGGGAGGGATATGAAGTCCCAGAAAGTCCTCTTTACCGGCATCTGCACTGACATGCCAGCTCTTTCTGGGGCATTGGGACAGCTCCCCTGGGGTATGTCCCCCTCCCCCACCGGTGCTCAGAGGGTAAAGGGGAAGGAGGGGAGGGGTACTCACAACACCCATGAGCGCCACCCCCGAGCCCACGTTGATGACTGTGGGGATGATGCTGAACTTCCCCGCCTGAAGCACAGGGAGAGACAAGGCTCAGTGAGGGAGTCAGGTGGACAGCAGGACCCCCAGGGACTTCAACCAGAGCCCTCCCAGCAGGCCTGCCCCGCCCCGGGCCTGCCCAGGAGACACAGGGCACACACCCTGCCATTCACCATGACGTCAAAGCGGATCCCATAAGCTTTCATCAGGGTGCGGAACTCCACCCCAGCTCCGTCACGGTAATATTTGGCAAACCTGGGGAGACACAGCCCAGGGGAGACCTCAGCCTTGCTAGGCCTTCCCTGTTTGGCAACGCAGGCTTAGCTGCTTTGGAGATTTATAAGCACCCCCCAGGACCTGGCTCACAGCAGCCCCAGGAAAGGTTGCACGTCTTCTCACTGACATTATGCTAAAGCATTCGTCCCGATCTTTGAAGTCCTTGCCAGACCTCCCCCAGGAGACAAGGCCCTTCCCACCACACGCAGGGCCAGCCCGGGGCCACCAAAGCACGGCCAGAGCTGACCCAGCTGAGAAGGCAGGCCTCAGCTTCACAGCGGCGAGCCCCCAGGGCGATGGCAGACCCTTCTCTCCTCTTGCAGAGGCCCTCTGGGAGGCCATCCCTCACCCCTCCTCAGCTGTCTCCCCGCACCTCCCACCCAGACTCGGATCCCAAGGAAGGGCTATCACAGCGCCGGCACCGGGAAAGGACACAGGACATGGACAGAGCCATGAGGCAGCCGGCCCAGCCCCAGGTACCTGAAGTTATACCCGGAAGAGACAGAGCTCCCTGGAAACCTGCTGTCCAGGCGGCTGAAATAATAGCGAGGGTTGCATTCGGACGGAGCTTTGTCAAGGTCACAGTCCCACTCGATCTGGATTCCTATCACACCGCCCTGGGTGAAAAAGAGACGAGTCCGTGCACAACATTTTTGGAGATGGACAGTAGTCATGGAGCAGCTCTTCACGGAGAGCTGGACAAGCCTGGGGACGTGCTGAGGCCCGGGGTCAGCTTGGCTGGAGCATCCTCCTGGAAGGAGGGTGGAAGGCCCATGTGCCCAGTGTCCTCCTGCCTCATACGTCAAACGGGACAAGAACTACTCAGGCGCCTTACACAGAGCCAGAGTGTGCCGGGGGCTCCTTTTGGTTCAGGTTCAGCCGCTGCCCCAGCGCCTGAGCCAAAAGGCAGGTCCCAAGTGTGCCCCTCGCCGAGTGCCCCAGGTCCAAGCGCAGGCACCGCAGGCTGTGTGTCACACAAATTCTGGCAATGGCAGTTCCTGGGGCAGGTGACTTTGCAGGGCCACCCCAGCCTGTGGGTCTCCCCGCACACTCCCTCCTCGTTACAGAGCCCCAGCCCAGAGCACCGGGGCCCCCAGGGAAGGCGCCCTGAGCACACACCACTCACCTGCAGGGCGATCTCCTGGAAGTTAGTCCCCGTCAGTCTGACCACAGACCCCAGTCGGAAGATGGGGCAGTAGGGGTTCTTGGGGCCAAATTGACAGGACTTCAGGTAAGCTTTGTCTTTGGTGTCCAGCACATTGGTCCTGGGGGGAGGCCATGAACAGACCAGCGAAATGAAGGTAGACTTGCTGTTTCCAGGCCAGAAACAGGACCAGGCCCAGGAGTCACAGAGCTCCCCACCCAGCCCACGCGGACATCCTCCTGCATTCAAGAGCACAGCCCCACCCCCACACAGGGGAAGGGGCGCCCAGCGCCCCCCAGTGGTTCATTCACACATGAATGTCACATACACAGGGACCCCTACACAGCCCCCCGGGGGGGGGGGCCAAGCCAAGGCCCCACCTCTGGGTCCCCAGTAGCTGAGCCCCACATACTTGGAGAAGTTGAATTTGGGGAAACGAATGAAGTTCTTTATGTAAACAGTAAAGTCTTCAGCCTCGCCCAGGAGCGGCTTCCTGCAAACCAAGCCAGGGCAGCCCGTGAGGGAGCCCTGCCCGCTCAGCCCCCGCCTTGGCCTGTGGTGGGGCTGAGGCCTGCCTGCCCCCTGGGCACCCCGCCGCCTCGGCCAGGACAGTTCATTCGTTCATGCCGGGGTGGTGCTCAGGCCTTCGGGGGTGTCCTGAGAACGAGGGCCCCACTGGGCGTGTCTTGCCATCAGGCTGGGCCCGCCGCCGGGAACAGGTAACTCCTCGGGGCCCCGAGCCACGGCCACTTACTCTGGCCTGGACTTTTTCTCCACTGGGCACCAGGCGAAGATCTCACAGGTTCCCCTTGTCAGGTTCTCCGCCCGCACGCAGCGGCCGGTCCTCACTCCTGCAGGGGGCACAGGGACAATGCCAGGCGTCCCTGGCCCCAAGCTCCCTGTTGCCCCCCAGCCGTGGCCACTCCAGGCCTCACCATTTCCAGTCATGACGGGCTTCCCAGGAGGGCAGTCGCTGTCCTCATAGCACAGGGCATCCGAAATGCTTTCGCTCTACCAAGGGAGGAAGGGCGCCTGTGCAGAGGTCCCCGCAGGGCCCCTAGCTCCAAGCCGGTCCCACCCCAGGGGCTGGGAGAGGTTCCTCCCCTGCCTGGGGCCACACACCCTTTGAGAACCTGTTTCTCCCCCAACCCATACAGGCACAAGGCCCTGCGCACAGACCCCCAGGGCCCTTGGAGGGGACAGAAACCCCCGCTTCCAGAGGAGAAGGGTAGAGGCCACCGGGGCTGGTGGGTCTCCCTGCGCCTCCCCAGCTCTCCGCCCCAAATCGAACCTCAGCACAGGTTTCCTGTCGCTGGTTAGGGGTCACAATCAAGTTGGTGATGACGAAGAAGACATTCTCTCCCTGAGGAAACAGAGATTATGGAACCTCCTTGTGCCCTCTTGGGGCCCCTCCTTCCCAGGGCTGCCCAGCAGGCAGTGGGGTCCCCGGATGGGTGTTGGGGAAACTGGGGCCATGAAATCAGTGGATCCCATCCCACCCTTCTGCCCACTGACCTCACAGTCCTGAGGAGATGACCTTTCATAGGTTTATTCCAGGCCCATACCCACAAACTGCCCCCGCCCCAGAAATCCCAATTCTGACCTCAGTCTCTGGGGTCCAGGCTGAGGTCTGGGAGGAGAAGGAGCAGTGAAGGGGCAGCTCTGGCCCAAGCAGACTGCGCACAGGCCAGGGAGCTAACCTAAGGGCTCACACTGACCAGGGGTTTCTCTGAGCCCCATTTGGTCTCAGCAGGCTCAGGGTTTCTTGGGAACAGAGCAGCTCCCTGAGGCACAGTCAAGGAGGGAAGGAGTCAGGCCTGGGGGAGGGATCTGGACAGGGTCTGTATTTATAAACTCTGGCAGCTGTTCTGGGCCCAGGGAGGCAATAGATCGAGGTCCCTGGGTCCTGGAGCAGCTTCCCACATGACCCACCCCAGCCAGGCCCTGCCAGGTTGGGTAGAGCTCAGACCTGGGGGGGGATGACAAAGTCAGCAACATCCCAGAGCCGCTCCCCCAGCTCCGAAGTGTTGGTGAAGGCCACGCCCTTGACTTTGGTGATGATGCCGCTCTGCAGGGAGGTGTCGACCTCTTGGTAACCCTTCTTCACCAGGAACACCCACCTGCGGGAGGGGCCAGCGAGGTGGGCATCAGCCTTGTCACTACCCTCAGGTTTCCCCAAGCCCAGGGTGGGCGGGACAGGCTCAGGGCTCCACCCTTCCCACCGGCTCCTGGACTGGGCCGCCACTCCCTGTCCTGCAAGCAGCAGAGATGACAAGTAACACCAGGCCATAGCGTGCTGCTCCAAAAAAGATATAGAGATGGCCAAAAAGCACATGAAAAGATGCTTAATGGCATTAGTTACTAGGGAAATGCAAATAGAAGCCATGAAATGAAATACCAATGAAAATGAAACAATGAAACACCACTCCACACTCAATAAGATGGCTATAACCAAAATCGTGGAAAAAGCAAGTGTCGGTGAGAATGTGGAGAAATCAGTGCTGCTGGTGGAGACATAAAATAGTGCAGCTGCTGAGGAAAGGTTGTCTTGTGACCCAGCAATTCTATTCCTAAGTGTATGCCCAAGCAAAGTGAAAATGTATGTTTACACAAAAACTTGTTCATGAATGTTCTTAGCAGTGTCATTCATAGGAGTCGAAAAGCAGAAACAGTCCAAATGTCAATCAACCAATGGGTGGATGACCAAAATGTGGCACAGCCGTCCAACAGAATAGTAACTCAGCTGTAAACAGGAATGAAGTACCAACACAGGCTGCGACCTGGGTGAACCTTGAACACATTATGCCAAATAAAAGAAGCCAGCTCCCCACAGAAAAGTCCATCATGTATGATTTGATTTATATGAAATGCCAGAACGGGCAAGTGTATAAAGACAAAAAGTAGATTAGCAGTTGCCAGGGGATGGGGGCAGGGGAGAACTATGACTGACTGTTAATAGATAGTTTTCTTTGGGGGGTGTTGGAAATGCGCTGGAATTGGGGAGCGGTGAGGGTTGTACAACACTGAGAATATACTAAAAACCACATCATCGTATAATTGAAAATGATTAAAGTGTTGAATTATGTGCCTTTTACTGCAATTTAAAAATGACTTTTAGGAAAATCCTGTATTCTTCAAACAATGTCAATGTCATGAAATACAAAGAATGGCGCAGGAACAACTCCAAATTAAAGGAGCCTAAGAAGACACAGCAACTGAGCGCAAGGCCTGAGCCCACATTTTCTTTTGCTATAAAGGTAATTACTGGGACAATTCACAAAAGGTCAATAGCTTAGACAATAATAATATTTCAATGTTAACTCCCTAATCTTCCTACTTATACTTGGTTAAATTAGAAAATTCCTTATTTTGAAGAAATACACGATGCAGTATATAGGAGCAAAGAAGCATCAAGTTTGCAATGTACTCAAACAGTCAGAAAATACTGCCTGTACATGGAGAGAGAACATAGGACGACACATATGTAGTAAAACGCTAACATTTGGGGAATTTAGGTGAAGGGCATTAAAAAAGTTTTGGAACTACTCTTGTAACTTTTCTGTGAGTCTAAAATTATGTCGAAATACAAATAAAAGGATTTTTTTTTAAGTGGTATGTGTAAATTGCTCAGAGGTGTGCCTGGCACCGAGGAAGGGCTCGATGAACACGACTCGTCAGCTTATCGCCATCGTTCCCCTGTTAATGTTAGAAATTGTTTAGGTTAACCAAACCCTGGGAAAGCAGGGGAAACTGAGGCCAGGAGAGGTGATGCAGGAGCGGTGTGGGGCGCCCAGCCCCCCAGGCTGCCAGTGGGGTTCTCTGTATAGCCAACCAGAGCTGTGCCCACCCTCTTCATCTCTGGGGGGGGGGGGTGTCCTGGGCCCAAGACTGTCCCGTCTCTAAGGATCCAGAAGAGAGCTGAGCTCCTGGAGCCGACCGGCCATTTTGGTGGGGACACACCGGACCTGGCCTGGACAGAAACGTGCAGCAGGTACTGAAGGGACGTTCATTCACTCATTTATTTCACACCTGCTGCCTGAGCAGTTAGGTGATGCCAGGCCCCTTCCGGCCTGGTGGGGAGTCAGACACAGGAAGCAACTGAGTCTCCAAACAAGCATATAATTACATTATAGGAAATTATTCGACACGTGGGAGGAAAAGGAGAGGGAGCTACGGGAGATGCCAGGTGGGAGGAATGAGTGAGCACCAGGTAGAGGAGGAAGGCCCCCCTGGCTGGGGAACAGGCCTGGCCTCCCCGCTGGCGCCTCTGCTCCTCCCCCGGGCCGGAACTAGGGGGGACTCATCAGCACGTCCTGGAGGAATGGAAGAGGCGCATCTGCATTCTAGTCATCTGCTGTCATTTCCTCCCTCCACCTGCCCCCGCCATACTCAGGGGTGAGGGCTCTGGACAGTGCCTGGCAGAACAACCCCAAGGAGCTGCCCCTCCGCCGATCGCTCCGGCTTCTGCCACGCGGGAGGGGGTGTGGGTGGGGCAGACGGCTGGGGCAGGACCCCCAGCTGGACACCAGAGACGCCAGCCTCCGGTGGACTGAGTTGACCAGCGGGCATGCCAGGCTCATGAGTTGCCCCAGCCCGAGGCTTGGCACTGAGCTCGGTGATTATAAATAACCTGCCCAGTGTGGGAGGCTCCCAGGCGACAGCTGCAGCCCAGCCCCCTGCATCCTTGACCCCTTCCCGCAGCCCCAGCACCGGGGCTCCAGGCCTGGAGGAGGGCGCCGCCCAGGAAAAGCCTCATACATCGAGGCACCCAGGAGCCCCTATTACACCTTGTCACCTCCAGAGCCGCTGTCTCGGGAGCGGAAGGCTCCTTCCTCATCCCCCACTCACACTTAAGGGCTCAGGGAGAGCCCCCTCCCAGGCAGGGTCGCAGGCCCCAACTAGGTGCACACAGGCCTATTCCTGGGCTCTGGAGAGGCCACCGCTGCTGGCCCCCGCCACCCCCTCCGCCCCCCGCGCTTCCCGCGAGCCCCCCCGAGCACTCACACCACCAGGTAGGTCAGGATGGAGACCTGCAGCAGCCGGTAGAGCAGGCCCACCTTCTTGTTCTTGGCGATGACATACTTCTCCGTCTTGTAGTCGAACAGCGACTGGTAGAGCCCCTTGCAGCCCGCCTGCCCCATGGTGCTACCTCACCTGGGCCTGGGGACGGCGCCGCCACGCGTGTGCCGCATGGGAGCCGCCCCCGCCCGCCTTCGCCTCCCGCCGCCTCCGCGCTGCCCGGCCGTCTGCGCGGGGCGCCAGCTCCGCGCCGGGGAGGGCGCGCGCCGGGTGCCCGCGGGGCCGGGACAGCACTGCGGGGAGCTGGGCGGGGGCAGCGCCGAGCGGCGCGCTGCGACCTTGGCGCTACCCGTTCCTCCTCCCTGAGCTGACAGTGACACCAGCGGACTGCACCGCCCGCCCGCCACTGGCCTGGGAAGCCCGAGCGGAGACTGGGGACCACACGTGCCCCAGGCGTCACGGGCGGAGTGAGGAGACGGGGGATGAGAGAGAGCTGTTTTAAATCAGATCTCCCCTCCCCGCTTTCTCTGCTCCCACAGAAATCGCAGCGGTTCCTCCTTTGGAATAGACGGGGAAACAGAGGCCGGGGAAGAGGACCCTGCAGCCCAGGAAGAGGATGTGAACACCACGGGTTTCTCGGTTTTCCTTGCTCCCTGGCAGAACTCGGGCCCCCACCACGCAGACTGAAGACGACAGATCCCTGGCTCCTGGCAATCGAGTGGAGACTCCTGCTGCAGCAGCTACGGCAGGTGTAAAACCCCCAGTCCCGCGGAGTCGGTTGCTAGGCGGGTCGAGCGCCCACAGCAGCTGTGAACCACAGCTGGGGCAGACGGGTCGGGGTGGGAGCGGGGAGGCAAGGCCTCGGATCGTAAAATACAACTGCAAAAAAGATCTGTACCAACTTATTTGAAATGTTCCCAAAGCAAGACACCTAACCTAGGCCTCCAAGACGGCAACCCTCATAGCTAGTGAAATGAAAAGACCCAGTGGGGGCAGGGGTGAGGGAGGCATCTCAGGGACCAGCCCCGGAGAGGAGGCCCCCATGAGCAGTGCCTTTTGGCCGGGGGGCGGGGGGGGGGGGCGGGGCTGGCCTTGCTCCTTTTCTGCATCCCGCCATCCAACCAGAGCCCTGCTCAGCTTCCCAGCCCGGCCCCACACCCAAGGAGAACTTCCTCTCCCTGAACCAAAGGTTCTGGGTGTTGGAGGGGAACCTGATGTTCACCAGGTATGATCCCCTCTAAAAAGTAAAAAAAAAGCCCAGGGCAGAAGGTCTCCACTTTTAGTGTACAAGGGACTCATTTGGGAAAGTGCAGATTCCTGGGCCCTGCTCCAAAGCTTTAATTTGCTGAGTATAGAGTGGGGCCTGGGAATCTGTATTTGGCTCTCAAACTGTCATTTTGGGGGCACAGATCTTTGCACTTGTTCATCAATTTCAACTCAACTGCCATTTCCTCAAAAAGGCCTGTTCTTATTGCCACCCACCAAAGGTGGCCCCCACCCCAGTCTTTCTCTCCTATTACCTCTTCTTATTTCCTTAGAGCATGTGTCACTCTTGGATGTGGCCTCCTTTATTTATTGACTGTCCTCCCACTAGGACCATAAGCTCCAGGAGGCTGCGGACCTTACCTCTGGACATCTCTGTATCCCATGCCCACTGTTATGCCTGCCCCATAATAGTTTAGTACATGTTTGTTGAGTGAGTAAACAAACTCGGGACCAATTTTTTAAAATTTTTTAATTTATTGATTTCAGAGAGAGAGAGAGAGACAAAGGGAGGGAAGGAGGGAGAGAGAGAAAGAGTGAAGAAGACATCGATTTGTTGTTCCACTTATTTATGCATTCATGGGTTGATTTCTACATGTTCCCTGGTCAGGAATCGAACCCACAACCCTAGCGTATCAGGATGCACTCTAACCAGCTGGGCTACCCAGCCAGGGCTCAGACCCAATTTTTTAAACAAAAAAGGGATTTGGAGCTGCCACCCTATCTCCCTCATGACAAGGGATTTTTAGAAGCTGACATCATCCTGGAGGAAGGGCTTGGAAACTGTCACTAGACCTTCCTTCCTCGCTCTCCTGCCAGCCTCTTCCTCAGCCCTCCCCTCACACGGTTCTCCAGCACTCAGAGGAGCTGCAGCCTCAGGGGGGTGACATCCCACCTATGAAGATGCCTCTCAACCTGAGTCCATGGTGGGGGGCGGCCTTCCAGGAGCTTGCGGCCTGGGCCGGAGAGGAGCTCTGGGCTGGGAAGCCTTCCCCCCGCAGCCCCCACACTGCACAAGCAGCACATGGGTGGTGCTGCACTGGGTCTCCCCACTCCCCACGGGAGTTCCCAGCTTTGTGGTCTCTTCATTTTGCTGGGGGACCCCCCAGAGACCAGGGGAGTAACTGAGGCCCCAGGCCACAGGGAAGAATCTATGACCAGCCCCAGTCCAGGGCACTCCCCTATTCTTGCTTCCTTAAACCTTTACTGAGCACCTACTGTGTGCTGCTGGAGAGGCTGCACTGCCTAGCTCCCTGCCTTCTGGCTTGTCACAGCTGCCCCTCTGGCTTTAGAGAAGGGGCTCTGCTCTCTTCTGCCCTCCAGTGTAGGCAGCCCGTCCTGAGCCCCCAGGGGCCCAGCCAAGACCAGGCTCCAATTTCTGACAGAACCATCCTGAAGCGTTAGAGACCACAAGAGGGATGGCCAGATGGGAAAGGGCTGTTCCAGGGCGGGGCCAGGCCCCTCCTGGGGGCTCCCTCATAGCTCGTCTCCTTAGACTACTAGGTCCAGACCCTTTGGTGGGCCACGATGTCAATGTACTGGTTACAATCAGCATATCAAAAAGAGAGAGAGAAATAAAGAAGGAAGGAAAGAAAGAAGGGAGGAAGAAAGCAAGTAAGAGGTGGAAAAAAATCAGAGTGTGTTTAGGAAAATAAGGATAAACCCTGGCTGGGTAGCTCAGTTGATTGGAGCATTGTCCTTATACTCCAGGGTTGTGGGTTTGATCCCTAATCAGAGCACATACAAGAATCAACCAGTGAGCCTTGGCTGGTGTGGCTCAGTGGATTGAGTCCCGGCCTGAGAACCGGGGGATTGCTGGTTCAATTCCCAGTTTAGGGCACATGCCAGGGTTGCAGGCCAGGTCCCCAGTGGGGACGCGCAAGAAGCAACCACACATTGATCTCATTGATGTTTCTCTCCCTCTCTTTCTCCCTCCCTTCCCCTCTCTATTAAAAAAAAAAAAAAGACTCAACCAGTGAATGCATGAAAAAGTGGAAAAGCAAATCGATGTTTCTTTCTCTCAAATCAATAAATAAAAATTTAAAAAATAAAAACAAAGCAAAGGTAGTCATGGTTCTGTGAGATTTCTTTTGACGTGATACATATGACGTTATGATGTGCAGTGTATTTCTTCCTGTGGGTTATGATCAAAACAGTGTGACAAATACTTCTCACAAGCTGCAAACCCCAATATCTGCAATCTGTCTCCACATGGCTGGGGCCTGCTCACTGCCCACAGGTCAGACCCCACACCCATCAAACCCAAAGCGGGAGAAGGGGCCTTTGCTTCTTACACGTGCGTTACTACAAGTCCAAGTCAGAGATGTTCCTAAAACCAAGATGAATTCTCCCCTTGAGAGAAAACCGCTGCTGTTTTTGAGTGATGGCCTCTCCAGTTTCCGCCTAACCCCATCTCCGCAGTCCCGGAGCCCTGAGGCGCCTTGTCCGCATGACCTTCACCACTGTTTTCATAGTGAATGCTCATCAGCACGTACTACTTGCCAAGCACTGTTCTCTACGCCTTATGTGTATGGGCTCACTTAATTGTCACAACACTGTGTAGGTGGCACAACTATTATCCTTACTTTTCTCTACAAGGTTAGATGTGTCTCTGGTCACACCTCCAGTAAGCATCCAGGCCAGAATGTGAATCCAGATGATCTGGCTTCCCAGCCTAAGAAAGTCTCTCCATTGTTGCCATGAGCACAGGGCCTTAGTTTTCATATTAACTGGCTTGACTCATGGTGTGATCCCAGCCAGAGAGGTAACTGACCAGCCACTCCACACTTGATGGAAGGAGGTCTGAGGTCACCTGAGAAGCTGAGGCTAGTAGAAGGTCTCGGGCCATCCACTGAAGGGATCTGTCCACTAGGGCCCTGGGCTTCCTCTGGATGACATTTCGTGCGCAACTCACACAGCTGCTCTGCTGGGGCCTGAACGAAACCGTCTCACCTGGTCGTAGAATGCTCCTTGGAGGGAAACGGGCTCTCCCATGATGCCTCAGGAGCGAGGGGTCAGGCCATTGAATGGGCACCTTCTGCAGGGCTGCCAGGACCAAGAGCTCCACCCTGGTCTGCGAGGAACCGACTGGGTGCCTTTAAACTCCGTTCCTTGGGTCAGGGGTCGGGGGTGAATGGCTACCCTTCCTGCCTCACCACTATGCCCTTCTCCTCCCCTTCCCTCCCCAAGAGGAGCCCAATCACACTTCATTTATAACGCTGTCCACCCGAAAGAAAAGGACTGGCAGTGAGTGAACCATTCTCATCTAGTTCACAAGACTTTGTCTAGTGGGATGGTTTAAGGCAGCAGCCCCCAACCTTTTGGGCACCAGGGACCGGTTTTGTGGAAGACAATTTTTCCGCGGCCAGGAGGGAGGTGGGAAACAGGAGGCGTAGCTCAGGCAGTAGGTACGTGAGCAAAGCCCCCCCGCTGCTCACCTCCTGCTGTAAGTCTGGCTCCTAACAGGCCGCAGAGCAGCCCTGGTCTGCAGCCAGGGGGCTGGTGACCCCTGGTTCAAGCTACCAGCGGTGAAGTGATGGGGAATTACGATATAAATTCATAAAGGGTCTTTTTCTCTTAACCTATCGAACGTCCTCCTAAGATCTGCCAACATTCTAAGCTTGTTGTTCTGTGTGCTTTTAATACACTCCTGGGGCCATCTAGTCGGCTCTGGGACCTGGGCCAGTCTCTAGTAAAACCCTGGTGGGTCCTCAGGTGTCTCCCCTGCCCATTAAGAAATGTGCTGGGGACTCTCCTGCCTCCGATTCCCGCCTTTCCCCTGCCTACTCCCCCCGACCCGTGTCATTCTCTGCTCCTTCTATGGAGCTTATAAATTACAAAGGAGGAAGTGTGGTGCTATGGGGTGAGACTTTAGAGGCAGGAGATTTATCACCCCTTCAATCAAGAAAAATTTCCGTTCTCTAGGGGATGAGAGGGAGCTTCTAAATGAGAAACCATTGGTTGCAGAACAGTGGCCAATAGCATCACTGTGTTTCTTTTCCATAATTTTTTTTATTGATTTGGGGAGAGAGAGAGAAACATCGATAAGTTGTTCCACTTATTCCTGCATTCATTGGTTGATTCTTGTATGTGCCCTGACTGGGGATCAAACGCATGACCTTGGTGTATTGGGACGATGCTCTAACCAGCTGAGCTACCTGGCTAGTGCCCCATTGTGTTTCCATCAGCAGCTTGGAGGTGGCATTTGGTCACTCTGCATCTTCCAAAGACACACGAGTTCCTCCTTTTCCCTTCAGCCCTAGTGGGGACTTCCCCTAGTACTAAAGCCTTCCCTTTAGCCCCAGAGGCTAACAAACTCAAGAAAGGTTCTCCAAAAAATTAAAGGAAGTAAATAAAGAAAACACAAATCCCATCAAATAATATGATTCTTGGAGTAGAAGTTCAGATGTTACTCACACATAGTGAATGTGGTTCTATCTCCCACCCCAAAGGAGGAGGGATCACACAAGGCCTCGAGGTAGGAGATCTGATTCTGTCCTAGGTCACAAAAGGTCATCACAAGGCCCCCGAGGGCCATCTGCAGACCCAGGTTCCCTCAGAACCCTAAGTACCTGGATGGCCCAGAAGGGACAAGAGTGGGAAAAGGGAGGCGTGGATAGAGTTTCACAATTTATCCTTTAATTTTTCTTCTGCTCTGGCAGTCCTGCTATGATAAACACATTCCATTAATAGACATTACTGGTCCACTTAAGAAGTAGCAGATACATTATTAATGCCATTTCGATACAGTCAACAGGAAAAAGGAAGCTCCTCTCTGTGGGAAGCTTTTCCAAGTCCATCAAAGCACCTGTGATGCATCTTAATTGATGGGCTGTTACTCATTACTTAGTTCTCAAAATCTGGCCTGGGGAAAACCTCTACTGAGGTTTCAAACACTTGCAAAGAGTAATGATTGCTTCTCCACTGGGCATGAAAAAGGATAAAAATTCAAACTTGTGTCAACCACACCCACAGGGCAGTAGCAACTCTTAACATGTACACCTCAGCGAAAGCTCCTCTCTCGTTCTTCCTCCTGCTCCCTGCAGTGGTTTCCTCTGCCTTCAAGATGTTCCTGCCAACCATCCCCTCCTCTCCACTCTGAAGTTCCCAGAACTGTGGCGATCATGAAACAAGAATGGGCGGGAAACCACCATATAAACACTGCAAGTGGTTGTGGCTTCCCCATGGTTCCTTGTACACAATTCTTCTGTAGCTGCTCGTTCTTTGCCATTACTGTCCGCACCTGCCCTTCCGGCCATGTGCCCATTCCACACACCCAGCTTCAGGGAGCTGGCTTCCGTGCTTCCCCCAGCCTTCACTAGGCTGGTCTGCCCTCGTCCTTCCTGGCTTCAAGGCTCAGCTCACAGGGTCCGTCTCCATGAAAGCCTCCTGGATCCTTCTCTTTTTCTAAATTTCCAAAGGACAGGATCTGTATGATTCATGGAGTTACAGTTGGGTACTTATTTGTCATTTAGGGCTCTGAGGGCAGGAAAGGGCTTTACCACTCTGTATCCCAGGACCTCCGTGAAGCAGACAGGCAGGGAAGCTTGTAGAATGACAAGAGAAGGGGAAGAGGGAAGGAGAGAGGAAGGAGACGAGGAGGGGGAGGGGAAGAGAAGGCAGGAAGGGAGGATAGATTCCTGATCACACTACCTCTGCCATTAGCCTGCATATTTGAAGTGACTAAGCATTTATTTTTGTGTGTATATTTGTAGAAGATTTTGAGAGATAATTCTACCAGAGAATTAAGTTAAATTTGTCACCTGAAGCAACCTTTTAGTCATCAAGACTCCAAGTGTGTGTTGAGGGCTACCCAGTGACAAAGTGTGATCAGATGAACCAACCCTGATCTCGTAACTAGTATCTCACAGGGTGCAGCTGGTGCATCAAAGTCACTTGGCGTGTTTGCCAAAGCAGCCGGTCCCCGGGCCCAGGCCCGCCTTGAGCGTCAGTGTCTTCAGCGGCGGGGGCGGGGGGTGGGCAAGGAGCCTGAAGAGCTACGCTCCACCGTGACTCTTCAGCCCAGCGACGTCTGAAAGCCGCCACCACTCCCCCGCTGTCACTCTGCCTTGGCCAGTGTGTGACCAAGCTTTTGTGGAAAATCCATTGGACCTGGCGATCTGAAAACTTGCCGCCGGAAATACGGCTCTGACTTATACCAGCCCTGTGGCCTTGGGCAGGTAGTCTCCTCCCCCATAAAACAGAGCTAAGGCTGCCCCGAGAGAACCAGATCGAGAGAACCAGATCGGCTGCAAGGGTACAAGCCAGGGGCAGAACACGTGCTTTTACTAAACGAACCAGGGCACAAAGAGAAGGAAGTCTGTGAAGCTGGATGAAAAAAGTGTTACTTATTTAGTTTTACAAACCCTTTAACTAAAATTAAACGATTCTTCTAATTACGAATGTGGGCCACAGACCATCACCGGATTAGCAGTACCTGTATTTACCATCGATAGAAATTACAGGTATTTTCCCATCCATCACCTTACAAGTATTATAATTACCTCAAAATACATTTTAAGGTCATCATTACTTTGAAAGTAGCATAGTTATTAGACCTGCTGCTTAAAGTATTAATAAAGAAGCACATGTATCTCTACATTGCAAATTTTAAAAATATTCTGATTGTGTTCAATATAACTGATTGTTCGTAAACTTTTATGTGTTTAAAAAATAAATAAGATGATAGATGAACAGATGGAAAAATACATGGTAAAGCAAGCATGGTACGTTAATGGAAGAAACCAGGTGGTGGGTAGACAGGTATTCACCATAAAATTCAATTTATTTGGACATTTTCATAAAACAATGTTGGAAAATAATGAGAAGGGATACCTAGCCTTCACCAGACTGCCAAAGGGACCTACGGCCCACGTAAGAGTTAGAAACCCGAACCCAGAGGTACTAGTATCCTCAACAAGCTAGCCACTCTGCCAGTGAGTTCTTCATCCAGGATGCAAAGGCCCCCGAGCCCCAGTGTACAATTCTAGGAATTAGGCCGGTGGCTTTTTCCTAGACTAAGAAATCGAAAAGGTTTGCAGAACCAAGGTGGGCCGCTGTTTTTCCCCACCCCAGCATTCCAACCTTCATCTCAGACCCCACAGGTGTAAAGAGGGGAAAGTTTACCCCAGAGTAGCTAGGACACTAGCCAGAGCCTGCGAACGTGTGCCAGGTCCCTGGGCAGGGCCAGTCCAGGCCCCCTTCCCACGCCCTGGACAGAGGCTTCCCCCAAAACCACACCTTCCATCCACTGAACACTCTGCCCTCAGGACTGAGTCTGGCTATAGGGTCCTAGGAGCGGGCCAGCCAGACCCAGAATCCGCTCGTCAGGAGGGAGAAAGGGGCAGAGCCTCCAGCTGGCCCTGCCTTCTTTGTGGTCTTAGGAAGAGGTCCTCTTTTAGACGGGCCACCAGAAACAGCTACTGCTTCCTAATGCCCACCAGCAAATCCGCGAGACTCCTCCATTCTGGAGGGCATATTTTCCTTTTAAGATTTTATTTATTTTCAGAGGGGGGATGAGAGGGAGAGAAACATCAGCATGTGGTTGCCTCTCACATGCCCCCCACTGGGGACCCACCTGCAACCCAGGCATGTGCCCTAGACTGGGAATCGAACCAGTAACCCTTTGGTTAGCAGGCCAGCACCCAATCCACTGAGCCACACCAGCCTGGGCTGGAGGGTATATTTTTTAATAAAGATTTTATTTATAGAGAGAGAGGAAGGGAAGGAGAAAGAGAGGGAGAAAAACATCAATGTGCAAGACAGGCATGGATTGGTTGCCTCTCCCACACCCCCAACTGGGGACCCGGCCCACAACCAAAGCATGTGCCCTGACTGGGAATCAAACCAGAGACCTTTCGGTTTGCAGGACAATACCTGACCCAAAGAGCCACACCAGCCATGGCTAAAGATGCTTCTGTAAAGAAAACAGTTTAATACTACTTAACACCAAATGTTTCCCAAGTTTATTTTTAGTACAATGCACAGACACATTTGGAACAATGTATTATTAAAAACTAATATTCTACAAACAATTTCTTTGATTCTGCCCCAGATCGTCCTAAAGGAAAAAGTAATCAGTACAACACCAAGTCTCTAGAAGTTCGAGGACTGCCTGAGAGTCTCTCCCAGTGCATGAGGACGCTAGTCCAAATCTTCTGTAAGCGAATTCTCTGACTTCATCTGGGCCTTCCTTATGTTGTCCAAGTTCAGTTCTTGGTATCTTCTTTTAAAAAAGCCACACTGAAACAAAGGGAGGGGAAGCCCAATTACAGACCACTTATATGGTTGTTGCCAGAAGAGCCCTGGCACGCCCCCGGCCCTCCTGCTGCCTCCGACTCTCTCCCAGCCCGCACAACCTTTCAGGTTCGCCGTACACCCTGCCTTTCCCACAAGTCTTTCCTGGTGCTCCTTCCCCAGTCAGGAGCGATGCCCGCCCTTTTTCTGAACGCCCACAGCTCTTTAACCTTCTGAACTTAATTCTGTAAAATGTTATAGTTTTGGCTGTACCAGGTCTTATTTATGTAAGAGGACTCAGCCTCCTACGGTAAGCGTAAAAGATCAAGCACAGCCTCCTACATCAAGAAACTCACCAGCTAGTAGAGAGAGTGAGCTACCACACAGTGCCACTCCGAAGGGTTTGCAGAGAGGAGCTCACAAGCTGGGACTCTCTGGGCTGAGTTTTAAGGGAAGAGGGCAAGCAAAGGGAAAATGTGAAGAAGAGCGTGGGGCGGCGCATAGCCTGACCGCAAGCACAGAGACGCGAGCCTGTCTAGTTTGGACTCTGGGGAAAAAGCAAGACTCAAGGGTGCAGCGGGTAGAGGCCAGGCAGTAGAGAATCTTGTACAGCAGAAAGAGTTTGAACATTAAAAGAAGCGAAGGATTTAAACAGGGAAACAATCACATCTGAGGAAAATCTCTCTGTACTCCAATACATCAATTAGACTTTTATCTTATTCAGAGAGAAACTGTCTCCCTCGCTTGCCTAAACAGGTGTGTGGCTGAAGGGAGAGGGGAAAGTGGCCCCACGGCCAGGCGGCTGCTGTAAGCCTGGGCTGGCTGTCCCAGGGGTACTGCGCCCAGCTCCAGGGCCTGCAGGAACCCGACAGAGCTGACCTTGAACAGGATGACTAGGATCACGATCAAAACCAGAACGCCGGCAACGCTGCTTCCAATGATGAGCGGCAAGGACTGGCGGGCCTCATCTTGCAGGAAGATGACAGTGATCTGGAACAAGACAAAGGGATCATCCAGTAGGTCAGGTAAAGCCAACGAGAACAGATCCCACACATTATTTTAAGGAGAAAAATGTGAGTAGAGGCTTATGGTGCTGGGGTAGGAAAACTGAACTATAATTGATGAATTCCTGGAGGCTCCCTGTGGACAATGGACAACTCTGAGAGTTAAAAACTCCAGGGAGCCCTGGCTGGTCTGGCTCAATGGATTGAGTGCTGGCCTGCAAACTGAAAGTTCACCAGTTCAATTCCCAGGGCACCTGCCTGGGTTGTGGGCCAGGTCTCCAGTTGTGGGCGTTCGAGAGGCAACCGATAGATGTTTGTCTCCCTCTTTCTCCTCCCCTTCCCCTCTCTCTAAAAAATAAAATCTTAAAAAAAGGGAAAAAAAAACTGGGAAAAAAAAAAAGAGCACAGTAAAATGATCTAATGACCAGAAAACTTTATTATAGAAACTATTTTGATTTGTAATACAGAAATAGAGCTCAGTCTGTCAGAAGGTTGCAACCTTTTGTTAAGGACTCTCTGACAGTTTCACAGAGGGTGCCGCAGGATTAGGGTCTTTAGGTTTTAAAGACTGACAGCTGGGCCATTACAGACCCTTGATCCCCAAGCTCACCATCTTCAAAATGATGACCTATTGAAAATGATCTTTATGTCCTTCCAACTCTTCTCTGACAGCTCTTTTTGAGTTCCCACAATTCCTTAAAGTCTAATAATACATTTTTCACCACACAAAATATATGACAAAGATAATGATCTGCTCCGCACCAGACTACAGTGTATGTTACCCCGGAGACACGAAAATACATGCGGAACAGCATCCGTGTGTACAACCTGTAGAGCTCGTCCATGGGAAGCCATCCCCAGACTCCCTTTCAGAGTCTGAACTATTTTCTCACCAAGAGTGAGACGGAGAGACCCGATCACACTGGATCAGATCGCGGGGGAGGAGAAGGAGGGGCGGTGTGAGGAGGTTTCCCTAGGCAATGGAGAACAGCCTAGGGAGTCCACAGAACCATGGGCCAGATTTAAAATAAAAGGAGGGCAGAGACTGGCTCTTGGGCTCTCTTCCTCGAGGATGCCTGGACGATCATGCTGCAGCTGCCTGCGTTCCCCAAAGGACGGCATTTTGGATGGGTTTTGGACGGGAGAAGAAACCCTGGGCACAGCCCAGGTCTGGGCTGGTCTGGCAGAGGCAGCCTGGTTATTCTTCGAGTGTTCTGGAGGGGACGGGCTCCGAGGCAGAAGCCTGCCATTCTTCCAACATTGTGTAGCTGTTACTTCTTATGTTGTTTTAGTTTGTCAACTAACCCGACAGAAGTAAGATAATTAAAAACTAACCACGGGAATGATAGGGGAACTCAGGAGTTAAAGATTTTAGCCTTCACTGACAGACTTCAGAGATTAAAGCTGTAACTAAAGAGTTAATTTAGCCTTAATTGACAGGCTTAGGTGACTAATGGACAGAAAGCGGTTAGTCCAAAATTTGTACAGCTTTTGAGTAAAGACTCCTTTCCTTTATCACCAAAAGTTTGCGTCTGGAGTTTTGCCTGGAGGGTGGTGGCGGGCAGCGGGACCCCACTTGCTGTTCAGTACCAGCAGGACTCCGTTGGAAAGCTCAGGGGATGTGCTCCCCACGTGAGACCCAGATGTGGCTGTCCCACATTGTGGCCAGCACTCACATCACGGCCAGAGCATGACCCCGGCCCGTTAGTGAGGCCAAGGGGCCGCCAAAACTTCTCTGCCTACCCACAATGCCGAGGTCCTTTCATGGCAGTGTTCAAGCATCAAGGTCAGCAATGCTTTGGAGAGAAATTCTATGTGGAGTGGAAGGCTGGACAAATTTATCTCGAAGGTCCCTTCTGAGTTACAAACATTGGCAGCCCTGGCCGGGTGCTCAGTGGGTTGGCACACCGTCCTGGTATGCCAAGATTTCAGGTTTGCTCTTCGGTCCGGACACTTAGAGGAAACAACCGATGAATGCATAAATAAGTGCAGCAACAAACTGATGTTTCTCTCTCTCAAATCAATGAATTAAAAAACAAACAAACAAACAAACAAGTGCTGGTTACTTCCTAGGGCTGACCCTCCAGGCCTTATTTAAATGGCTGAACTTAAAAAGGGCTAAGTTCTAGGCCTTGACAGTAGGAGGGAGCGAAGCAACAGAGAGGGAAGAACAGGAAGAGAGCTGGGTTTTTTTTCTTCTATGGAAGCGAAGTGGGGGGAAGTGAAGCGACTTGAGAGTCCAGGTCTGGGCTAAACAGGCCAGGTTTGAGTAGAAGTGCTCCTACTTCTCGAAGTCTCTTCCCCTGTCCCCCTTCCAAACCCACAGGTTCCCAACGTGCCCCAAGGCTGTCTGGTAGAGGTGAGGGAGAGGCAGGACACAGGACACCACTGCTTGTAGCAAACACTGGCGGGGGCTACTCAACAGCCATTCTCTCCTCTTAGATTTGGTTCAGAAATCATGACTGGTCTACGCTAATCATGACAAAGCTCAACTGTCCCCTTTGCCAATGACTGACATGAGATCCAGTTCTCACTAAGGACATATAGGGAGATACATGCTGAAAGCTTTTAGGAAAAGTTCACTCCCTGAAAAGGGAACACACGTGAAGAAAAAAATCCTTGTCCTACTGACCTCTTGCTTCCTGTTTTGTTCTCTGCCATGTGAAAATATAGCCGTAGGAACGGTGGCAGCTTTGTGCTGGCCTCGGGGGAAGGCATCACCAACACACAGATGTGTGCACAAGACTCAAAGGAGCCAGGCTGCTGACCCTGGTCTGCCTCCCTTACTAGGTAAACAGATGCCGAGTCTTCCCTTACTTGCAGCTGAAATGTACTTGGATACGCAGTTCTTTATGCTCATAGATTCATTATAAGTCAGGTGCTTATTGTCAGGAACTACTTAATACTTTGCTTAAGATATAGAACTTAAAGAAAGTAATTATAAGAAATCTGTAGTAATTATATTTCTTATAAGTAATTATACTGTAGAAATAAAAATATCAGTAAGAGGAGGAAGTAAATAAATAATTTAGTTAAGAATGTGCACAAAAGAAACTGTGTAACAGTAACTCCCTTTTGGTAACAGGAAGTTGGGGCTTGGGAATAGGGGAGTGAAGGAACCATTATTTTTCCTTTGCTATCTTTCTGTAGGGCTGGGATTTTCTTCTAAGCATTACTGCTATTTTTCAAAAATCTGGGCAGTGGGACAATGGGGCCCTTCTCCTTCTTCCATATCATTTTCTGTACCAGAAATGCTTAAAAGGGACATGTTATTCCTGCCATGTCTAGAACTGCTCCTTTCTCCTCCTCCAGAAAGGAAAGCAGGGGATCTAATATTTAGCAATCCAGTCTTACTCTCTTAACATTCCTTCCAGTAATGAGCAAGGCCTAACTGAAGAGCTTACAGATGGGTCACCTCCGACACCAGCAGCACACCTAGATAAGAGTCACCAAGGACAACTAGGAGGAGCACACACAGCAGTTAGGCCATAGACTGCAGACATCTGTTTGACCTGTGCTCATACGTCTGCAAAACAAATCCCAAGAGTTCTAGTACTTAGTCTAAGACTTGTCAAAGGAGTTTGCATTTCTGAGTATTGTAACTTTAATATTGTAACTAAACACTGATATTATACACTGGAAAGAGTTAATACATACAATAATTTCTCATTTTGTAAATTTTTTAAAAGATATCTTTTCAACTCAAAGTATATGTAGCTGTTGGTTCCAGCCTAGCTATTTCAGCTTAGACTTTCTCAGCTTAGGCCTCTTATTTAATTGCCTCATTTCACAGATGGAAAAGCTGAGGCAGAAGCCGACTAGCTCAAAGTCACAGAGGCAGTCAGTGGCAGAGTCAAGATCAGAGGGGATGAGGCCGAAAACAGGAACCGGGCAAGAGCAGAGGCTCTAAGGCTAGGCATGGTTTTCCTAGGACACTGCCCAGAAAACCGGAAAACAGACAGGGATTACCTTAGTTCTGTGGTTCTCCGCATTCAGCCCCTCATACAGAGATTTGTTGAAAGATATTTCACCAAGGATCTGCAGTTCAGTTATATCTCTTACGACCTATTGCAGAGGCAGGGAAGAAACATGTTTTGGACATGGGCTTACTGCTCATGTACAGCATTCACCATCCTTCCTGTAAATGTCTTTCATCACTAGTATTCCTTAGCCTAGTTAGCCTTGGCAGCCCAGTTCCCCAAGCAAGAAACCTACAGTTACTCCTCAGCCTTTCCCTTGCCCTTTACCTCATGCCACACCCTCACCCACCTGCCTCAACTCAGTTTTCTTGACAACCTTTCCCTTTTTTTGAGCCTCTTTTTCTCCATCCCCAAAGTTACTTTTTTAGTTCCAATCTCATCAGACACCTGGATCATTGCAAGATGTTAAACTAGATTGTAGTTCCCACTTTTGAAGGAGTGATCAGAGGAAAAAGGCCTCTCTAAAAAGATAACATTTAAGCTAAAGTAAGAAACCACACACATGAAAATATGGGAGAAGAAAAGTGTCACGCAGAAGGACAAGTACAAAGGTCCTGTGGCCAGAACAACATGGCAAGCTAGAAGAACAGAAAGGACAGAATAGCTGAAGAAGTACAAGAAGCCGAGAAGAGGAGAGTGCTAGGAGATGAAGTAGAAGAAATCAGAGACCAGATCATGCAGTGCCTTGCAGGCCACTGAAAAAATATGGACTTTAGTCGAAGTGTATTCAAAGCACAATGTTTGCTTTTATAAGATAGCTGTTAAGTGAACAATGTTTGGAGAGGGCATAGCGAGAGCAGAGGCAAGAAGAGCAGACAGAAGGGCACTGCAATAGTCTGGGCAAAAGACTGCGGCCTGACCTGACCTACAGCGGTAGCAGCCAGGTGCAGAGGGGTGAATGGATTTAGAATGTACCATACTTTGCCGGGTATAATGCGCACCAACGTTTTTGGCCCAAATTTTCAGGAAAAAAAAAATCTTTCACTTCAATTTTTTAAATCAATCAATCAATTATTTATATTTACACACTTGTTTTGTGTATTAGGGATTTTGGCATTTATTTTTGAACACACGTACATTGTTATTGCTTTCTAGAGTTACACTTTTAACGCATAAGCATCAATAAAAGGATTTAAAACATTTCTTTAACATTTAACATTTCTATTAAAAACAGAATTAGTACTACCCACATAGAATGCACATCCCCATTTTTCCCTCAAAAATGTGGGCAAAATAGTGCGCATTATACACGGCATAATACGGTATTTGGGAGGTGGAATGACAGAGCTCGCTGTTGGAACAGATGTGGGCAAGTAAGAAAGCAAGGAGTCCCAAGAAATTCCTAGAAAGTAACTGCAGTGTAAGTTACCCTGAGTAACTGGGTAAGGAACAGGTTGGGGCAGAATGTGGGTTAAGAGCCATGTTATATTTGAGATGCTAGTGTCCTGCTATTATCCTTTCTAGGGGCGACAGGTGCCCGTGAGGTTAAATCTGGAGCATTGCACAATCTCAAGTACCTTCTTGGCTTGATTCAGGGAGATCTCTACAGCGACCGTTATATTTTCTTTATCCGAAGTGATTGCACAGCTCACTGAATGCCATTCCTCCACATGCTGGAAAAGGAAAGTCTAGTTAGCACAATCCCTCTACGTAGGGAAAAGCTGGGGTTTTTACCACAGCACACAGTGCGCCTAAAGATCCCAGAATACAGGATGTGAGCAGCTGCATCGCTCACCTTGGCCGAAGCAAAGGCACAGCCTTGGCAAACGTGACCCAGTAAAGGGGCTAAGGAGGGCGCTGGGGCCGCCTGCTTGTGTTTGCGGTGGAGGTCGGGGGAGCGGCCCGAGACTCAGGAAAGTAGTATCTGGGCCAGTCGTCACCCCATTCAAGCCCTCTTCCCTCCCTTGGCCTCTGGGGTACGCTGCGCTCACCTGAATCGCATCGCTCCCACAAGCGCGCCCCTGACGCTGGGTGCACACAGTGTAAGCCTGAAACGAGAGCCATTGCCGTGATGCAATAAAAAAGCGAACCCACCGCACTAATCCGCCCTCTGCCCGGTCCCACGAGGCCGTGGTGATACGCATGCGCGAACGGTGGGCACTAGGACCCGTGGCGCAGGCCTGCCGGCAGGCGCCTCTGCGCCTGCGTCAGTGTCGGGAGGCCGTCTCGCGGTGTTTGTCTTTAAATCGTTTGGCGGGTGAGAGCCATGGCGGCGTCACTCCCGCGACACAGGAATCGGCTCTTAAGAACGTACGGGGCTGCCGGCGGCTGGGGGCCTCGGCGGACGGGCCGGGCAGGCGCGCAGTGGTTCGCGCCTCAAGATCCAAAGCGTTTCTTCAGCAGCGCCAGCAGCAGCAACGCCAGCAGCGAGGAACCCTCGCAGTCTGTCACTTCCGACGATTCCGACGACCCCGACTTCTGCAGCCAGGTGGGTCAGCGGCGGAGGCGAGCTGGCGGTCAACTTTCCAAGGACCAGCCGAGCCTGATCGGGACCCCAAGACGCCTGAGGCCGCGAGGCCGGCCCCCGCAGAAGTGCAGCACCCCCTGCGGCTCACTGGCCAGCAGCCCGGGCCGCTTCAGCCCAGGCCTCAGTGTGTGCGGCCAGTCCAGGGACGGCGAGCTGGGCACCAGCGCCTCCCTGTTTAGCTCCCCGGCCTTTCCGGGCCCCGGCGCTGGGTCCCCAGTGCCAGGAGACAGTGTCATCGGCCCTTCCGCCTCTCTGGATGCAGCTTCTCTGGACCAAGCACCTTATCCCTGCTCCCAGGCGGCAGCAACGGGAGGAGGCAGGTTCACCAAGCTGACCCACCACGGCAGTGCCAGCCCCAGGTCAGCTGTCTTTGGCCTTACGGGCTCAGGAAACCGTGAGGATTCTGAGTCTGCGACAGATGGGAAGAATATGAGGGAGTCCTGCTGTGAAAGTGTGCTGGTGGGGAAGAGGCAGGAGAGCCCAGGTTTAACAAGCATCCGAAAGAAGAGGGCCACAGACCAGGACTCGTGTCCAGAGACTGGGACTCAAGGGGCTGTCCAGACAGAATATGAGGAGGCCAATGGGAAAACCAGCAGGCCTCAGAGAACTGGTCCATGCCGGAAAAGGAAACATCAGGAGGTGGTAGAAACCTCCCTCCTCCAGTACGACAAGTTTAAAACGGGCCAAAATATGGAAAAAGATTCATTCCTCACCGAGAACCTGACTCATTTGACTCATTTTCAGAAGGACTGCTCTTGGACCAAAGCCAGGGCTTCCTTCAGTTTCCACAAGAAGAAGATCGTGACTGCTGTGTCAGAAGTGTACAGCACCTACACCATTGCCAGTTCTCCCTCTGGGTCCCTCATATCAGAATATTCAAACCCTTCTGTCATGAACAAAACAAACAGTGCTTCTTCACCTTGGCACTCCTCTTCCATGTATTTGCTAAGCCCCTTAAAGACCCTACATGTCGCAGACAAAAAGGCATCTTATGCTGAAAAGGTTTATAGGGAATGCAGCCAGGAGGGTCCTATCCCCTTTAGCTCTTGCCTTTCCACGGAAAAACTGGAATGCTGTGAGAAGATTGGGGAAGGGGTGTTTGGCGAAGTGTTTCGAACAATTGCTAATCATATACCTGTAGCCCTAAAAATCATTGCTATTGAAGGACCAGATTTAATCAATGGAACCCATCAGAAAACTTTTGAGGAAATCCTGCCAGAGATCATCATCTCCAAAGAATTGAGCCTCTTATCTGATGAGGTATACAATCGCACAGAAGGCTTTATTGGGCTGAACTCAGTGCACTGTGTTCAGGGACCTTACCCTCCCTTGCTCCTTAAAGCTTGGGATCACTATAACTCATCCAAAGGGTCTGCAAATGATCGGCCTGACTTTTTTGAGGAGGACCAACTCTTCATTGTGCTAGAATTTGAGTTTGGTGGGATTGACTTAGAGCAAATGAGAAAGGAGTTGTCCTCCATAGCTACTGCAAAAAGCATTCTACACCAGATCACTGCATCCCTCGCCGTGGCAGAAGCATCACTGCACTTTGAGCACCGGGACTTACACTGGGGGAATGTGCTCTTAAAGAAAACCAGCCTCAAAGAAGTGCACTATACCCTCAATGGGAAGACAAGTACTATCCCCACCCGTGGGTTGCAAGTCAATATCATTGATTACACCCTGTCACGCTTGGAACGGGATGGGATCGTGGTTTTCTGTGACATTTCCATGGATGAGGACCTATTTACAGGTGAAGGTGACTACCAGTTTGAGATCTACAGGCTAATGAGGAAGGAGAACAACAACTGCTGGGGTGAATATCACCCTTATAGTAATGTGCTCTGGCTACATTACCTCACAGATAAGATCCTGAAAGAAATAACCTTCAAGAAAAAGTGTAACACCCCTTCCATGAAGCAAACAAGGAAAAAGATCCTGCATTTCCATAAGACAATGCTGAACTTCAGCTCTGCCACTGACCTGCTTTGTCAACACAGTCTATTTAAGTAAGTCAAAGGTGCCTTATTGCCTCAAACTGACAGGCCACTAGTCTTGAAAGCCCCCAGTGCTGTTTTCAGTCTGTATCCCCAGAGGAGGGTGAAATTCTCATTCTTTCCATGTTTCTAATCAGCTTTCAAACAAGAATTTTGTTTCCAAGTGGAGACTGAAATGTTTGTGGAAATGTTTAAACAACAAATATTCTTTAAAAATAAACTACACATGAGAACAGGCATTTACAACTTATAAGCCCTCTCTCAGTCAGCAGAGTCCATTCTTGTAAGTGTCTTTCCATATTTTCATTTTTGAGCTTTGACACTTTATGTAGCCTAAGGAAAAAAGAATTCAGGGAAGCCCAAGACCTCCACTGTCATACTGATCAGAGCCTGCAGAGCCTGTAGGTATCATCAAGCTGGCTTTTCGAGCCATACTACAGATCAGGAGTCAACCAACAGCAAAGCAGAAACCAAGACAGACTAGAGGGAGAGAGAAAAGGAAGAGAGTAGTCAGTTTATAGGGAGACATGCAAGAAGTGCGACATATTTATCAAGCTCATTTGCCAATCACGGAGAAGTAGAATTTAGCAGTTTTCAACAGGAAAATAAAGGTCTCCATGGCTACTAAAAAGGTTTGAATTTTTGCTTATTTTTCGTCAAGGGAAGGACAACAAATGTTGCTTTAAGAGCTGGGTGGTTGTCATTCCTTCTGAATGTGGCTTTAATAATTTACTCCTGCTGTATTTCCAGGTTAACTAATCTTTTTGCTCTTTTTCTAGAATTCTGGTTTTTATACCTTTCAGAATGCATAGTCACTCTGGAAAGAGAGGGATTGGGATAAAGAACCACATCTAAGTACCTGAGTCTTTGTCAGTTTCTTCACTGTTATAAGCTGGAGACCTTGTAATTTGATGGGAACACAGATTTGCAGTTGGAATTCAGCTTCAAAGAAATTTTCCCCATGTATCTGTAGAGTAAAGAGTAGAAAGTCAAAGTTGGTGTTGCATTGCCACTTGTAGCTTTGCAATGATAAGTACTAAGCACTTACAGTGAAGGGGAATTCTTTGTAGTCAGAGCCACCAAGTTCCTGGCTTGTGTTCACGTACATCACTGATGGTCTGCAGTTGAAAGGACATGTGTTAGCTTCAAGGCCCCCCCTGTTTTAAGTGAACCTGAATGCTACCAGTTGGATACACTAGGACAGATTCCTTAAGAGGAATCAAAGCTAAATATCAAAATGTAAATTGGTGGTAGGGCAGTTGGGATCAGGTAGAATATTTGAATAGTATATATTTGGGCTGGTTCTGTGTATAATTATTCTTCGCAGTGGCCTTTTCTCCTTCCTTTTCAATCCCATAGCCCCTGTCTTCTTCCCTCCTAGGCATCATGTCAGTGCCCTTTTGTAGCAATACCTTTTCGTAGCAAGTACTACTTTGATTACTACTATGGGTTTCTAGGACCCAACTGTTAATGTCCTAGAGATCAGTGGAGCTTCCTCTCAGAGACAGTGCCCACATCCAGCCTGTCCTCCAGTTCCACCCATAAGAGAGAAATACCTGAAGCTGTCCTGCAGGTGTTGGTCCCGTGGAGGTACTTACTTGGGAAGAACTGCAGTGAAGGCATGCCTGAATTGAAGGCTGTGGGTCTCTGTGACCACAGATGGTTTTTCATTGGCACTAAGAAATAAGAGTGTCAGTTCTTAGCACACCTGCTCTGTACACATGGCTACTTCTGTGCCTTGGCTTCCCAGGGTCATTGGGTCAGATAAGAAAAGACTTGCAGATAAGAAGAGTGCAGAACAGTTGCTAGAAGACTGTACTTGGAGAAACATTGATTTAAAAGGGTTTCTCAACCTCAACAATATTGACGTTTGGGGCCAGGTAATTCTTTGTGAGAGGCTATCCTGTGTATTATAAGATGTTAAGCAGCATCCCTGGCCTCCACTCATTAGATGCTGGTAGCAACCCCCAAGCTGTGTCAAAAATATCTTCAGGTATTGCCCCTGGGGTGCAGAATCACTCTCATTTGAGAACCCTTTCCCAACACTACCCCAACATACCCCCAAACACAGAGATTTCACAGATGACAGAGCTTCCCCAAAATTAAATGAACCAGAATTAGAACTCCAGTCCAAGGCTCATTCTGTAAGACTATACCATAGTTTTACTTGTGTGCCAATAAAAGAATGTTTTAAATATCTTTGATGCCAACCGTGGGGACAAAGGTGACTTCTCTGGGATCACTGAGGTTGTGTTGTTCCTGGGGAGTTGGGGAGCCACAGCTCTTGTGCAGGCACACAGCAGGGAGATTTCTTCCAGGGCCATAGCCTGGGCCTGCTATGACAGGCACTACTTACTTTGTGATGTTCACAGTGATGTCAGCTGTCCTGTTTGGAAAGACACTCTCCTCTATCTGCCAGACTACTGAAAAGTTTGCCTATTTAAAAAAAAAAAGTCACGTAATTTTCCTGTATACTATTCATAATTCAAACTGCTTCCTACTGACTGGACAGACCTGGGAAACAATATACAGGCTCCCACACAAATAACGCCCCTTCTTTATTACAAAATCTTTTATTACAAAATCATAATCATGTAATTCTGTAACATAACAATATCACACTCAAGCACACCATATGACATTTTAAGGGAAATGTTCAAAGTAAAACTCTAAATTATTACACCCATATTATTACCCTACCAACCACCCTCAAGCAGGTGTTTACTTCTGCCGGACCTTGTATATTCCTCACATTTTTGTATCATAGTATGTTTCCACATTTATTATTCCATGTAAGCTTCTTATTCCCTTTTTACATCTGAGGAAGCATCTCAAATTCCTACAGCACAAAGATCAGTGGCACGTCAGAGATTCACCTCAGGACTAATAACTTCGGGTCTGACGGTCCTTCCGTACTACCCGCGGCTTCACTCTGCTGCACTGTGTACTGCAGTGAGCCAACACTCTGTGACTGCATCCCCCACCCACCACTCCCTATTTTCAGAACAAACTTGGCAGTTCTAAGCACAGCTATGGATAGATTGTACAGTAGAGGGAGGTGTGGAGACCACAGCTGAAATTCCAGTGAGACTGGAAAGTAGAAGACGACAACTCTAGGGTAGTGAGAAAAGTCAGCCAATCAAAACAGACTTACAGATGACCTCTTAAGTATGGGGTGACCAATCTTGCAGTTCATGACCAGGACAGAAGCAGTTGGCTTAGGGTCATCACACTGAATATCTGGGGAAGGAGGCTGTTAACACAGGAAAGACTTATTAAAAGGTAAAAAAAGGAGCAGTTTCCTCACATGCATTTATAGCACCATTTCCTGATTTTTCTCACATGCAAGACACCCTGCTCAGAGCTGAGTACACAGATCAGACTTGGTCCCTGTCTTCCTCACAACCTGGGCGAGAGGGTTCAGTAGTACACGGTTGAGGGATTTAAATAAAAGGCCTATGGAGTGGTTCTGTGAGAGAGGTACAGAGAAAAGCAGTAGAGAAAGAGATGAATTCCAACTTGGAGGAGCCTGGAAGCCTTCACTGGGAAGGAGACATTTGAATTGGGCCTCAGGCCAACACAAATTTAATCCAAAACGGCTGGACAGCTAGCGTGAGCCCCAGCACCACCGTGCCGCCTCTCTCAATCATGGTTCCTCATCTGGACCACTGAGTACAGAAAAGGATTTGAGCAACTACTATTTTCTTAATTCCTCCAAGGAGGTTGCATCACTAGTCCATTCTAGATGCTTAGATCATCTCATTCTTTTCATATAATAGATGCTATCCTAGCCTAACCAGCCTAAGACCATCAAGGACAAAGCCAGCTGTATTGATTCATTACAATGAGGAACACTGCACTGGTGTGTCTTACCAAAGGAAAAGATAGTTATTAAAGGACTCTGGGCAAGGGTGGTGTTCAGGTGACATATAAATGAAGCAGTGTTTTGATAGGCTCAAAATAAAGCAGGGGTGCCTCAGCTGGTGTGGGTCACCCCAGAAACCGAAAGGTCACAGGTGTGATTTCCAGTCGGGGCACGTGCCTAGGTTGCAGATTAAGTCCCGTGTGAGGCAATGAACTGATTTTTCTCCCTCTCTATCTCCCTCCCCTCCTCTCAAATCAGTAAGCATGTCCTGGGGGGAGGATAAAAGTAAATAAAGCAAGGCTGTGTGTAAAAGGGTCACTCAGCATCAGATGTGGACTGCAAAGTGGACCCAGGGATCCATTTCTATGGAAACAATTAAGATGTGAAGTTTTGTCCAGAAATGCATTATGGGTAGTGCTGTACCTCAGATGAATCTAGACTGCTTCTCTTTGTCAAAGTGACTCAGATTGTCCAGGCAAAAGTGAGACGGTTCCATAATTACAGATGTAACTTCAAACAGCAAAGTTGGATTGCCAGTGATTTTAGAAAACAACTTTTCTCAGTGTTATGATACTTCACAGCTGCAGGATGTCCTTGGGGAAAAAATATCATTTCCTAGTGTCCTGCAGCTGGCTTTGTGTCTGCAATCCCAGGCTGATAAATGCCAGGGCAGACTTCTACTTTTTAGTCCTGGTTAAATTATTCGAGATCATTTCTCTCTCAGAACCAGGGTTAAGAAAGGCTGCAAGCAGGGAGGAGTGATTGTGCAGCAAAATGGCACCATTGGAGGCTTGTGAGACAAAGAATGGCATGATTGGAGCCATGTCATATAGTTGGGCTCATCTAGCTAATAATCACTTGGTGGAATTGGCCAAGATGAGGCTGGAGGCAGATTTAGGAGGTTGCCATAGAAAAGCACATACGCAGGGAGGAAAAGCTATGAGTGGCATGTTTCCAAAACTGCTGTCATAGTTACCTTTTGTATCCTCTTAAACAGTAGATTTCTGGGATAATTTAGAGCCATGCTTGTCATGTAGGAATCTTCTCCAGAGTTAGCTAGGTTAATACTCATAGTCAGCTCCTTCGTGACACCCACCACCAATTTCTGCCTGCACAGGGTAGGCAAATAGACAACTGTTACCAGTTCATCCTGTAAAAACCTCAGTGTGATGCAATAGCACATTCTTAACTAACCTCTTAGATAAGTTGCCTAAAGGATACATTTAGCTTAGATTTTCTTCCCCCTAACATGAGCAAATACCTGGACCTCCATACACACCTCAGTTGCCATGTGAAATAATAATAATGGCTACCATTTATTTAGTATTTACCATGTCACATGCTCAATTTGTCTTCATAATAACCCTATGAAATAGGACAATTATTCTCCATTTTATAGAGAAGGAAATAGAAGTCAAGAGAGGCTCATTAATTTTCTAAGGTCTAACAGCCTCAAAGATAAATTGGGAGAATTGGATCTAAATACTCTTTCAACCACTTCATTGCACAAATCCATCCATTTCACACGTATTTATGGAGCAGCTCCTCTGCGCTCAGCACTGGAGAGCAGCGGTGCACGGGACAGGCACCGCCCCGGCCCCTGCCCCTCTCTTGGCCTTAGCTTTCCCACCCACAGTGTCACCCAGGCCCTTCCAATTTAAAGGCTACAGTTTAAAACATGAGTCTGTTCAGCTCAGTGAAGAGAGGATGGGGATTTGTGAGTGCCACGCTCAGACTGCTGAGGTTCTGGGGCCCCAGAGTGCAGAACAACTATCAGTAATTGAGATCTGCAAGAAAATGTGTTAACAGTACAAAGAAAACTTTCTAACCATCCGAAACAGTCGAAGATGGAGTATGTCACTCTGGGAGTAACCATGTGTTTTGCTGTGTTGTTTTTGTTTTTTATTACAGCTGAGAAGAGGACACATTGATTGGGGGGAGAGAAGGGTCAGAGACAGAGCCTGCTGTGGAGAGCCATCTGAGAGTTGACACATGCCTGAAACAGGACAGTAGTGGCTGGGATGGAGAGGAGGAGTAGAAACCAGAGATGGTAAGGCCGTGCTTGCAAGCAGAGCAATAAGGAGAGAAAACCCAAGAATGAGTCCTAAGTTTACAGCCTGGATGACCGATGAGGGAAAGACATCAGGCAGGAGACCAGAGGGCGGAAGTTGACCAGAAGAGTTCAGTCAGGGACACCATGAGAGGTGTTTATCGGATAACAAGTTAGAGATGTTGAAATGTCAGTCAGATAGTGTTCCAGAACCCAGGAAAGAGATCTGAGAGTCGTCAGGGATAGTGTCAGAGGCCCAAATGCAAACACTGATGTGTGCACATGCGATCTTCCGGGAAGAAGGGTCTGTAGTTTTTCTTAGATCCTTTAGGAGGTCTAGGTCCACAGCAAGCTCAGAGACCACGGAAATGTTTGGATGCTAAAGAATAGGCGTTTTTTAGCAATACTTTTGAGAAAGGAGAATGCCAGCTATGTACACTAGGGGGTGATGTAGGGCCAGCTGAGTATGCAGCATCTCTAGTTCTCAAGGAGCTGGCTGAGCAGGAGGCTCTTGGCTGTAATTAACTCCCTGCTGGAAACAGCTGTGCCTGCTTGTTAGGCTGGATTCCAAAGCACTTCAGTCTTGAATTGGATCCTGAGCGATAGACATGGGCAGTGCTAAGCCACCCACGTCTGCAACACAAGTCCTGCAAATGCCTATGAGAAAACTTACCCGGACTTGGGGAACAGTGTTCTTCCCCACAGACGCCAACTCCAGCCGCTGGCCATCGGTGCCATGTTACGCACAGAGCACTAGTAGCCAGGGCATTCTGAGACCCCCATGTGCTCAAAACCACTCATGCTCTCTTCCTCCCCACCCGGCCTTCCAAAATCGTCCTCCCAAGGGCTTCCCCAATTCAGCTCTTGGCATCACGATTGTTCTGAGTTCAGTGTGACCCAGCAGAACTTTTGTTTGCAGTAGTGGAAATAGTCCGTAGCTGTGTTGTTTAATATCACTAGCGCTACGTGGGTATTGAGCACTTGAAATGTGCACAGTACAACTGAGGGAGTGAAATTTTCATTTTATTTAATTTTAATTAATTTTCATTTGAATTGGACAGCCCAGTTCTAGATGCTCAGGCTGAAACCTTGAAGACGTCTTAGAGCCCTCTCTGCCCCTCACTCCCCACATCCATTCTGTCGTCAACTTCAAAACATCGCCACCTTCAGTGCAGCGCCCTGGCCCAAGTCACCACCCCTTCTCTCCTGATGTGTTGTAAGAGGTCCTTACTATCTCCCTGCTTCCACCGTTGCCCTGACCGTCTATTCTGAACACCACAGCAAGGATGGTCCCATTAAAAACGAAAGATCACGTCATTCCTCCGGCTTCCCAGCTCACAGGAGAAGCCCTGCGGGGGCCTGCGCGGCCCCGTGCGCCCTTTCCCCTTCCACACACACCACCTCTCCTTCCTCATTCTGCTGCAGCCACGCAGGGCCCCGGCCCTTCCTCCCGCCTCCAGGCGTGCTGCCATCTCAGGGCACTTGTGGTTAGTTCTCCTTCAGGTACCCACACAGTTCATCCCTTGACCTCCTCCTGCAGGTACCAACGTCTCCTCAGCGAGCTCTTTCCTGGCCGCCCTGTTTAAAACCGCCACCTCATCTCCACCCAGCACTCCCTCCCACTTTCCTCACCTTATTTTTTGTCACAGTACATCTTGACAACATAATATTTACTTAGTTATTATCTTCTCCCCCTAAAAGCAGCAGGAGGGCAGGGCTTTTTGTCTGTGTTGTTCACTGATGCATCTCCAGCACCTAGAGTGCTTGGCACAGAGAAGACGTGCCATAAATATTTAATGAGTTAAGCAATTTGGTTAAAAGGCAAGTCAGGGGAGAGGTTACCTCTCACTGGGGTGGTCCTAGGAGAGACAACAGCACTGCTTGGGATGTCAAGAGACCTGGGTTCAAGTCCACCAGATACCACTGTGGCCCATGCAGGCTCTCAACTACTGAGCCTCTTCTCTCCTCTATAACATGGGAAAACAAATGTCTGCGTTGCCTCCCTCATGGGATGGCTGAGGAAGCAATGAGATAACAAATGCAAAAGCCCTTCTTGGGCCATGAGGGGAAGCGGAAGGGAGTGAGAGATTGGTCCTGATGGGGGTTTGCCCAGGTAAGCCTTCAGGAGCAAGTTAATTGCAGAAACTGTGATGACTGTATCCGACTCACTGAGAGATGGTGGTGGCCAGCTGTAACTCAGGAACACAAAACAGCCTATTCTTGCAGGCCTTCTCATAGGACAGCTGTAACGACACAGAAAGGGGCAGGGTCAGGCCAGGGGCCCCCGATCCCCGGCAGCCTTGCCTCACAGTCTGCTCCTTGGGACGCGCCTGTCCCTCCTTTGGACTCTTAAGGGCAGTTACAGGGAGGTGAAGGCTGACAGGCTGGGGTTGTGTCCACATGGCCAAGAGAGCTGTGACTGTGACATTCCTTGATCTGTCCAGGGTAGGAGACGTAGGGGGAACAGCCAGATGACAGGTGACGGTAGAGGGTGTGTTTGCTCCTACAACACAGGTACACCATGAGTCAGGCCTCTGGCCAAGGTCCAAAAATGAGGTGACCTTCATGGAATGGTGGGAGTGCCTGTCACATGTCACGAGAATTAAGCAGCATCACTCACACCTCACTGCTTTGAGATTTTCAGGAGGAAAACCTACATGAAGAAAAGCTTCCTTAGTCCTTTCAAGCAGAGGTAGGAAGAGGAGGGGCACAGATGGAAGATACTTAACCAGATATTGTCAAGGTCCAGCCCTGCAGTCCTTTGACCCCATGGCTAGTCTTCTCTGTATACAGATTAAATATTCCCTTTGCAATCTTGCCTACAACATTAAAGCAAACTAATTCAGAAAGTCACTTTGGGGCCAAAGGCCCAGTTAAAATTGAAAAGCCCTCGTTCAGGTTGAAAACTCAAATTTTCTAAAGATCTGGGTTTATTTTTTATTATGAAGGAAACACAGCCAGCTCCTTAACTGGGAAATCTCTGCCTTTATCTCCCCGGCAGCCAGGGACCATGTCAGCAGCCATACGCAAGGACCCTCACCAGCGCCAGGAGCTGCAACGGGAGCCCAGAGCTAGAAAGCAAACCTCCTTCCTGGAGGAGGGAGATGGAATTCGCAGAAGTCAGAACTGGACACTGATCGGGTCAACAGTTCCGGGCAAGGTTTTTGGGGGTGTTTTTAGTTTTGTTTTCCATGTAACCAAGGAGCCTGTTCTCTTTCCCCCAGTCCCAGTGAGAGAGCTGGGTTATACTGCCTTGAGCTCCCGGCCAGAACTCATTCTCTGGAAACATCATGTGCTTAAACTAACACCAAATCACTTCTTCTCATCCATTTTATCCATGGAATAAAGAATTTCTTTGCCAAACCATCAAAATAATCATTGATAAAGGTAAGAATCATGAATGGATGTTAAACAACGTACATACATAATCTCAAAGCATCTCCCCACAAGGTACTTATTAATCACACTGGGAAATAGCACCAGTAATGGACAGAGCAATGTGCCCCCTGATACGATGCGCTTAGAAGGACACGTCACTGCTGTGATATTCTTGCCCAAAATGCAAAATCAAAAGCTAATCATGAGGAGACACCTGAAAATTAAAGTTATAAAACATTCTACAAAATAACCGGCCTGTATCCTTCAAAAATATTGAAGTCATTAAACAAAGAAAGACTGAGAAACTGTTCCAGATTAAAGGAGGCAAAACATTAAGTGATGACAAAATGCAGTAAATGATCCTGGACCTGAAAAATACTTTTTCTTTTGCTATAAAGGACACTTATAGGACAACTAATGAAATTTAAATAAAGTAAATGATAGTATTTTATTATTATTAATTTCCTGATTTTGATGATTGCACTGAGGTTGTGTAAGAGAATTTCGTTTTTTAGGAAATATATACTGAATATTGAATAGTAATAGGCACCAAATCTATAACTTACTCTCAAATGGTTCAGAAATAAGATGTGTGTATATGTGTGTAATATATATGTATGTATGTGGATGTACTGTCTATATAGTGAGAGAGAATGATAAAGCAATGTATATGATAAAGCATGTGATAAAATGTGAAAATGTTAACATTTGGGAAATCTGGATAAAGAATGCACAGGGATTTTTGGAATATTATAATTTTTTAGTAAAGTAACTACTTCAAAATAAAGTTTTTAAAAAACAGAATATATATAATTAGTGATAATCTCCTTATTGATAAAACTATTACATTAGTTCTCCCAGTCTTTTTTGCATCTACCTTGCTGTCAATACCAAAGTTTTAAAAAATTATTTACAAAGTAAATATACTATTAGATGTTTAAAATAAAGTCTCTTGCCTAAAAAATTAAGGTGACATCCTGGCTGGTGTGGCTCAGTGGATTGAGCGCCGGCCTCCAAGTGTCGCCGGTGCGACTCCCAGTCAGGGCACAGGCCTGGGTTGCCGTCCGGGTCCCCAGTCAGGAGCACGCAAGAGGCAACCACTCATTGGTGTTTCTCTCCCTCTCTTTCTCCCTCCCTTCCCCTCTCTCTAAAAATAAATAAATACGAATCTAAAAAGAAATAAAATAAAATTAAGGTGACAATCTTTGTTCCTAAGGAACCTGATTCTCCCTCTTCCGGGGCAGATGAGCCGTGAAAACAGCTTCCCAGTTGCTCTGATCATGTTGCGCTCCTTTCTATTCACCATCTGTGATTGATACATTGGGTGTTGACCAATGGAGCTAAAAGCTTATATAATTTAATATAGAGCATTTGGGTAAAAACATTGGACAGTCGGGACTGTCCTAGGGTTACCTGGAAATATGTGCTTTTCTGTGCCAGCATGAACTACTTTTGGCTTCTTAGTTTTAATTTTGGAGACTCAGTTCATTCCAGCTGACCGTAAGTATTACTCTTTAATGCCCACGTTGTCACTTTTATCCTGTTGACCTTTCTATACCCCATAAGACTCTCTAAATGTAGACAGATAGAATATTCTAGGAGCCAGGGCCTGGCTACAAACAAAATCACCTTAGATATCACAGAATCAGCAAGTATGACTGTTTTCCCCCTCTGATTTCCCTCGGTTATGAGGAAAGTTCCTTATGACGCTACCCACCCATTAGGGTGCAAGTTTGGTGGGCTAGACATTCAGCCCGTAGGCCCCGGGCAGGACCTGGGTTGACAGGGGCGCCAAAGGGCATCCTCTCTGCAGTTCAGGGCAGATCGGCTCCCATCCAGTCCCCACAGGGGACCCCCACCACGCTGTCATCAGAGACTCTTGCCAAGTCAGGCAATGTATTTATACCCTTTGTGAAACATGTAGCAAGTACTTTCTGGGAACATAAAGGAACCAGCCTGGGGTGATAGTTTGGAGACTTGGCTGTCCACCAGCAAGGCCCATTTGTGCAATCAGGGGCCCAAACGCAGTCTGAGGACCCCCCCAATTCTAATAACAATTTTTGAAGTTAGGGAAGCAGGTGCTTTTGGGGGAATGGCTCCCAGGAGGGTCTGGTCCTAGCTGTGTATAGCGTCACCTGGAAGATGGCAGAGGTCTCATTGTAGAGGTCCAGGACAGGGTGGGGACGGTCACTCCAGTCCTTGGGGGTCTGGAGTTGGTAGCTGACGTTGATACTGATGTTGAAGAAGTGGTCCTCTTCGGGGAGCTGCAGCGCCACCAAGGAACGCACAGTTGGAGTTGGAGGTGGGGGAGAAGATGACAAGGAGAATACTTTTAACTTCGAGGTAGTCATAATAAGAAATAAGCAATGAAAGAGGTGAGCCAGAAGTCCTAAGCCTCTTCCACATAAGCCAGGCTCAAGGGAAGCTTTCATTTAACCAAGCTGCCAAGAGCATTGGAAAAATCTCCCTTGATCTGCAATGGCCTCTGATCTCATAACTCCTTATGGTTTCCCCCCCAATCACAAAGTGATTCTGGCTTGAGTTAAAACCGACTCCACTTGATTCAGCAAGCAAATGGGAGCCACAGAAGGTAAGACTCATAGTCACACCTGTGTTTACAAAGATCTTTCTCAAAGCAGCATGGAGGGCATACTAGATAAAAACCGAAACAAGGAGATTGCCCAGGATGGCATCTCTCGTTCTCTCTGAGTGAGCCTTTCTGCCGTGGTGGAAGCTTTGAGCACATGAGAGGAGGCGAGCATGCCTCCCGGTGGAAAAGGTAGTTATGCTTGTATGGAAAGAAGCCGTAGAAACTCACTAGAAACTCTTCCTTAATCCAATTAATAATCAGAACAGATGCGGGAACAGATGTGTAGTCAGAAGCATAATTTATGAGGTTAGTGGAATAAATGATCCTTTTAGATCCAAAGTTCTAGGTCCTGGCAGGCTCTGAGTCCTGACAAACACCATGTTTCTGGGCACCTTTGTAAATGATAACTTTTATCTTTCTATTACTTTCCCTCATTCAGTTTTTCTGATGTTGATTTGAAGAAGGACCCTCAGCCCCGCTGTTGTCCTCAGGGAAGGTTAGATGACAAAGGGAGGGGAAGCTACAGCAATTAGAAAAAAGCAGCAAAAAGCAGCTCCCTTTTTGCTCAGCTGCTAGGAAGCTCAGTGATATAGCTGGTGTTTAATTTCAGTAGGTCTCTTTAATTTGTATTTCTCGTATCATTAACTCCATCTCCCATGCCATTATACAGTTCTTTTTTTAATTGCATTTTTCCCCCATTATCGTTTAGTCCCCTGGTTCTTGATCTATTATTTTAATCTAGTTTGTATGAACAGACACCTATCCTTCACTGCATACCCCTCCAGTCTTTTCTCAACAACACAGACCCCTCTGGACTCTTCTAAGCCCCTCGCTTACCTCTTCCTCTGTGGGAAAGAGCCTGAGGCGCTCACAGAGAAGCGGCCCATCGTGCCAGTCCTTAAGGTAGCTCTGACAAGCACTACCGCCCTGAAACTGCAGCCTCTTCCTCGACCTCAGCGTATCCACATCCACCGTGAAATTCAGAGATGTCTCTCCGAGGCCTGGGAATGAAGACCAGCCCTGCCAATGAGGCTGGGGTGGGCAAGTCCCAGGCTCAGGTCCCCTAGCCTGCCTGAGGCTCCTCGGGGGCCCCTCCTGGGTGCCCGCACAGAGGTGCTTCCCCGGGGCCGGACTTCGGAGTGTCTTCACTTCCAAAGTGCTTGTCTCATGGTGTTCTGGCACCTGGCTAGGGACCCTCAGTGCTCCAGCCCCAAACCCCGAGCAGCACATTCCCAGGGCTGAGTCAGTCTTCCCCAGGAGAGGGAGGACTCAGCGGGGAGGCTGGGATCAGGGAGAGGAGGAGGAGGGGGAATAGTACAGGGAATGGAAAAGGAAGCCACAGAGTAAAACCTGAGGATCGCAGAGCTGGAAGCACCTTATACGGGACCTGGGCCAGCTCCCTTACTGGCCAGAACAGAAGCAGGGCCCAGAGAATGCGAGGCACCTGCCTCGTGTCCCACAGCCACTCAGCAGCAGCCGTTCAGGCTCTGCATCCTGCACCTTTCAGCCTATACGGCTGGAACTGGCAGGCCTGTCCTCTTCGACCCCACCTTTGACAATGGCCTCCATCTGCAGTGAAGCCACCCCACCTGGGAGAGCGCTGTCTTATTTGCAGGAACCAGGCAGACGTCTCAGGGATTGTTACTGAGACGCTAAACCTCGGGGACTGTGGCTGACAGATTACCCTGGAGGGGAGCTCTTGGGTTACCAGTAAATACCTGGGCTGTGAAAGCCACGCCCACACTCGGTCTTGCGGAAACAGATCCCAACCAGTGGCAGTTAAGAGGATGGGAAGAGAGGCCAGGCCTCTGGCACATTATTCAATCCTAGCCGGGCCAGAAAGACACAGTGAGGAGGGCAGGGGAGAAGATGGAAATCAGAGAGAAAGAGGAAGGGCACTTCTCAGGAGTCCCTCCACTCCTAACAAGGTCAAGTACACCCCTTCAGAGCGTGGACTTAACAGCAGATCGCCCTTTTCTAGGGCAGTTCACACTACACAGAACCTAGTGTCAGAGGAGCTAAGCTGCAGATAGAGGGATTTCAAACACCGGACCTCCTAACACACACACCCTGAGCCCACCCCCATCCTCTCTCCCGGTCCCGCGCTCCCCAAGCCAACAAGGAAGAAGCCCAACACCGTGCGGGTCAGCCGGGCTGCCTGTTACCTGACTTGGCAGCTGTGGTCACAGAGCTGATTTCAAAACATAAAAGCACATTCACACTGTCGTTGAAGCCAATGGGCAGCACCATGGGGGTGAAGGTCATAAACACCTTCAGGCGAACCACAGGTCTTGAGCTAATTAAGAGAGCAAAGAGGACCGTGAGAAGTGATCGAATCAGTGCTTGGCTCATTCAGTCATTCAATGAATATTTATTGAACATCTCCCCTGTGCTACCTGCTGTTCTGAGTCTTCAGGATACAGTAGGGAAAGGGACAAGTCCCTGCTCTAGTGGGAAAAGAGACAACAAGCAAAGAAATAAGAAGAAACAGTAAAATACTATGTACAGGTAATGTTCTGATATAAGTGAAATAGGATAAGGTCCCGGAGACTGGGGCTTCTTAGGATGGGTAGTCAGGGACGGCCTCACTGATGAGGGGACAGTTGAGATCTGCTCACAAGAGAGAGCCAGCTACGTAAAGATCTGGGGGAAGCGCCTTGCAGGCAGAAGGCACAGCTAGTGCAAAGGGCCTGTGGTAGGAACGAGCCTGGCTTGAGGAGCATGAAGGTCACGCACGGCAGCCGCACAGTTAGTAGTGACAGGAAATGGGAAGTAGTCACCGGAGGGGCGGGCAGGGCCAGGCCATGGCAAGGAATTTGGGTTTTCCTCTGAGTGGGAACCACTGAGGGGTTTTAGCAGCAAAGGAAAGGGACGGCTCCGGCTGTCCTGTGGAGACCGGAGCACGGGGAGTGAAGCAGGGGGGCTGCCGGGGCAGCGGCCCCGGTGACGGGGACAGTGTCTTGTATGGGGAGGTATTCTGGAGGTAGAGCCAACAAAAGACGTGTGTTGATGGGGTGGCAGGAAAGGAAAAGAAGAATCAAGGATGACCCCTGGGTTTTCGTCCTGAACAGAGGCTGTGATTTGCTGAGAAGGGAAGCCCAGGGAGGGGCCGGGCGCGGGGAATGAGGTGCGGGTGAGAATAAGGGGTCCGTTTTTAGACATGTGGACTCTGAGATGCCTGGGAGCAACAGCAAATAGGGGCATTGAGTTGACAGCCAAGTCTGGGAGAGCACAGGGCACACAGGTGCCCTGTCAGCTTATTTATAGCCACAGTACTTGATAACTCACTTAGTTTTAACGTGATGTGCACAGGGACTCTGAGATCAGTGGTAGCAACGATGGCAGCCCCCAGGGGCACTGTGCTGAGCTTTTGCGTAGATTCTCTCAGTTAATCCTCATGACTCTGAGAGGCAGGCACTATGATCGTTCCGTTTATAGATGAGAAAATTGGAACCTGGAGTTCAATAGCCCTCCCAAGCACACACCGCTAAGTGAGAGCCGAGGTTCAAACTCAGATGGGCAGACTCCACAGCCAGTGCCCCTAACTGCCTACTCTGTCCCTTCAGTGCCTGGTGTCTTCACGGGGCCACTTAGGGCAGGGCAAGTGGGCAAGGCTGGGGCCTGGGGCCACAGAAGGCAGGGCAGACCCCTACCAGAGCACAACCGCCCGACCAAGGGTGCCCACGGTGATGTCGTCAAGGTCATCGCCATTCAAATCTAAGCCGCCGTCCACGGACGTGCCAAAGTAGCGCAGTCCAGGGGCCACCGCTGAGGCTCGGATGTGCTGTGGAGGGAGAAACACGAGGCGTGGGCGAGGGAGAGGAGAGCAAGTCGGCGTCGTCCGCACCCCTCGATCGGAGCCCTCAGTCAGAAACTGGGAAGAGCAGGGCCAGCCTCCGGGGAAAGTGGCATTTGCACAGAGCCTTGAAGGGCAGCTGGGACTTGGCAGGGACGCTGAGAAGGCAGGGGTTGGGCAGAGCAGGGCGGTCTGAGGAAGCCGCCAGGGGCCCGTGCGCAGGAACAGGAGAGCTGGGTGTAAAGGGGCTTGAAGTGGGACTGCGGGGCGCGGTGGGGGTGTCTAATCAGACACAGACGAGGCGGAGGCAGGTGGCGCCGGCGCTGGAGATGGAGAGGAGGGGCTCGACTGGGAGAGAGCTCGAATGTTGGGGTGGACACGGGGCTGACAGGCTGTGCCCAGGATCACGTGTCCGGGCTTATCCTGGATTTCAGGTGGGGTGGGTGGGGCCCGGAGGAGCAGCAGTGCTGGGGGCAAGAGGATGCTTTCCACTGGGCAGCATGAGAGCGAGATGCTTCGGAGCCATTCAGACAGGGTGCTCGGGAGGCAGCTGGGCATACGGGACTGGAGCTTGGGCAAGAAACTAGCTGGAGGGGGCGTACGACTGCATGGGAGGTCGGCAGCAGAGCCCTGGGGGATGAGAGTTACAGCATGGAGGGACTGGGAGGGGGCCAGAAAGGGAGGAAGGAGGGTATGAGGCAGGTCCCCTGCCGCACGTGCCAGAGAAGGGAGCGCCAGGTCGGAGAAGTAGACAGATACTGCCACAAGCTCTTGCCCGACCGGGAGCCTCCCACCCACCTGAGTGACTTCTGCCCTTCACTGGGCGCTCTCAACCCCGTGGGACTGCCTGGCACTCAGACCTGGAGCTGACTTGGGGCTCAGACCGGCACATCTGGCGGGGCAGGGGGGTGGCCACTGCCCCAGAGCAGGAGCAGGAGAGAGCCCTGCAGGTTACCTGTGAGTAGTTGGTAAAGAGGCCATCCCGGCGTCCATTGTAAATGTATACGCTGCCGAAGCTGATGTCATCACCCGCCACGAAACCTTCCAGGGGGGCCCCAATGGCCACATCTGTGAGCTTATCCTGACTGATATCCCCTACTGTTGTCATGGCAAAGCCGAATCGGGCCTCTGTGAACCCAGGATGCCCGCACAACGTTTGTACCAAGGAGAAAGAACCATCCTGTAAAGCAAACAGGCAGCACAGCCCTCAAGACAGGGATGCAGGGCGCCCACCGTTGGCCACCGCAGGAGGTGCGCTCACCGGACTTGTTAACTGGATTCGCTGGCAGGGAGTCTGAGGCTCAGAAAAGGCAAGAGGCCTTCCCAAGGCTACACAGTGAGTGAGAGGTAAAGCTGGGGTCCTCCTGCCTTGCAGGTCTGGACCAGAGCTTGTCCCCTCCACTCCCGTGGTTAGGGGCACCGGACTGGCCACCGGGAGGCCTGGGTTCTAGTCCCATCTCTACCACGTACTTACTATGTAAACCTGGGTACGTGTAAAACGTCTATGTAAACGTTTCAACATCACTGAGCCTCAGCTTCCCGACCTGGCAAGGGCGAGCCACAGCGACCTCTCAGTTACTGCAGAAGCAGGTGAGAAAGTAGACAAAACCTGCTTTGTCAACTGTGTGGCTATTTGGGAGGTTATCGCCACCAATGTGAGATGATGAGATGGGGAAAATGAGAGAGAGGGGAACAGCAGGGAGCGGATCCACTGTCCACCTGGCCGCCAGCCCCCCGGGCACCTCCGCGTCACTGCCCGGCGCAAGGCGGGGCCAGGGCGAGTCCAGCCTGTGCCACCTCTGCCCAGGCCGAGTAGCCACAGCCTCAGCAAGCTCGCAGAGCTGGAGACCCTCTCACCTGCTTATTCAGACGGTACACATAGACTCTGCCTTCCTGTCCATGAACGTGGTAAAACGGAGCAGCCACCAGCAAGAAGTCCGTGGTTCCATCCATGTCGATGTCCACGGGACACAGCTCAGAGCCAAAATAGGACCCCATCTACAGCCCAGGAAGAACTCAGCTCACAGGGAGCGTGGGAGAGGCCCCTCCCGCAGCCGTTGGCAAGGCCAGAGCCCTGCCCTGCTCCTTCTGGACCCCCACCTTTGGGGCATTCCCGATCAGTCTGTTCACAGGTAACACAGGAGACGGGGATGGCAGCCAACTCCCCACGACCAGGAGCGCTGGCACAGCCAGACACGCAGAGCCAGGGCAGAGGCACGTGCTCTGCTCGGGCTGCGTCCCCGACCCACTGTGTGCCCCGGAGCCCAGCCCTCTCCCTCGGGCCTCCGATCCCCCATCTGTACTAATGGAGGGGTCCGTGGTCCTTCGCCAGCAGGTACCTGCTCTCCCTCCAGCACTGGCATGAAGTTGGTCTCTCCGTTCTCCTTCCGGAGCTCAAACACGGCCCCTCGATGCTTGTGCCGTGGAGCCCCCGCCACATAGGAGGGTCCGCAGGCCTTACGCAGCACGGCCACTGAGTAACCTGGGGCAGGGGTGCTGCGGTTGTGACCGGGGCTCCCACCGGGCCTCTCCTTTGCCCCCGTCCCCACTTTCCCAGCCAGGCCTTGGAAGTGGCCTGGGCAGGAGGACAAAATAGGAGACTGTCCTTCTCATCTTTTTAAAAATTGGCCTCAAGGAGCTCTCCCGTGTACCCACTGCCGCTGGTCACACACGTGGCCCACCGCATGGATATGATATACACACCTCATCACATATACAGCTTTGCTCAAAATATACTAATTCGCACACCCACTATATAAGGAATGGAGTGAGGGGTGAAGGGTCTCCCACCACTGTTGTTAATGGTGAGACCCCACCTTCCCTTGGTAGCCATCCAGGGTCATTCCACAAATCAAGAACTGAGCAGGTCCTGTCCCCTCCCAGAAGGCCCTAATTTTCACCTCCAGGTCCCTAAGCAGGGCCTGCCTCTTAGTCTATGTGACCAATCTGGGCCACTCCCAACTAGGAAGCCTAGTGCAGCCTGAGGTGAAACCTCATTGTCCCTGACTAGGCCCCACCCTCGCCCAGGTGGTGTCCTGGCCCCCCGCCCGGGGGTCTTCAGGCCCCGCCCTCGCCCACGTGGCCCCCAGGAGCCCCCCTCACCCAGGTAGCTGTGCTTTCCGGCCTTGGTGTCCCCCACTGAGTGGTTCAGGAAGTGGCCCCTGCGACTGTGCATGTCATAGAGCAATGCGCCCCCCGACCAGTCAAAGGCGCCCACAGCGCCGAGCAGCACCTGCCCCTGCGGGGGACAAGGGTTGGAGGCCATCTGAGCTGGAGGTACCTGGGGCCAGCAACCGCGGCCCCGGACCCACCAGCCAGCCCAGAAAATCTCGTGTTGTGGAGGCAGGGGGGCGCTCTGTGGCCCCGTGCCCACCTGGCCAGGGATGCGGGAGGAAGGTGGGATGGCAAACACAGGGTTCCTGCCAGGGGAGCTGTCCCTCTATACCAGGAACCCCCAGAGCCGTCCCAGGGCCACATGCAGAGCATTAAAATAAGTATGATTGAGAAGATAAAGATCTTCTCCCTTGTTGTGGGGTGCCCAGCCTGGGTTGAGTGACAGTGCCAACCGCGCTTCTGCCATGCACGAGGGCCACGTCCTCACTGTGCCTGCGTCTCAGCCTTCCTGTGGGAACAGTGTCTCCGGTGGGGTTGGCAAGCTGGCCCAGGCCAAAGCCTGTTACCACTCTCTATTTTAAGAACGGCTCAATCCTCGAGCCCACAGAACAAGAAGACCTCTCATAATAAGTATGGTCATTCTTTTGTCCACCTCAGAGTCCCGGATTAGGGCGAGCAAGCAGGGGTGTTCTCCGTCATCCTGGCGAGGCTCCTTCAGAGACGTCCCCATAGGACGGCAGAGCCCTCACTGTGAGCCAAGGGTCCCCAAGTCCCCAGGTGTTGCTGGGGCCCCTCCTCTATGGCAAGGCTGCCTGGTGCTGCGTTGGCCATGTACCTTGTCCAGGATCTGGGCGCTGAACCCGATCTGTGCCAGCTCATAGTGGAGGGCTTCTCCGACAGTGCCTGGAAGCCAAGAAGCCCAGTGAGACACCGCTCTGGGCATGGGGAAGGAGGAGCCAAGCCAGGGAAGGTCCAGCCTGGCCTCACTCCCAGACGGAACCGGGTTTGGAGTGATGGGAGGAGCAAGCACCAGGCTGAGGGTAGAGACGCGGGTCTTGCTTTCGCAGCCACTGGAAGAGGGCCTGGGTAGTTCCCTCCCGCTTCCAGGGCCTCAGTTTCCCCATCTGTGAGCTTCCAGGAGCTCATCCTTCCTTCTCCAACACCCCGTCAGTTCATCAGAGCTCCATGGAGATTTGGTCAAGGGCAGAGGGCTGGCGATATTGTTACCTTTTCAGAGATGGAACCGCTAAGGCTCAGAGAGGTGAAGGGAGTCGCCCAGAGTGTCCCAAAGAGGCAGGCCAAGGGTGGGGCTGGAGGGCAGGGCGGGGACCTCCTGCTAAGTGCCGAGGGGGCAGCCACAGGCGGCCAGGCCCTGGAGCCCTCACCTTCCATGGGAACGATGCTTTGCTTCAGCTGGCTCAGCAGTCCACCCAGTGCCGTGTAGTTGGTCACTTTGAAGGCATGGGTCTTGCTGGGGTCCGAGGCGATCAGCCTCAGTTCTTTCTCAGTCTTAGGCTTCTCAAATGCCTCTCCCACCTGCAGAGAGGCCCCAAATCAGTGGGTCAGCACCATGAGGGCTGGCTGGTCCCTAAGCCCCGAGGTCTCTACAGGCCCAGGGAGAGGGCTGAGCCCTGCCACCTGGCCTTCAGGGTCTCCATCACCTGCCCTCCACTTCCCCTGCTCCCTGTTTTCCCCCAAACACACACTCTGGGCTCCAGTTTCACTAGTCTGCACGGGACCTCCTGAACGCACCAGGCTCCTTCTCATCCCTGCGCCGGTGTTCCCTTCCCCCTCCTCTGCACCCTGCCTGTCCTCCCAGACTCAGCTCCGCGCCGTCTCCTCCAGGACCATCCTTCCCCTCGCCCCAATGTCCTTCCTGTGGACTCCCAGAGTGACCCCTGCTGTCCCCATCCCTGCTGGCGTGTGAGCTACGACCGCATTGGGAAATGAGCCTTCTGTGCGAAGACCCAGTTGGCAGTGGGGACACGAGGGCTGGGAGAAAACAAGACGATGGGAGCCTGTGAACCGAACGGGGTGTGAGGAGGCCGCTTCCAGAAGCCCCTCCCAGGAAACCTGGCTCCTCCCCATCCCAAGCTACATGGGGTCCGGAGGTGCCCCCTGCTGCTGGTTCTTACCCCAATGGCAAAGCGCTCAACACCTTGCATCTTTGTTGAGTGGATGACAGTCGTGAGGTTTAGGTTGTCTCCGAATATGTCCCCGTCAGTGAGCACCACCATGATCTTGGATGCCTTTTTTTTGGAGCCGTGTCTTGGTGTGAAGATGTTGTCGCTAGGTAAGGGAAAGTAAAGGAAGTGGAGGACTTCGCCAGAGGGATGCGGAGCTTCAGGGGACTTTATTCACAAAACTACTTTAGAATTGGAGAGGATTAAGGAGCCCTCCCAGGGAAACAGCGGCCCAAGGGGCGGGGGGGATGGCCCTAGGGCACACAGCAGGACTTGGGAGCACGAAGGGGAGGGGGACGGGGACCGGGGCAGTGCCTGCTTCCAATAGAAAAGTGTGGGACAGAACAAGGAATAGACTGGCATGGAAATAATAATGACATTAATAGCAGTGACTAATATTTACAAAGCACGTATATGCCAGGCACTGTTATAAGCACTGCACATATTTTAACCCACTTAATCCTCACAAAATCCTCTAAGGCAAGTGCTGTTACTATTCTTGTTTTAAAAGTGAGGAACCAAGCAGAGAGTTTAGGCGCCCAAGATCTCCAAGTACAGTTGGAGCTGTGACGTAAACCCAGGCAGCCTGGCCACTGAGCCCGGCCTTACGTGCACGGCTGCTCACAAGAGGAGTCTTCAGAAGAATTTTTGGAGGACTGTCCTGGGGTATCACCCATCAGCCAAGGCTGAGTGGAGAGACCTCTCTCAGCCTGTTCCTTTTCACAGTCCTCTCCAGCCACCTCTCCAGGCATGATGCCTCCAAGTCCCTGGGCAGGGATGCCAGGCAGCACCCAGTAGGTGCTCAGGGAATTCCCGCCGCCCTCACACTCACAGGACATGCTGCATGGCAGAGGCTGTCCTGGTGACATTCCCCACTTGAGTGATGTTCTGGACTCTGCTGAGGGAGGCCATCACATCCTGGCTGTCCTGAAGGTCAAACTCGGTCTTGATCTCTCTTCCATACTGCACCAGGGCAAAGTTGCACTGGAGGGAGGGGCAAGGGGGAGGAGGTTGGCAGAGTCTCCATGACCAAGGCCCTATCGTGGCTCCCCTTGGAAGGAGTGGAAGAATCCACTCTTTCTTCCTCGTTTTATGCAGGAGGAGATGCTAAAGTATAGAGAAACCACTGAGCACATAGGGGTGGAGAAGATGAGACAGTAAGAGCTGCCAGCGAATCAGACTTCTCCCTGAACCCGCATCCTCGTGTAGTCCCTCTCCCCTTCGTATTGACCATGTGACTTTCTTTGGCCGCTGGGATATCAGCAAATGGGATATAATCAGGCACATGAAAAGGGCTTGTGCGCTTTAGGTCTTGCCCTGTTGGAATCTTGCAGCCATGAAAACGTTGGGCTGACCTGCTGGAGACACATGGCCAGGCAAGTGAGGACATCTTAGGCCGTCCAGTCCCCCATCAAGCAACCAGATACCTGCAGCTGCAGGAAGAAACTTCAGGCAAGACCATCAGAAGAACTGCCCAGCTGAGCCCAGCGCAAATAGCTGACCCACAGAACCATGAACAGCTCAGCAGTTGTTGTTTGGAGGTGGTTTGTTCACAGCAATAGACAGCAGCAGACCGTGTGAGTCTAGCTCCTGGGGAAGCCTACCTCGAAGCACTTCTCATAGACACTTCTCATCATGTTAGAGATGAAGTCTTTGGCTTTCTGGAAGTCTGGGGCATCGATGCTCCCTGAGCCATCCAGGACGATGGCGATTTCAGTGCCTGGGCCAAGACAGGGAGCAGGTCAGGAGCGGGCATGGAATTTGGGGCAGGAGTGAGGGTGGTATGTCCTGCCCTTTAGGGCCCCCTGCCCCATTCAAGCCCCAAGGGCTCCGTTCAGGCAAAAAGTTAGTGAAGCTCCCAAGAGTGAAGCCTTTGTCTCAGAAGCAGAGAGCAAACCAGAACCTGCTCAGGCTCTGGCTCTGTGTGAGTCACTCCCATCGCTCTCACTCTCTGGGCCTCGGTTTCCCCATCTGTAAGAAGGAGGGGGCAGAGCTGGGACTGGCAAGGCCAGTAGAGCCCAGCCACCGCTCCGCATCTCGCAGACATAGGCACTTCTCACCGCTGGAGGTCACCAGCCTAGATATCAGCTCTGAGAGCCTCTGGGAGCAACCCAGGTCTGCCTCTTCTCACCGGCTTCTGCCTCTTCCTCCTCCTCCTCCTCTTTTTCCTCCTTTGCTTCCAGAGCCCGGCGCCGCCTGGCGGTATTCTCTGTGCTGTCTTTTTTGTTCCTGTAGCAGTCTCCAGCATGCACATGTGCCTTAGGATCCAGGAGATTTTCTTTAAGAAATACACACAGAAGCGTTCAGACAGCCTCCTCGCTCACCTCGAGGCAAGCCCACATTTCGCCCACGGGGGACTTAGGCCTGCCTTGCTCTCTCTGGGTCTCTGTGTCCCTCTGCCTCTGCCGTGGGCTGGTGCCTCTTCTTGGAGACCCAAGGAGACCTCTCCAGAACTGTCTGAGGCCAGTGAGTAACCAGTCCTTACCAACATTGTTGAAAGAGACCTGGGCCGTGGGACTGAGGTCGGGGCCCAGCAGGCTGCAGGTGCCTGTGAGTTCTGAGCTGAGGCTGTGGGGCCGCCGGGCCACCTGTTGAATGCAGATCTGGGGGAGCAGGAGAGAAAGGAAGAGGGAAAGTCTGGGTCACCCCCAGCCCAGGCCCCCTAGTCACAGCTACCCAGAACCAAGTGCCTCAAGCAGGCATGGCATGCAGGAACAGCTAGCTCACCCCTCAGCCAGGGTGGGATTTGGCGCCAGCGTCAGAGCTGAGGTTGGCCCCTGGGTCAGGGTGCTGGGCCACACGGAGTACCCCGCCAGAGCCATGGTCAGCCCTGGCGTTGGCACCAGGGAGGCAGCCGGGCTCGGCCCTGAGAATAACATGCCAGCAAGGACGGGTATGAATACCAGTTTGCCACAAGGGTCAGTGCCAGCCTCCCCGAGGCCCTCCGGCCTCCCCTCCCATGCCCACTCACCAAAACACTGTCGTTGTTCCGGACAACGGTCGCTCCCTGGTGCCGCCCCTTGGGGATGGGGACATGCTCTGAAACAGTTAAGCCCAGGTGAGGTGGGAGGGACGCAGGGAGGCACCCCTGGAGCCAAGGGCAGAGGGAGCACAGGGCCTGGGATGTCGGCTCTGTGATGGTCTTGTGCCAGGTGGTGACGGGGACCTAGGAATAACTGAGACCTGGTGCTTTTCCCCTGCAGGCTCCCAGTCTGGTGGGACAGGTGGGTAGCGAAGAACTAGGTGGTGGGTGTGCGCAGAGGGGAGATGTGCAAGGTGCTGAGGGACTAGCTATATGGACTGATGAACCCTCCAGTCTCGAAGACCTGTCTCTGGGGAATCTTACTGCCCCACAGCCCCAGGGGGCAGATGTGGTAGCTCCTCCCTCTCCCTTGCTGACAGGGGCCTCAAGAGACTGTCTCATCTTTGAGCCACTATATCAGCCTATCACCCTGCTGGGCTGTGTCCCCTTTGGAAGCTGTTCAACACTGTGCCTCTTACAAAGACAAGGACTCTGCCCTACGTGGCTGAGGGGCCACCAGCAAATATGGGCCTCGAGTTACATTGTGTGGAATGGGTGGTGCTTGGTTAATGAGTGAATTTGGTTCATTCATTTGTTCATTTAGTCGAATAGCATTTATTGAGCACCTAATACGTGCCAGGTGCCCTGCTAGATATTAGGGTGGCCATGGTTGCATTGGGCACGTAGGGTTGGATTCCACTGAGGGGCGACGAGCTAGAATAGGTTAGGTTTGGGAACCAGGGAAGGTGGGTTTGCATCTGTGGTGCCGCCAATACTATTTGTGTGACCTCAGTCATACCGGCAACTGAAGGATTTTTCTGAACTGGAGCTTCCTCTTCTGTCACAAGCTATGGTTTTGAGGATTAAAAGTGACTGAAGAAGCGCTTAGCATGGTGAGCACTCGAGTTATTGTAGGTATGTTTTTGGTGTTAGGGCTGGATCAGGAAAGGTGGGGGGGGATCAGGGTTGGGTCGGGGTGGGGTTGGGCACGGGGAGAGAACGTGATCTGTGGCTGGCGGTGGGGCCTCCGGGGGAGGGGCCGGATGCGTGGGGCTCCTGGAGAGGCCTCGGGAGCGTTCCCTGGGGCTCTTACCCACAGGCTGGCAGAGGATCTCATCCTGGCTGAGGGAACACTTGTGCACGCGCCCTGCTGCCCTGCTGGTTTTAGAGGTGGTGACCAGGAGCCTGAGTGGGAGGGCAGACAGCAGAGTTGAGCCGGTCGCTGATACCCTTCTCCTCCCCGCCTGCCCGAGCACCGTCTCCCCACTCCAGGCCCACAGGCCCCCAGGTCCCCTGTCCGGAAAGTGGGAGAAGGCGCAGGCCTGGGAAAGGCAGGCGGCTCCGCACTGTGCGGAACATCGCTCAGCCTCTGTTTCTGCACAGCTCTGGGCAGGAGAAGGTTCGGTGCAGCCCCTCTCGCCCTCTGGCCCACCCTGGCACAGATGGGGCACTCCTGGTGGTAAACAAATATCCTGCTCTTTGGTGGCAACGGGGGGAGCCAGGAAGCCACCTACAGCACAGTCGGTTATACTGGGGGCCGTGCTGGCTTCCCAGTGGCTGCTGCGGAGAGGAGCCGTCCCAGCTGGCCTCAGTGACACTAGGCCCTGAGAAGAGCATGCTGGCGCCCCCACCTATGAGCCAGTCAGAACTGGAGGTTGGGGGTGGGCGACTCTGCCCAGTTAAGGCAGCCGTAACAGCAAACTGCCCCCCTCCCGCCCACTCTGAGCTCACTCCCCACGCTGCCCAGGGGGCTGGGCTGCCTGAGACAGGGGCGAGCTCCCGAGCCTAGGGTTGTGAGGAAGGGGTACTGGGAAACGGGCCCTGAAGCTGGGCTTGGTAACCGTGAACCAGGTCCGCGGTCTTCATGCTCCGGAAGGTAGCAGGAGGGCAGAGGGAAGCCACGGAGGGCTTTATAAAAGGAAGTGCATGTTTAGTCTCTGGTTTTGAAAGGTCATAATGAGGCCCTAGTTGCTCAGGGGGCAGGAAAGAGGTGCTGCCTCTACACCTGTGTGTGTGCCCCGCCAGCTTGCCCCGCTCTGAGCTGATTTCCAGCCCAAGTCACCAGTGGTCCCTAGTTTGCCGGGTCCCACGGACACACACCTCATTTTCCTCAGCCTCTCCGCAGCCCTGGATGTCAGTGAGCTCTCATGGTTCCTTCTCAGACTCCTTCCTTGGCTGACTTCTAAACAGAGTCTTGAGGCCTGGCCTCGTTTCCTTTGCCAGCACACGCTCCCCCGGGACCCCCTGCAATCCCATGGCTTCGATCCACCTAGAAATGCTGAGATCCCCACCTTTCACCTGTGGCCCTAGCACCCCTCCTCCAGAAGCCAGGCTAGCCTGGCAGTAGAAAGCAGAATAATGTCCCCGCATCCCCCGAGATGTCGTGTCCTGATCTCCAGAGCCTGTGACTATGCTACTTTTCATGGTCAAAGTGATTTTGTGCGCTTAGGTTAAGGATCTTGATATGGGGAGATTATCTTGGATTTTTTTAAATTTACATTTTCTTTTTCAATTACAGTTTACATTCAATATTATTTTTTACTAGTTTCAGGTGTACAGCACAGTGGTTAGTCAATCATGTACTTTACAAAGTGATCCCCCCCGATATTTCAAGTACCCACCAGGTACCATACCTGGTTATTACAATATTACTGATTATATTCCCTATGCTGTGCTTTGCATCCCTGGGACTATTTCGTAACTACCAATGTGTACTTCTTAGTCCCTTCACTCTTCACTCAATGCCCCAACCTCCATCCCCTGGCAACCACCAGCTGTTCCCTGAATCTATGAACCTGTTCCTGTTTTGTTTGTTCATTTATTTTGTTCTTCAGATTCCACATAAATGTGTTACGTGGCATTGCATAGTATCCTGGATTACTGAGTTGTCCTACTGTAGTCAAAAGAGTCTCTGTAAAAGGGAAGCAGGAGCATCAGAGTCGCCGCTCAGCAAATACTGACTGAGCCCCCTGCTCTGCGCCAGGCCCTGGGAACCACATGGCAAACGAGACGGACGAGATCCTGGGGGAACTTACAGTCCGGCAGGGAAGGCAGGAAGTAGGCAAGCAGGCGTGTCAACAGGACAGTGTCAGACGTGACAGGTTCTGAAGGAACTAAAACAGGGTGACTTGAAGCAGAGGAACTGGGCTGCGAGGTGGGGCAGGTTGGAGAACGCACAGGTGAGGAGGTCACGTCTGACACTGTCCTGTTGACACGCCTGCTTGCCTACTTCCTGCCTTCCCTGCCGGACTGTAAATTCCCCCAGGATCTCGTCCGTCTCGTTTGCCATGTGGTTCCCAGGGCCTGGCGCAGAGCAGGGGCTCAGTGAGTATTTGTTGAGTGGTGACTAACTGACAGCCCAGGCGGCAGGCGAGGGGATTCGCCTCTGCAGGCTCTGCCACTGAGCCCCCCAGTTAGGTCACCTGTTCAGCAGCCCTGCCGCCTCACTGGCCCCCGCACCCCAGAGCCGGCTCTGCCGCAGACCGAGATTTGCTGGGGTGGGTGTGGGCCTGGAGCGTCCTCCGCCCTAGTCCTCCTCAGGGCTTTGCCCAGGCTGCTTCCTCTGCCTGCACTGCCCTTCCCTTCGTTTCCTGATGACCCTATGCCCCAAACCCCAGCTCCTCAAGAGGTCTTTCTAAAAGAAAGAGCTACTTGACCCCTCCAAGCTGTCCAGGTAGCCCTGACTGCTGGAAACCACTCCTACCCCTAGCTTTTTTTGTTCCCACCTAGACTGTGAGTTCCCAAGAGACTGCCACGCGCAGCCACGCAGGCTGTGCCCTGCAGAGCCCCAGGGTGACGCTCTCAGCACAGTCACACTGTGTGGTGGCCAGGGGCTCAGCCTGGGCTGCCCCTGCTGCCCACCTCTTTATCGCCCCACCGTGGCGGGTGGTCTCCTGGTCTCCAGGTCCGCTGACTGAGCGACTGATAAACTGACTACACAGTAACGGAGCCCACCATCGGCGGACAGCCCATCCGATTGATTCAGCCAACTCCCACCTGTCTGTGCTCAGTCTGTTCCCAGGTGCCCATTCCACTCCCCCTGGAGCAGCGAGGCCCATGATGCTGCCTGCCCTGCCTGTTACATTTTACGGAGAAACAGCATGAGAGAGTGAGAGGGACATGTCATCCTCACAAGGGGAGGCTGCGCCTCTCTCTGCGGCCTGGCGGCGAGCAGAGCGTTTCCTGCCCCATGCAGCAGGCACATGATCCCAGGTTCTGTCATCTGTGGCAGGAACCCCCAGAGCTGCCGCTCACCACATCCTCCCGCGAACCCCCCTCTGCATCAGCTGGCGCTCAGAAAGCTTTTCATGAGCCCACCTGGGTTCTTCCCCCTCTGCCCTTGGGGGGCTCAGGGCCTTCTTTTCGGGGGGTTTCAAACTCCCCTCATCCGTCGTCGTGGCCTTTCAGCTCGACTTCTGAGGGAGGGAGGCTTAACATCTGTCAGACCTGGCGCTGGGGGACTGAGCAGGAGATGGTCACAAATAAGCCAGACTGAAACCCAGCTTTGCAAAGCAACGAGAGCAACGTGGAGCAACAAGAACATCCTGCACCACAAAGTTTGGAAAACTGAATGCTAAGCCAACACAGCAGCCCTGGCCCAGCATCTCCACCCCTGGGCCCATGCCTGGTAGAGGGAGGACACTGGTCCACCCCGAGAAAGGGCACGCCCTGCTCTTCACGAAAGCCCAAGGAAACTGCCCAAGTGCCAGCATCAGCACTAGTCACTCCGGAAAACTCTAGCAAGGAAAATGAGCACCACCGCCTCAGGCAAGACCTCAGGTGACAGTCAGAGGGAGGGAAGTCCGCTGTGTGCCCCGCTTATAACAAGTCCAAGAGCAGGCAAAACTAACGCGTGGAGCTGGCAGCTGCAGCTGTGGTTGGCTCTGGGCAGGGTCCGTGGCCAGCGCACCTGGCTCTGTCCTACTCTGCGCCTGGGCGCCACCTCACGGGGTGGGGGGCGCGGGGGGCTCGCTTTGTGAACAGTCACTGAGCTGCTTAGGACATGTGCATTTTTCTGTGTGGCATGTGTCAACAAAATTTCACCAAAACAAAAGAAAAACTACAAACCCTGACCTTTAAGTCAAATTCCTGCATCCAAAAACTTCCGAACGACCCTCTCCCCACCCGCTCTCCCCAGGCCTGTGTCACGGCTTCCTGGCTGCCCCAAGCCCTTGCCGACAAGCACTGCTCGCCTCCCCACCTCGCTTTTCACCCCGCTCGGCTTCGGCCACTGACGCCATTTCAGTTCCCTGATCTTGCTCAGGCCAGGTTCCAGGCCTGGCCAGGCTCCCTGCCTCCAGATTTCCCACACGAATTCCTACTCATCCCCCAAGTCCCAGGGCCTATGCACACCCTCTGCCTGAAGGACACACCTGCCTCTATGTCCCCAAAGAGCCCTGGACGTCCCCACCGGAGCAGTCATCACCCTTCTTGTTATCTCCTGATTCATCTCTTTTTCTCATGAGCCTGGGAGCTGCGTGAGGGCAGGGACTGCACCTCCTTCACTGCCTGGTGCCCCAGACTCCGCTTGGCACTGAGTAGATGCTCTGTAAGTACTTGCTGCGTGAATGAGTGAGTAAATGAATGAATGAATTGTCCCTGCCCTCACCACTTAAATCTAATGGTCATCAGCCTCTTCACTATAAAGATGAAGAAACCACAGCCCAGCAACGGGTCCAAGCTTGCTGGCTGGAGGCGTCCTGGCCCAAGGCCCCGGGCTGCCTGAGGAGCTGCCAGTGCCCACCCGTCTGCCACCAGACAGAGCTCCTGCTCTGCTCAGCTCAGGGAGATGCGCGGCTCCACCCGGCCAGGCACGCTGAGCACCTCACCGGGCTCTGCCCCAAGGCCTGCCTGGACCCTGGGCTCATGGCTCAGGTGTGCTGGATCTGAAGGGTCCCTTGACCATTGTCCAAAAGCAAAGCAGCAGGGCCGGGGGCGGGGGCGGGAAGGGGAGCAGCACCTGGGCATGGCTGGGCCACAGAGCAGGCCCAGGAAAGACCCTGTGACCATCATGAACGAAACAGGGGAGGAAGGGCTACTCCAGCTTAGGGACTGAAGAGACACATGGTGACCCTTGACTGGGTCCTGGCTTCAAAATAAAGGCCGTCCTAGAAGTCATTTTGGTGATAACGGGGTTGGGACGGAGGGGAACTAAAGACATGCTTCCACAATAACACGCCGCCGCTGCCACCGTCTGACGATAACACACGTTTTCCTCGCTCGTTGTGCATCTCCCCTGACACGCGGATTTTTGTCTGCTTTGCTCGCTCAGTGCCCACAGGACCTGGCTCGGGGTAGGCGCTCCATACAAACATTTGAGTGAATGACCATTGTATACATAATTCTACAACTTGCCCTTTTTCTCCTTGCAATATGTTTCAAGATTAATCTACCTTAATAACCTTAATAAAAGTGAGTTTCATTCACTTTACCTGCCACGAGGATCTGTGTGTAATTCACAGCTTATTTCTTCCATTTTTGGACTGATGAGCATGTCTAGTCTTTCACAATTCCAAGCAGGGCTACCATAAATACCCTCACCTCTCAGGTGGTTATCTGGTACTGAAATTACTGCGTGCAAGGCCACATGTATCTTCAGTTTTACCACATATGGAAAATTGCTCTCCAAGGTGGTTATACTAACTTACATTCTTGAAAGTTTTACCACATCCTTACCAACACAGTGCTGTCAGATGCAAAGCTTTTTGCTTATCTAATGGTGGATACAAATGACATTTTAAAAATACAAGATAATGTTAATTGAGCTTTACTTTTGCCTCAGCCCGGGGAGGTAGGTAAATCACTGCCCCTTTGCAGAGACAAGAAGCGATGCTGGGGGGGTCGGGGGGCACCTGCCTATGAGACAGAGTGATGCTGTCAGTGCACCACGGCCACCCAGCCCGCAGCCTGCCTCTTAGCTGCGGCTCCCCTCCTGCCTCATATTTTCTATCGTTTAAAATATTTTTTGTCACTGTCCAAAATTTCTACATTGAGCATGTGTGAAAGACAAAAGGGCCTTAATAAACTTTATTTTGAAAGAGTTTTGCAGTTCCCCCGCTCCTGCCTCGGCTGTGAGGAGAGGGGCAGGGTGGGCTGGTCTGGGGCTCGCAGCCTCCCCGCGCCCTCTCTCTCCCCTGCAGGCCCTTGGGACAGTGCAAGGGCGCCCTCCCAGAAGCGGGATGCTCAGGCCTCCTCTGGGGCCTCCTCAGGCTCCCCAGCAGCCCCCTCAGGCCTCAGACTCCTGTCTGCTGGGTCCCACTCACCAGGTTTCCTTGCTGCTGGGGTCTTGGTGCACATGGGAGCTGAGCACATGAGGCCCGCCTGTCTTGGGAGTCACCCAGGTCCGGGCCACATCCACGTTGAAGGCCAGCAGAGGAGCCAGGCCTATGAACGAAAGAGGGATATTTAGCAAAACAGGCACCTGTTGAGGCCGTGGCTGGGCCTCTCCGCCCATTATTCCGTCAGCGTCTACGGTGTCGCCATCGCACAGATGAGAGAAGCAAGGCTCCCAGGGCTCTCCTCATGGGAGCAGGACCAGAGTGCAGGCAGGTCGGACCCAGGGCTGCGTCAGCCCGAGGGTCCCTTCCCGGGAGGCCTTCCCTGGCTCTCCCAGCAGAAACATGGCCCACCTTCTTCACCGCCCACCACGCAGCTCCTGTACCTGTCACACAGCACGTGCTCATCTCTGTGTCTGCGTCCCGAAGTTAAAACAGACCACGAGCCCCAAGGCGAGGGTCTGCATGCATTCAGACCCCCAAGTGACTCAAGAGAAAACGTGTCCTCAAATATAGCAGCTTCATTTGTAACAGCTGCAACCTGGAAACAACGCAAATGTCCATTCCCTGGGGAAGGGGTGAACTACCTGTGGTATGTTCTACAGTGGAATACTACTCCGGAGCGAAAAGGGGCGGGCCCCAGCGCGCACAGCGGTATGGGGGGTCGCACACATCACTAGGAAAGAAGCTTTACTTACACAGAAGAGTATCTACCGTAAAATTCCATGTGTCTGATGTTCTAGAACCAGCCAAACTAATCTGTAGTAAAACATATTGCCAGGGGGATTAACTGGAATGAGACAGGAAAGAACTTTCTGGAGTGATGGAAATATCTTACATTTTATAGGAGTTTAGATGACAAAGGTGTGTACATTTGTCCAAACACATGAAAGGGTCCACTTAAAATGTGTGTGTTTCACTGTATGCAAATTTTGCGCTTGAAAAAACTGTATGGGAATATTAAACTCTAGTTGATATGTATGCTGAAATGTTAAGGGATGAAGTGTACTGATGTCTGCAATTTACTTCGAAATACATCAAAATTTAAGATGGAGTGATGGATGGATAGATGAATATATATGGGTGCATATACATGCATATACATTTTATGTAATATAGAATATAAATATGTAAAAACATAAATATATATTATATAAGTGATAACAGAATAAAATGTTGACAATTGTAAAATCTAACTGAAATATGTGGTTGTTCACTGTAAACTTTTTTCAAGTTTACTGTATGTTTGAAATTTTACTGTACTTGAATAAAAAAATTTTAAAAAGAATATTTGCTGTATTAATCAAGAACTATTTATTAATCATGTATTATTGGTTTTAAACTGTTTAGAGAACTAAAATAACAATATTTTATGTTTAAAATTAAACATAAAATACCTTCCGAGAGCAAGCTCTCTAACTGCAATGCCACTTCCTTGCATGTAGTGACTACAAGATTCGGTTGACACATAGTCTCTTACTAACCTATAAATTGGATGACACACTACATTCAAATCTATAGTCTATCATGCAACAAAGCTGTGAATGGGGGGGATTCTGGGCAGCTTGGAAAAATAAAAACTAAAAAATTAAAAATGTGGGGGGTAAAACTGATATATCCAGATTGCCACTCAAAGAAACTATGCAATTCACACTCCACCGGCAGACTGGGAAAAGGCCTATTTCCTCCCAGCATGGCTTAGCTGACTGCGTTCAACTTTTTCATTCTTGTTCTAAAAGAATGGAAAAGGAGAATATCTCATTTCGTTCCAAAACTATTTTTTAATTATGAGTGAGGTCAAGCGTCCTATTGTAAGTTCATTTACTGCCTATTCATACACGTTATCCATTTTATGAGGTATTCATTGTTTTCTTATTCATTTGTAAGAGCTTTCTGAATCCAAAAGAAAGTGTCAATGTGTTAACAGATAATGTTTCTCAGCTGTTTGACTTGCATATGATATTTTTTCCCACATCTACACTCTTTATGGAGTCAAATTATTTTTTCTCTATGACTCTTGAGTTTTGTGTCATGCCTCTCTACCCAGAGATAATTTTTTCAATTCACTCCATTTTTTTGTTATTTTGTTTCATTTCTTAGGCTTGAATGTTTGATTCATCTAGAATTTACTTTTGCGTATGAAGTGAAATAAGGATTCAGCTTTACTTTTTCTCCCTTCCAAATGGAATTATGTCAACATCATCCCCAGAGATTTGAAAAATGGCCTTTATCATTCTTGGACTTCTCACATGTATTTGGGCCTCTGTTTGGACTTTGCTCTGCCTCACTGACCTCAATGTTTCTTACTTGGACACCTTCATTAGTCCCCTGACCTTTTTCTTCCAAGACTTGTCCCTCCGGCTACATCCTTTCTACACCAGCTGCCAGAAAGAATTCTTAAAAGCATGGTCTGACCAAACCATTCCACTGCTTAAAACTCCATGTTTACATGGAAGAAGGCAAGGTAAGGGTAAAGTTCAGTCTATAGATTTAGCTGCTCAATTACTGTTCAGTTAACTTTTTGCCATAATAACTCTTAAAAAGCTATGCCACTTTTTGAACAACACTCCTATTTTATGATAGTATGATTTTTCCTTCCCTGAATACACCAAATAAACATGCCACAATGAATGATATTCTGACATCACACTTTCAGGGGATAAACACACTCACCAGTTCACTTACTATAATAGTTCCTAGCCCAACAATATCCTGGAGAACAAATTTGCATTGCTTGCCATGATTGGATAAACCCCAAACACTTTGTTTTGCATATGCATGCAAATTGAGGGGGCGGGGGCGCTGAAGAGGTAGCATCTTCTCTGGTTCTGTAGCCTGTTCAGTACGCAAACTATTTCCAAGTGCTTAAAAGTGCCTTCAGGTTCAGTACTTACTTTGCCCTCAAGGTGATTTTCCATCCTATAACTTTCTTTTTAAAGACAGTTTGAGTGCAAGATAGTCATGGATCTCCAGAAGGTTGAAAAACAGTGAAGAAATGGTGTAGAAAGAAATATGTACGTTCTCAGTAATGACTCCTTCACACCCATCCTTCACCACCCATGTTAAGTCTTCATTTCCTTCCTTAATGAGGACGATAAACCTTTATTACAATAGGTTGTATATGTAAACTGTATCTTTATATTCAAGTTATTGGGTTTTTTAAAAATATAAACTTGGTTTATTGATCAAGTAATATAGTTTTTCCAATACACAGTAAAAATTGTATATTGGATTGGATGGACTGCATCACAATTTTTCATTGAAACTGATGAAAATTTTTTTTCCAATGAATGGCTTCTCATTTAGCAGTAGAGATTTAAGAACAAATTAAAATAAGTAGCCCTGGGGCTCAGTGAATTGAGCACTGGCCTGCAAACTGAAAGGTTACTGGTTCAATTCCCTGGCAGGGCACATGCCTGGGTTGCAGGCCAGGTCCCCAGGTGGGGGTGTATGAGAGGCAACCGATTGATGTTTCTCTCGCACATTGATGTTTCTCTCCCTCTCTTTCTCCCTCCCTTCTCCTCTCTCTGAAAATAAATAAATAAAATCTTTAAAAAACAAAATAAAGTAAGCAAAGTATAGGTTTATAGATATGCTATATTTTATATGAGAAGGAAATATGCGCATACAAATATGTTGTTCTTCATTCACCAAGAAGAGAGAACAATTTAAAACCTGTATGTAACCAAACACAACTCCCCTTCCTTTCTCTCCTCCCTCCCACTGCCCAAGACACCGAAGGGAAAGAAGGCCAAGGGGAAGAAGGCGGCGCTGGCCCCTGATGTCATGAAGGAGCAGGAGGCCAAGATGGTGGTAAATCCCCTGTTTGAGAAAAGGCCCAAGAATTTTGGCATTGGACAGGACATCCACCCAAAAGGCACCTCATCCGCTTCGTCAAATGGTCCCACTACATTCAAATGCAGAGGCCAAGGATTATTCTCTCTAAGAGTCTGAAAGTGCCGCCGGCCACTAACCAGCGCACCCAGGCCCTGGACCACCCAACAGCTACGCAGCTGCTCATACTGGCCCACACAGACCGACCCCAGACAAAGCAAGAGAAGAAGCAGAGATTGCTGGCTCCACAGCAAGAAAAAAGCTGCCGGCAAAGATGACCCCACCCAGGGGCCACCTGTGCTTTGAGCAGGGGTTAACACTGTCACGACCCTGGTGGAGAACAAGGCCCAGCTGGTAGTGATTGCACACAATGTGGATCCCATTGAGCCTGTTGTCTTTCTGCCGGCCCCGTGCAGAAGGTGGGGGTTCCCTACTGCATCCTCCTGAGGAAGGCCAGGCCAGTGTGTCTAGTCTGCAGGAAGACCTAAACACCCGTGCCTTCACGCAGCTTAACTCGGGAAGACAAAGAGCTCTGGCTAAGCTGGCGGAAGCTCCCGGGGCCAATTACAACGATGCTTAATGATGGGCTCCACCGCCACTGGGGCGGCGACATCCTGGGCCCAAAGTCAGTGGCTGGCATTGCCAAGCCAGAAAAGGTCAAGGCTAAGGAACTGGCTAAGTGTACGCTGTTGAGTTTTCTGTACATAAAAGTATAAAAATTCTCATTTGACCAAAAAGAATTAAAAATAAAAATAAACAAAATCTCTATGTATCCAATAATATCACTTCAAAATATACATAGGAAAAATTGATTGGATTAAAAGGAAAAATACAAAAATCAACAACCAAACTGGGAGACTTTAATATTTTAACAAATCTTTCAGATTAGCTATAAAAGTACACAAAAAGCAGTAAGGGTATAAAAGATCTGAACAACACAATGAACAAGCTTGATTTAATAGACTAAACAGGACACTTTACCCAACAACGGTAAACATTCTTTGAAGTGCACATAAAACATTTACCAAAATTGGCTATATGCAAGCCTCAATAAATTTCAATAGTTTGAAGTAATTTAAATATGTTCTCTGACTAGTGGAATTAAAACTAGAAATCAATAACAAAAAGAAAACAAAAAGTCTGAGCATTTTAGAAATTAACACACTTCTAAATAACTTAGGTCAAAGACGAAATCACAGTGGAAATTCTAAAATATTTTGAACTCAATGAGAATTAAAATATGACAAATAGTAACTTGTGGGAAACAGTTAAAGC